GAATGAGGATAGGGGTGGTTGACTATTTCACTAAAATCAGACAATTATACAATATCCGAAGAGGTTTTTGTGGAGATTTATTATTTTCATAGTTGAAAATGTTAGTGAATTGAATCTAGACAACCATGGAAAACCTGGAAGCACTGGACGACCGTTTCATCCTATTATGGGACTTCTCAGCAGTGTATATCCACGATCCAGCACTCGCGAAATTCGAACCCAATACAATAAACAGCTGAAAGCTGAGGAGTCTGCACAATAGGGAGGAAATGGCTGTCCAGTGCTTCCAGGTTTTCTATGGTGGTCTAGCTTCAATTGACTAATGATGTTAAACTATTGAAATTACTATAATATCCACTAAACCCCTTCTGATAATAATAAACAATTAATTTATAAACTATTAATCAATTGTCTCAATCTTGACTATTCCTTCTGCAAATATCAGTCCATAGTTCCTGATTATTATTGTTAATGCACTTTCATATCGATTGAGGTTTAGTTTCCGTACTTTCCTTATCGATGTTTTAGTGAAATACATTCTCTACCTGATCATTGTGATATACTACATATGTGAATATAAGCAACCCACACCATAGTATGTGATCGACATATTTAATGTATGGTATTGTTTCCTTTGTACTACTTCAACCAGTGTGAATTTAATTTCGATTATTTATTTACTCTGAAGAAGTGGTTTATATTAAGTTACGAAACGTCAAAAATACCATTTTCATACTTATTGGGATATCACAAAAAATATATGTTTATTGCTAACTTTCTACCTAATGCTCAATTTAATTAAAACTATCAGCGAGACTAAAATTTATGAACGAACCAATCAGATTGAGGATAACAGGTCTTGGATTTTGGCGCAAGATTCATTCATTCATTTGGTTAAAGAAAGTTTTGAAATTTTAGCTGATGTCAGTTCATTGATGAAATATCCCTATCCCTAACAATCAGTTGTAAATCACTATCCTTATCCTTCACATAGGCTTAAAACACTTATTTAGCGCTAGAAAGTAATTGGACTTTAACGTTGGTCAAAGGCCGTCCATTAATTAAAGTCTCACTAAACTATCCAGTCCAACCAACAGTGAATGTAAGATTTAGAAGATTATATTTGATGCCTTCAGTTAATGTGTTTTATAGTGTAGACATTCTAAAAGATAATTGTATATTATGAATATTACTTACTTACGTCTGTTACCCCTCGTGGAGGAGCATAGGCCTTCCACCAGTATTCTCCATCCAACCCTGTCCTGGGCAATCCTTTCCAGTTCTTTCCACTTGATTATGAATATTAGTATTATCAAATTATTTTGGGAATCAGATCCACTAATCTAACTTGCAAAAAACCACTTAATTTCAAGAAATCGTTCTCACTACTATTTCACCACTTTTTTAAATCAAATATCAAAATTATTTACTTGTCTCATTAATTCATTGTTTAAGCCAAAATGGATGGTTACTACCAGATGGAATCCAGGACAGGCGTTTCACCCTATTTAGGACCTGTCAGTTCGATGTACCTGTGTCTCAGAGTTGATATTCACTCTGGGACTCCAACTCAGTACCTTTCGCTTCAAACGCCATCGTGTTATCCACTCAGCTACAGATTTCTGATAGCCACTTGCTTGTGCAATGGGGTGAAGTTTGAATTCACTTTGTATTGTTTGTTTGAATCTGGTCAGACCAGTTGCAGTCCTAAATATCAATGGGAAGATTCAAACAAACAATACCAAGTGAATTCATACATTAAATACATCATTTGCACATCTTCTTTCAGTTGTTCTTTACATACTTCAGAATTCTTTTTATTCTGTTGTTATAACAATTTCTCTCTGTTTTCATTCTCATTCTCTTCATTTCAATCCCCGTTTCCAGGCATTCTACTTTCCATTGGTACTACATCCTATACCACCAAATGTAGCATACACCATAGTATAACTATTTATTGATTTAATTTTCCACTTTTTTTTTCTCTGAGTGATTGTTTATTTTATACCTTATTATTTATATTTAGTTAACAAGTCAAATCCTCTAAACTTCAATGGGTAGTTAATAATTTACATAAGTTTTTATGTAAACTATCCTGAACTGTCGATAATAAGCCACACCTCTTCAAAATGGATAATTTACTTGTTGGGACGTTTTTGTACTTTTGATTGTATACCAAGACTAATATTGATATGATGATTTAATGTTAGCTGATTAGAGGTAGTTGACAGGATGCTATGAATAATAAGTCCTAGTTGATGCTCATCAACAATACTTTTCGCTAGAAATGTTACGGCTAATTTCCCCATGAGATACAAATGTACATAACTCTATGTCTTCATTATAAATGTTACCACTAAGCTAAGTAGGGCATCCCTAAACTCTTGTAACACTGACATAATCTTTTACTGAAAAAACGTTTCTGTCTAATATTTATAATGGTCCCTGAAAAGCTAGTCATTTTACACAGTGATCTTTAAGGAATGTTGTAAAATTTCATTAGATAGTTGGGAATAAATTAGTTAGTTAAAACAATCCATAGAGCTTAGCTTAGAAATAACTTTAACCTACTATTATATAATTTGATTTCACAATTATATATAAGTTACATAATATACCCTTGTGGGCCAGCGTAATTTCGCATCGGTTTTCAGTAGAACCAGACACCATCCAGACTTTCACAGTACAGCTCAATTCCGTTTAACATGAGAGCCAGACACTGTTCAGGCTTAACCCGAGCAGTACAGCTCAATCCCTCCCCACAGGAGAATCAGACGCTATATGGGCTTTAACGCTACAATCTGAACAGCACAGATCAATCCTTTGGCACAACCACACAGGTACCAAGCACCCTGATGGACCAATAAAAGACAATATTTATCTGTTCTTGTATATTGAACAGACCATATATAATATCTCCATTTAAACAAATTGTATATTTGAAAAGATATTATTATTGTTTGTTTTATATCTCTTGATAGTTGACTGTTCAGCCCATGTGCAGTAACGGCTCAATAAATATAATGGTTGACTGTCAACCGTTAGGTTCAAAATTTAAATCAATTCTGCTTCAACTAAGTTTGTTCAAATAACCAGGTAGTATCATTGACCTCTGTAGAAAGAGAATAACTCAAAGCCGAGAACATAGACTTATACAGTTGGCTGGCCACTGAGTCGTGAACAATATCATCTCTATCTAATCTTTTGGTGTTGATAGGAATATATCGATCAGTTTATAATATAGCCACTATTCAAAGTTACTCAATATCATGTACACTACGTTGTGATGCTGAGCTGTTTAAGATATTCGATAGGAAATCTTGAATCAAGGCTTCATGATAGTTGGAACTCGTCTATAACTCGTAACTGAAATCTTAGACTCACTGATACTACCTGTTGAATTTCAATCCCCATCACCCAGTTTTACAGTTCGGGACATTATCACTGAAGTATTCTAACGTTTGGTTGATAAATGAGTTGTAATGCAATGAAAATTAGCACGAATTGCTGATACCTTTAATCGATAAATATACTGATTACATTAAAGTGCCAAAGCAAGCCGTATTGTAGTGTCGATTACTATGCTAAGCCTACATAGCTTATTCTAGCTTCCGAATAGGTTAATTTGAATTATATTTTGATCTTGTTAATTAGTCGCTTATCAACCTTGAATGTTTTTATGTAAACGTATATATGTTCGTTTCCTATCTTATTCATTACGTCTGTAACTTATTTTTGTTCGGCTATGAATATGGATTAACGCTTGACTAAATCGAGTTGGTTCACACACCTCCACTGCTAGTCATTTAGCTACTCTCTCTGCTCTTCGATTTCTTCACTTGCTTTTTTCGATCATTTGACTCGATCGACAATTGTACGAAATATACCTATTCAAAAATTCATTCTCGTATTCAACTTATTTGTTTCTGTTATTTACCAACACAAGTGTTAAGTCGATAATTATATATATGAGTATTTGTCGTATATTTATTTCGATAACAATCAATCACACAATCGAACTTGAATCAGATCACGGGTCACTGAAGTACATCTAGACCTTTGGTGTTTAACCGACTACTATTTTAATACAATGTGAATTAACTTGTATATTTGAGTTGTATGTTGTTTATTTGTTGTTGACATTTTACAATTCAAAGATAGGTTACAACACAAACTAACTTCAGTTAGGTCATTGTTATTCATTAGATAAAACTGAACAGTCGTTTCTTCATAACGAAGCTGTTAGTGAGTGTTGTTATAAAGTCCCAAACCTAGATAAAATAGTCACTGAGCTCTTACTTACTTACGCCTGTTACTCCCAATGGAGCATAAGCCGCCAACCAGCATTCTCCAACCCACCCTGTCTTGAACCTCCTTTCTACTTCTATACAATTTTTGTTCATTCTTCTCATGTCTGTCTCGATTTCTCGGCGTAATGTATTCTTTGACATTTCTCTTCTCCTTTGGCCTTCAGGATTCCATGTGAAGGCTTGTTTTGTAACTCAGTTGGGTGATTTCCTCAACGTGTGTCCAATCCACTTCCATCGCTTCTTCCTGATTTCTTCCTCCGCTGCAATCTGGTTTGTTGTCTCCCACGTAACTTATTGCTGATGGTGTCTAGTTAACGAATCCGAAGTATTTTGTGTAGACAACTGTTAATAAACACCTGTATCTTCTGGATGATGGCTTTCGTAGTTCTCCACATCTCCGCCCTATACAGTAAAACTGTCTTGACATTTGTATTGAAAATTCTGATCTTGGTGTTAATTGACAATTGTTTAGAGTTCCAGATGTTCTTCAGTTGTAAATATGCTGCTCTTTCTTTGCTGATCCCCGCCCTCACATCTGCATCAGAACCACTGTGTTCATCAATGATGCTGCCCGTCACCGAGCTCTAGTTTACAATAATTGTTTGACTGTAGTTATTCCACAAAAAAAGTAGCCAGATCTTACAAGCAATTTCATGAATACATTTGAATTTATTTTATATTTTTTACTAGCTCCACCATCAATTCGATTTTCAAGTCAAGAAGGTGAACATAATATAGCACTTGGATCTAATTTAGCATTATTTTGTGTCGCAACTGGTCATCCATTACCTAAAATTACATGGACTAAAGATGGTAAACCTATAATGGATAGAAAATTTACAATCAGTGAAGATTATGTACATTTACGATTAACTGATGCTGAAGAAAATGATAATGGTCGTTATGCATGTCATGTTACAAGTGAATATGGTCAAGTCTCTAAAACATTCGATGTTAAAATAACTTGTAAGTGTTGTTTATACATTGACTTGATGAAGAGCATCCAATTATTTACATTATACTTCAGGCTTATGTTGTTTTCTTTTTGGTAAAAAGATGTGTTAAGATTAGTCTTGTAGTGCCATGCTACACTAATTGTTCACCCTGATAACCGTTATAATACAAATCTTAACGGTGTATAAAATCAGTAGGCAAAGAGAAGTGGCAGCTACAGTTTTATTGTCAAATGACGCAGGCCAGAAAGTTTTAAGCACATGAGTAAATATCAGCAAACGAAACAAAAAACGACACACATTGGAGATGGCTGCTAAACCAACTCGCTTTTATCAAGCGCTAATCAATATTTATAATCAGGGAAGAATAAATGACAGACATGTGATAAATAGGATAAGAAGTGTACATACACCTACGCTCATGTGAAAATGGTCAGGGTTAATCAGTGAATAATTAACAAGTTGAAAACATGACTCATGATAGATAGGTGAATTGACTTCTCCAGAAGTTAGAATAAGGCACATGAGCTTAACATAACAACCGATACTACAGTCTAATTGTTATAACGAAATCTATTTACCAGGATTTTTGATGAAAATATTCACTGAGCTAACTAATGGTGGATGTGTCGCTCAATTTCCTGGATTAGTTGAAGATGGACAATAACATCGTTGGATGCCGGTAGAGTGGTCTAAAGGTTAATTGTTCACACGCGAGACTGAGTTTGAGTCTCGAAAGACGGGATCGTGGATGCGCATGGCTGAGGAGTCCTACAATAGAACGAAACGGTAATCCGATACTTCCAGGTTTTCCATGGTGGTCTAGTTTCAATTGACTCATTATCTCAACTATTAAAGTAGAATAGTCTGTAATATTTACAGTCATAATGTTTAAAAATAAATATACTTACTTATATCGAATTGAAAGCATAGTTACCTTGAAAATCTTGGAACTTCAATAGGAAAACCGGTGAATCCGGAGGACTCAATCAATTAAATCCTTCCCCACTTTAACAGCTAACAGTAGAATCTAGTAAGCACGTCTCGTCCTATTTTGAATTCGTCAGTTGGATATCTCTGAATCTTAATTTTAAGATTCATGCTGGAACTCAAGCCTATTCATTCGTTTTTGCCTCAAACACTAGATTTATCCACTGAGCTGCTGAAACCAAATAGCGACTAACTTTTGATGACTTATACATTTATCGATACTTGCATTTAAATATATTTTTATCATGATTTTTTTCTGGAATTCTTAAATAGATGGACCTAGACTAGATCCCGATGGTCAACTACAATACAGTGTCGAACGTACTGTGGGAGCTAGTGCGCTACTTGAATGCCTTGTGTCTGGTAATCCTAGACCAAAAATTGAATGGTTCAAAGATGGTATACCACTTGAACAACTTTCATATAGGTTAGTATGGTAGAATAGCTAAACGTTTTATTTCTGTTTACTTTACAGCATTGACTTTAAAAAAAATAATTTTCTACACCATAAACATGGTTTCGTATTCTCAAGTTCATTGGTGTTGTTTGTTCTAATTAATTAAAAGAAATAAATAAAAAGTATTATAAGCAAAGATGGATAGCAGCCAGCAGTGGAATCCAGTACGCACGTTTCGTCCTATTTCGGACTCGTCAGCTGGATGTACTTGCGAAAGGTACTGGGTTTGAGACCCAGAGTAAACTTGAATTCTGAGATGCAGGTACACCCAGCTGACGAGTCCCAAATGGGACGAAACGCGCGTCCTGGATTCCACTGCTAGCCACTATCCATCTTGCTGATAATGCTTGTGAATTAATGCAATATCGAGGCAATACACACAGTATGCACATATGCCAATAAGAGACTGACCAGCTGCAGTCTTAAGCATTGATGGGAATGAATAAAAAGGTATTAGTCAATCCATTTCTAACTGTGATAAAGAGATTATCTTTTTTTCTGATTTTCCCCTTTTGTATTTAGATATCGATTAATTAATCAAGATCGTCAATTAGAAATAATATCGATGCAACCAACAGATGCCGGTCGTTATAGATGTGTTGCAAAAAATAATTATGGTCAATTAGAGATAAATACAGATGTTTCAGTCGGAGGTAAGTTCTATATGTTTTAATTGTAATAAACTTTAAATGATTAGTGTGATTGATTCAGTGCGATATATGATCGGTCATAGTTCCAGTCAGGCAATGAATATTGTCACTGATAGCAGTGCTGAACCTTATAGGTTTAAATCTTCAGGCAATATGTATAACATATATGCAAGAAAATAAATGGATTCAAGATTTCTTATGGACTACTTCCAACTGTCCTTCCTCGATGTGGGAAGCCGGGAAGTGATATTAGCCCTCATACCCGTAACTGCACACGAGACCAAGTTGGTTACATTCAAATCCTTCCTACACCTAATAACTCTCTTATCTCCACGATTAACCCATCTCACGTCCTTTTATCACCTCGCATCGCTAGAGCAAACGGTTTGAGTACATGGAACCTTATTCCTGGTCTTTTAATACCACGCGCTAAACTACATGTAAGAACTTTTAACGTCCAAACATTGTTCCGAATAGAACAACAGATCTCCTTAGCTAGGACTTTAGAATCTCATGTCTCTACCTTTTTTTCTCTTTTCAAATTTATTTCACTGGATTATACTCCTTCAATAACATCTTCGAACCCTAATCTTTCCGATTACTGCTTATACTCTTACTACTTCTACCACTATGGGATTTGAATAGACAACTACATCTCTGTGATAATGTGGTATGGCAACTCAAACTGGTGTACGTAAGTACGAAGTTCTACGTTGTATCTGACTGACTGACTGACTTCCAACTGTCTAAATTCAACTAAAATGTTACATCAAATGTCTATTAGATTAGTTTTAATACCACAAACTTGAACTGTCTAGTTTTAGTAGTGTTCAAAACTAAGCAAGATTTCATACACATAGTTCTCCTTATTATCTAATGGAGAACTAAAATGAAGATTAGTGCAGAAGAATATGAATGCATTTTATTTCGTTAAGTTCTCATCAGCTGCTTACACCTAGAATATTGACATACTTATAAATACAAGGGTGACTAAAGATGAATATGTGTATCATAATGTAGCGAAGATTCCAATAGAATTAATAAGGTCAAAGGTGATGATGTTAGTCAATCAGTATTAGACGAAAAACTGCATTGACAAGAACTTATCCAGAAAATAAAATGATTGTCTTGACCAAAACAACATGTTCTTTAACACAATTGAAGATTGATAGGTATCCCTTTCATGTTACCACCAACTGTGGATACAAATTCAAATGTATCTGCCAAAGCAGTTATATTAGTAGAACAGAAAGGCAAGCCTCCGTCCCATTCAAATAACGAATTCCAAAGTGTTTAAGGTCAAATGGATTAAAAGAATTCAGCAGTGCCATATCAAGACATCTCTTTGTTACAGGACATCATGTAGATACACTGAGGTCTTTCAATGTGATTAATGGACAATCCAAATTCAATCTTTTAAAAATTTTCCTAATCCATAACGACGAAACATCGAAAACAAGATCTATGTGTCTAAATAAAAAGCAGTAACAAATCTTTCTTTACCCTGGTAACGTTAACATCCTTTGTATTGCATCATTCATTATTTCAACTCTTTGTGGAGTTTGATTACATCATTGTCAATTCATAACTGACTTATTTCAGTTCATATCTTTCTTTATTACCATTAATCCGTTTTCCATTACTTCATTACACAAGTATCCAATGTTTATTAACTCTATGAATTCTAATGACTAGCTCAGTGTTCTGGATCTGTCCCTCTCTCTCTTTCTCAAACTTGATTTATCCGAAACAAAAATGTTTTTATGACCCTATTAACTCTATTGGAATCTTCATTACATCATGATATACATATTCATCTCTAATCCCATATTGGTAGTAAGTTCTAATAGATTCTTCAATATAAGTTAAGCATAACTCGACAGTCATTAAATAGGTCATGCCTAATAAATTGTTCTAGCCTATACAACAAAATTTGAGAATTTCTAGGCAAACTTACCAAATAAAGGTATTCTATTTATCAGAAGAAGGTTATGTGAAGATTTGAGTAATTTTTATAGTTCAGATCATGAGTCAATTGAAGGCTAGACCACTACGGAAAACCTGGAAGTACTGGATGGGATCGTGGATGCGCACTGCTGAGGTGTCCCACAATAGGACGAAACGGCCGTCCAGTGCTTCCAGGTTTTCCATGGTGGTCTAGCTTCAATTGACCCATGATCTCAACTATATACAGTTAGATTAGTACAAGAATTAAAGAATTACAGTAATTAAGTGAAACGCACAAACATACCGACCAGTATTGCGTGTCTTATCGATATGAATAAAAATTTATGATAATTTCAATATTTACAATCATGAGTCAATTGAAGCTAGAACAATATGGAAAACCTGGAATCACTGGACGGTCGTTTCGTCCTATTGTGGGACTCCTCAGTAGTGTGTATCCAAGATCCCTCCCCGCGAGATTTGAACCCAGGACCTATCAGTCACATTAACAAAATAGGATAATAATGTCTTTCAATTAGCAGGTCACATGCTACAGGTGTAGTTTTCAGACACATCAGACCAGATTAAGGTGATGGGAGCTTTGGCAACGATTTGATTGGTTAGTTATGGACAGAACTAACAGTATCTCAACCTGAGTTTTTTAGTATTGAGTACTCAGATATAATCTAAGATCAAATGTAATGTTCTAGATTTTACCAACATTTTTTGTGTAGCTAGAACTCCGGAGTACATTCTTTTCTATTTAGTGTTATACGATTTTAATAAATTTTCTATGAATTTACCTCTATTTTGTTAATAGCTCCGGCTCGTATTGATCGTGGACGTGTACGTACAGAATATACAGTTCGTGAAGGTGATGAACTTGTATTACCTTGTCCAGCTACTGGATCACCTACTCCAAAGTTATACTTTACACGTACTGGTGAATCGCGTCCAGGTAGTAGATATGACGATAGTTCTGGTGTTATTAAACTATCCAGACAAACTGATAATTTACCCAAACATTCAGTAATATCACAGGTAATAATTGCTCATATTTAATTATGACAGATAATTCCTTTAATATAATTATAATGTTGTACATTAACCAAGCGAACTGATCTAAATATAAGCAGATGAGAAAAATCAGAGCAAAGATTTTTAGTTACTAATCACAATTATCTATTACTCTAACACTTTATCACCATCAGCCACAAGTATTGACATGACCAAGAGGACAATCGAATGTGATGGGGTTTTGTGGAGATTTAATATTTATCACAGTTGAAAGCGTGAGTCAATTGAAGCTAGACCACCATGGAAAACCTTGAAGCATTGGACGGCCGTTTCGCCCTACTTTGGGACTCCTCAGCAGTGCGCATCCACGATCCCGCACTCGCGAGATTCGAACCCAGGTCCTACCAGTCTCGAGCCATAGCCCTTAACCTCTAGACCACTGAGCTGGCATCCAACGATGTTAATGTCTAACTTCAACGGATCCACGAAGTTTGAGCAACCGTTCACCAAAGATTACAGACTATCTCAGTAAATTGTGATAACCAAACAATGAACAGTCAATTTGCAAATTAACAACCAATTGTTTCAATCTTCACTGTTTCTTCTTTTAATCCATTGCTCATGCATTTTCCAAACGATTGCGCTTCATTTCAGTTCTTTCCTCATCGGTCTTCTTCCAAAATACATTCTATGTCTGACCCACACCATATACTAATTATATGGATATACACCACATCCTTAACCGATAGACCACTGAGCATTTCAGGGCTTCCAGGTTTTCGATGGTGGTCTAGCTTCAATTGACTCACGCTTTCAACTATGACAATCGAATGTATTAGATTATCTTACTAAAATCTGACAACCATACTGTAAACTGTAAATTTGAAAACTATCAATCAATTGTCTCAATCATCACTGTTCCTTCGGCAAATATCAGTCCATAGTCTCAGATTATTATTGTTCATGCATTTTCATGCCAATAGCGTTTCGTTTCCGTTCTTTTGTTATCGATCTTCTAGTGAAATAGATTCTCTGCCTGACCATTGTCATATACTACTTATGTGGATATAAGCAACCCACATCACAGTATTATTAAACTATTTAAATGTCATTCCAGTCCATAGGTCTCCTACCATTTAATGCAATCTTACGTAAATTTAAGTGTTTATTTTCCTAAGTGATTTTCAATTTCTGTTGTGACATTCTACAATGGTGTTGTTTGTAAAGATTTGTAACAGCTTGAAGTTGGATTTCACCACTATAATACTGTTTGATGGTAATTCTGTTTGTCAAGTTGAAGACTCAGGTCTACCTCAACGTACCAGATCTCCCAAGAAATCTAGGTCCAGTGTTTTCTTCCAACTTTCCCCTAACTATTTGACATCAAAACATAGTATACATGATTTTACGTTATTTATACTAATTAGGTACATTAGGACTAGATCGATTGCATTCAATCAGTGGTGAAGACAAGACAAACATGGAAAGGATGACTACTGAACGCTCAATCATCTTGAACTATTTTTTTGAATGTGCACTTGAAGCTATCTAGATTCTTTTCATTCTCTTATTTTCAACGTTTTTTAAAACATGAATTTTAGGACCGTCAATCACTTACTATTTTCCGTACTTTGAAAAGTGATAGTGGTTCATATCAATGCAATGCAAGTAATGCAGTTGGATGGGATATCATGGAATATAGTGTTCGAGTTCGCGGTAAGTTTGACTTTTGCTCAAAAGTTTTAGGATTAAATACTTAAATGTCGTAGATGATAAAGAACATTCATGTAAACATAGAATTGAAAATACTTTGAATATATTTGATTAATTGGTGGGAACAGTGGTATTTTTTCTTCACATTTTCTTCACACATGTTTTGATTTTTCAGTGGTCCAAAAATTTTCGGTTTTTTAAAAGAAAGATAAAAGAATTTTCACCACGTTCTACTTTTATAGGTCAAAAATTATTATTGGATAATTTTAGGGCGGATTTTGTTTTTGAGAATCGAATAAACAAATTTAAGATTTTGATAGATATAAGCTTATAACATCATTGAAAATCTGGAAGCATTGGACGGCTATTTCGTGCTAGTATGGGACTCCTGAGCAGTAAGCATTCACGATACCGCATACAGGATTCGAACTCAAGGTCTTCGGTCCCGCGTGCGAACGCCTAATCACTGGACCACTGACTAGGTACTGGTTTTAAGATGATTTCCTAGAGTTCTAGTGAGAAGCAGTGATCAATGGAGTCCAATCCGTGTCGGGTAGACACAGGTAGACACACACTTCAGACAATGAAAGAATGGTTGTGCAGTCATTCATGGATCGATGGAAGTTAGAAATTAACACCGTTGGATGCTAGCCGGCTCAATGGTGTAGAGGTGAAATGTTCGCATGCGAGAACGAAGGTATTAGGTTCGATCTGCGCTTGTAGGATAATGGACACACACTGCTAAGGAGTCCTATACCAGGACGAAACAGCCGTCCAATGCTTTCAGGTTTACAAAGACATTATAAGCTTAGATCGACTGATGAATTCAACTATTAACATAATTACAACCTTCACAAACCCTATTCCGATCAAAATCTCATATCGCTTGTACATATTGAAATGACTGGCATGATCTGAATAAGGTAAGATATCCAGCAAAACTGTCAGGATAACAACAATAACAGAGACATTATAAAGTGAAAGAAATGATAAGTTGATGAATAAGAATGTCGTATGATTGGTCAGAGATTATGTGATGCATGAAATTATATGAATAAGGGGAGAAAAAAAGTACTGGATGGGTGATCTATAAATTGTTCCACAGTGCAAGCACAAATAATTCATTCAGATGGATTAGCATTTCGATCAAGCATTGGGTGGTAGGAGGTATATACATGATGATTATTAGGCTATCGGGTGGAGGAAGATGGAAAAAGGGGTTGAACTTGTTTCATATATTATTATTATTTGGATGGATTGGTCAAGGTTTTCACTGAGTATTACGATCGCTTGTGGTGCTTGAATGATTCAGAGCCTGATCACATAAGTGTCGTCATGTATTACACAAAATTCAAAGTGATCAGAAAATGATTCACCTCATTCAAATTCGTTGTTATGCTAACTGATGATCTTCTTACAAGGTTTTCCAAATAAATATTTATTTGCTCCCTTCATTTATAATGGTGTTCTGCTCAGCATCATTTTAGGAAGGTATTAGTAATTCTCTATTAATAACAGCTCAATTATATTTTACGGAATTTACGAGATTAATGCTAAATTTCTGATGATGTATTTATAAGTAAAGATGGATGGTGGCTAGCAGTGAAATACAGGACGCGCGTTTCATCCTTTTTGGGACTCGTCATCCGGATTTACCTGCATCTCAATGTTCGCTCTGAGAATCGAACCCAATACCGTTCACTTCAAACGCCATCATATTATCCACTCAGCTACTGAGTCCTGATAGCCACTAGATTGTGCATTAGGGTGAAGCTTAAATTCATTTTGTACAGATTGTTTGAAACTTCCCATTGATGTTTAGGACCGCAATTGATCAGTCTCTAATAGTTTACATGTATTTGTGTTCCATATTCATTTCTACTAAACACTATATTCCACTACTCCGATCTTATAGTCCCTCCAACATTTGACACATCTAATGTACAACCTGAAGTTCATTGGTTTGTTAATCAAACTAGATCATTAGATTGTACATTGATGGATGGTGTTGATCCTCCACCACAAATTAAATGGGAACGAAACAATATGCCAATAGTTAGTGGACCAGATATTCAAATATCTACTGATGGTAGTCGAATAACAGTACCTCTTGTACAAACACGTGATGCTGGTGAATATATTTGTCATGCACAGAATGAAGTTGGAAAATCTACACAAATTTTCAATGTACTTATATATGGTAAGCTTGTTTTCATTGTTTTTCTACATTATTTTCATCATGATATAGTAAAGGAGATATATATAAAGGAGATATACGTGACTGTAGGGACTAGTAGCAATAAAGTTATCTTTAGGGTGGTACAAAGGGTTGTTGTTATATTGGAAGGGCACTAAAGGAACTTCCCCATATACATAAGATATAATTGGTTCACATCAGCAGAATTTTCACCACTTGTTATTCAAAGTTTCAAATTTGTGTCTCATAACCTTTTACTAAGTGATAATATAGTTTTAAGGTCGACAAAGGGGTTGGTTAATTCAGAGACATGGTCATATCCATGATTTTCTTGCATAGTGCTTATTGTTTTTAATTACTGCCCCCAAATGCCCTGGTACGACCGAGAGTGGAGGGAGTCTGCTCTCCCTCTCGAAATACTTTCACGTGTCCATGCGTAATATAGCCTCTGACAAGGAAGTCCTACTCACTACCTTCTCGTGGCATTACTATTGTTCATGAAATTGAGAGGACGAAAAGCGAACGTCCGGCGCTTCAACCGGGTTGGTGGACGCGGAAAGTCCATCTAATGGAGTTGGAAAACCCTGATTACAAACCAATGGTGCACATGGGCTCCAGTATCCTGAAGAAACAAATGGCGTATGAATCAATCGTTGGTGACTGGCTACCATGGGACTGCATCTCCTCATGATGCTCCACTGTTTTGTGGATCAGACCTTTAGGTCGAAGGCTCCGAATGTGGTCCCCTAAGAAGACCACCTGCTTGAGTTTGGGCACCTTGGCAGTATCACAGCCCTCACACAAATCTCATTTGATTTGTGTGGCGCATATGTATCTGGTACTCGTTTGTACCAATATTTATGTGTTTAAATAAAATAAATAAATACATTTTTTGGGATACAGGATGCACGTTTCATCCATATAATAACCGTCAGTTATAAATATTCTCATCTCAGTGTCAATGATTACTCCGAGTCTCAAATCCCATTCTCATTTCTTTAAACGCTAATGCATTATCCATTAGGCGGCTGAAATGGTGTTACTCAATGGTCACTAATCTGCAACTGACTGATAATGTTCTTCCCCTCTATATACCTTTCTTTTTATTTTCTCATTTCAGTTCGTCCAAAATTTGTTGATCCAACAAGAAAAATTCATGTACAGGCTATTCAAAATGAAACTATACAATTAGCTTGTGAAGCAACTGGTGAACCAAGACCACGATTTGCATGGTTTAAAAAGGATATTGAAATAATTCAACCACAATTTATGGATCCACGTTATATGCATCCACAAGTGTCTAGTTTAGCTATTTTAAGCGGTGATCAGTTATTACAAATATCAAACATACAACCAATTGATCAAGGAGAATATGCATGTACAGCTAGTAATGGTGGAGGTACCATAGAAAAGAAATTCAATGTGACAGTAATTGGTAAGTAGGTCTCATTGTTTATTGTTATATTTTGCTTTACTGTTCTATAATAATCAAGATCATTATGTGATTATGACTTGGGTTTTATTTGGAGTGTAATTTCGATCATATCGTGTGAATGGATCAGTTATATATGACTTGATTACAACTGATTGATATGGGATATATAAGGCTGTAGGCTTTTACAGATAATACAATTAGTTACGTCTATACGATTTATAAATATTTGTTTGCAGTCGATTATGGATTAAGTGACAATTAGATGGATACTGTTATATCTAGAGCTTTGATTCTTACTATGCCGCGTACTACGTGACTACTTGAACGATCGAACCCGCAACGTCGCAAGAGAGAAGACAGAAGACTAGTAAGTAGGAATTTTATTCCCCAAAACAGTGTTAAAATATAGTACAGAAATCTCATGTATTTATAGTTTTTGACTGAGAGTAAATCATCATTTTAGACAACCAATAGGCACATAGGGGTCATTCTTATCCATCCAATGTGGAAGCTACACGTTGACATTCTGGAATATTCCCCTAGCAGGGATTTGATGGAATGTCTACAGCCCTTTCTGGGCTTCTTGAGGCTTCCTAGAGTTTACCAACGAGCCATCCTTACAAATACCATGAAATGATAATTTACATGTGAATTATAATTAAGCAGATTTGACTGTATGAGAGCTTCCCAAGAGTTACTCCTACCAAAACCACTAGTATATTTGAAGATTTTGAAGGAACGTCTGAGCGTACAGTGTATTTTTAACCATTTTACGGAATGAAAAACCCAAATATTGCTAATGGGTCCATTTATCGTATCTAACTGGTTATGGACTGAAATTGAGAAATGATCATTTTAAATATTTAAATTATAGTCCTAATATTTTCTTTTCATAAACTTGGTATTTTTTCTTTTGGTATAGTTCCACCTGTTATTATCAAACGTTATGGATCACCAGAAGAACATCGTACATCTGAATTTATTCCAATCACATTCTATTGTTTACTTCATGATATTAATCAAACAAAAGCAGAGATTACTTGGACTAAAGATGGTTCACCGATTTTAATGTCACCTGATGGAGATTATTTTGTTATACAAGATCAAGGTCAAAGTTTAACAGTTGTTCGTCCAACAGGTGATGAAGTTGGGACATATCGTTGTTTGGCAAAAAATAGAGCTGGTGAAGACAGTCATAGTTTTCAATTATCTGTTATCGGTAAGCACAGATCAGTAGGCTGTTTGATCATTAAATTGTATTCAATTTTCTACTCGTCCATTCATATGACCGAAGTCGTAATTTTCCTACTGGTCTAGATTACTCGATATAGCGCATACTGTTTTTTAGTTCGAGATAATCGGTATACATCCATAGATGTTGATCTCGAGCTAGTTGCCAGTAGTTCGTACCCGAAATCTTGTTGGATCAGATTCTGTAATATCATGCTAACAAGTACACAGAGTTGTTTATTATCTTAAGTTTGAATTGCGGCTGATGAGTTCAACAACTCAAGATTGTAGCATAATTTCTATGGTCCCAAGTCTTTGAGGAAATTAATGAGTCCAGGTCTAGTACATATTCAATTATATCAGAATTTTGTAATTTCTATTATATGAAAACTTGTACTAAATTGAATTTCGGACAAATGCCATTTACAATCACTTACAGAGGTTTCGACTATCTGGCTTTCAAACTCAGATACGATTTCTGAACTTAAATCGAAGTAGAACGATTATAGGTATTTTAGATTATCAGTGTGAGGTTGTGGAGATTATTAAGTTTTTGATTGAGATCATGAATCGTTTGGTGTTAGATCACCATTGAAAACCTGGAAGCATTGGGTAGCTGTTTCATCTTAGTATAGGACTGCTGAGTAGTGCACATCCACGATTCCGCACACGGGATTCGAATCCAGAACTTTCGGTTTCGCGCGCAAGCGCTTAATCTCTAGATAACCTTGATTAGTGGCAAAAGTCACAACTTAACAAATCACAAGAATGTTTTACATAAATAGTTTACTTTGTCATTCTAAAAATGTTTTTTCTATAAAACTTTATAGTATCATAATAACTCTTATATGTTCTATTTAGCTGCTCCTAGATTTTCGTCAGATTTTGTTCGTTATCGTCAAAAACTTGTTGTACGTTTGGGTGCTGAAATTGAATTTGAATGTCCAGCTCATGGATCACCTTTACCGACAATTACATGGTATTATAAAGGTGCACCATTATCTCAATATAATGCACCAGCTAAATATACTTTTGATGATGATGGAAAAAAATTGAAAATTATTTCAGCAACTGGTAAAGATTTAGGTGAATATCAATGTCTGGCACGTAATGAAGCTGGAAATATATCGAAAATTTATGAACTAGAAGTTATTAGTAAGTAAAACTTTATCACAAGGGGGTTTTGTGGGGATTTTAGTAATTTTATATAGTTAAGATCATTAGTCAATTGAAGCTAGACCACCGTGGAAAACCTGGAAGCACTGGGCGGCCGTCTCGTTCTATTGTGGGACTTCTCATCAGTGTGCATCCACGACCCCGCCGCGCGATCATATGCTCACTAGTGACTGGCTGTATGAGGTAATTCATGAAGTTCTAGTGAGAAGTCGTGGCCAGTGGAGCTAATCCATGTCAGGTAGGGGCAGGTATCTACCTCAGTACATTGGAAGTTGGTCGCACAATTTCGTAGATTGGTTGAGGTTAGACATTAACACCGTTGGATGCCGGCCGGCCCAGTGGTCTATCGGTTAAGTGCTCTGGCGCGAGACTGGTAGGTTCTGGGCTCGAATCCCGCTAGTCGGGGTCGTGGATGCGCACTGCTGAAGAGTCCCACAATAGAACGAAACAGCCGTCCAGTGCTTCCAGATTTTCCACGATAGTCTAGCTTCAATTGACTCATGATATTAACTATATAAAAGTAAAACTTTAGTTGATAGGAGATACTGATAGTTTCTATAGTTTATAAGTTTAATGGTTTCATTCTTAAAAACATGCTGTAGAGAGCAAGACACGGGTTGGGACAATCAAATGTATTTAGACACAAATGACAGACTACCTCAATAAATTCTGATAACCATACAGTAAACAGTTAATTTGCAAAATAACAATCAATTGTCTCAATCTTCACTGTTTCTTCTGCGAATATCAGACCGTCTTCTCTGATTTCATTGTTCACACCGATTGCGCTTCATTCCTGTTTGTTCCTTATCGATCTTCTGTCAAAATATATTCTTTGTCGGACCATCACCATATACTACTTATATGGATATAAGCAGACCACACCACAAAGCTTTTCTTAATTCTTTTTTCTGACTACTTTCTCACCGATTTCAAGTAGTTATTACTTAAGTGACGGCGAAGCTACATTTTAGCTTATAGGTGTTTTTTATAAGGTTTGTCAGATTTACTACTGTTTTCATTTATGTACTCTCATTGGTGAGTTAGAAATAGCCTTCTTCAGATTTATTAACACATTGCTATTATAGTGTTCAGGTTGGACAATAAAGCATGCTGTATGCTATTTACTCTGACAGATATAAGTGGTATGTAGCCTTAATCGTGAATGAAATGCCTAGCAGAAGAAGATTGAATCGAAGAGAGCAGAAATTAGAACAGAAAGCAAATGGAGTAATAACAGAATTGAAAGAAAAATGTAGTATGTAGAGGACAACTGATGGGAGATATGCATATAATGTATTTAATGAATGACTTTCATATTTTACTAAACCACTGTGTGATTTTGCGTTAAATTATCAGTAAGGGGTTGCGGAGATTGTTAATTTTTTGATTGAGATCATAAATCTATTGATGTTAAACCACCATTGAAAACCTTGAGCCACTGGACGTCCGTTTCGTCCTAGTATGAGACTGCTGAGTAGTGCACATTCACGATTCCCCACACGGGATTTGAACGCAGGAACTTCAGTCTCGAACGCAAACGCTTCACCTCTACACCAGTGACTAGTGATTAGTTTCAAGATGATTTCCTGGAGTTTTGTTGAGAAACAGTGACCAGTGGAGTCCAATCCGTGTCGGGTAGAGACAGGTATTTACCTCAGACAATGGATGAATGGTTGCGCAGTAATTCATGTATCGATGAAAGTTAGACATTAACACCATTGAATACCAGCCGGATGAGTGGTGTAGAGGTGAAGTGTTCGCGTGTTACTTTTTCAAGCTGCATTGAAATCATGAACTGATCTAAGTTAAACCACCATTTTTAATAGTTTCAACTATCTATGACTAACTTGATTTGCATAGACAGTATATTTAGTAATAGTTAATAGAATAAAATTAAGTTTAAGTAATATCATTCTGAAGTAATCTAGTCGTTTAAATGGTTATTATTATTATTATCTAGTTCCTAACCCTAACCATCAACTGTAAATTATAGTCCTTATTCTTAACACTGGTTCATAACCCTCATTTAGTGCTATTAAGTAGACATCCTCAACGTCACTTCCGCATCGCTCAAGGGTTAAGCATAAACTATAGTCTCATCATTAACGTCAATATCGGTTTAATAAATTATCACTTATTCTTTTTGGTTTTCTCTTACATTCAAAAGAACCAAGACATTTCACTGAATTTTCGTTGACGAGATTACATTCACTTCATGAACAACCTCTTATTGTTATTATTTAAATTACAGAATCCCGTGAAAATAACCTTTATGTTACGTCATCATTTTTGTTTACTGTTCCTGTATTCTTATAGAATTATTACTTATATATACATACGATTGTATGGCTTGATCATACATACTTTGAAGAGAGGGCCCTTCATTGAAATCAGTGTATTTAACTTCAAAATTGACGAATACTTGTTTTCATAGTTGAAAGCGTGAGTCAATTGTAGCTAGACCACCAGGGAAAACCTGGAAGTAATGGATGGCCGTTTCGTCCTATTGTGGGATTCCTCAGCAGTGCGCATCCACGACCTCGCCTCACGAGATTCGAACGAAGGACCTGCCAGTCTCGAGCCAGAGCACTTAACCGATAGACCACTGAGTCGGCATCCGATAGTAGGTCCTGGGTTCGAATCTCGCGAGGTGAGGTCGTGGATGCGCACTGCTGAGGAGTCCCACAATAGGATGAAACGGTCGCCCAGTGCTTCCAGGTTTTCCCTGGTGGTCAAGCTTCAGTTGACTCACACTTTCAACTATGAAAATACTAAATCTCCACAAAAAACCCCTTCTGAGAATACTTGTTTGTTATCCCCTGTCATGATATTCCACTTTAGGTTGTAGTATATATTGCCAGCATTAATTCACTTATTTACTCATTTAGATTGATAAGAGCTTAGTGATTAAAGTACTTGGTCTAACACCGCTATGCCTATTGACCAGTTTTCTATTGTGGCATTAATTTATCTTACCAAAATTATTTATAATATTTTATTATTTTAACTAATTATATTTATATATCTATTTTAGTGCCCCCATTAGTTAGGTTGGATAAAACTGAAGTACGTGAAAGAGAAGGTGCTACATTTACTGTACATTGTTCAGCTGAAGGACATCCTATGCCATCTTTAGAATGGTTTAGAGAAACAGGTGGATTATTTCGACTTGGAACAAGTGTGGATGTCAGGTAAAATATATTCAAATCAGGAATGTTTTTTAATTTTACAGTTTCCAGTCACTAAACTAAAGTCAATTTAGAATGCATGAACTCTACAAACCTCCTATCCTAACAGGTTCATTTCAAAAATATCTAATATATTTGAGCATTCGCCTTCATCTTAACTTGGTCTAGATATCCTTACTAAGTTTGCAAAAAAATTTTTCTGGATGGATAGATTTTCTGATAATGAGTGTAATAGCCCTTAGAAAATAATTTCGTGGATGAGCTTTGTTAGTCAATCACCTTGACAACTGCTATTATATAAATTCAAACGGTGTTTGAAATCAGAAAGTGATAAGGAGCGGCGACTACAGTTTATTAGCGGATAGCACGGATAACAAAGTTATAAGCACATTGAGCGACCTTGAAGCAAAGAGGCTAATGGATGTGTGAACGAGAGAATACAGAGGTGGATTTATAGTCAAATTGAATCAAGGTGTAGCTAGGCAAGGCATAGGCTATTCATAGGATTCACGTACATTTATACATGGGAAAGAGAACAATTCAATTTAAGCGATGGACATTTATTCTAGACAGAGATATGTGCTGAGGCTGCCGCATGTGATCAAGTATACACATTTATACACATATGATAGTGATCATGATAGAATAAAGAAAAATAGACCAATTGTTAGTGTCGGAACAACATTTTCTGCTTAATACCTTAGTGAAAGGGCTAAACAAAATTTAACCATAATAGAAATTGATTATAGGAATGTTGCTATAATCATTCTTAATAAGTCAGAGCTACTTCAATTATGAGTATTTATTATTATTGTTGCTATGGTAACTACTTTGGAACTTACATTTATCTTTGATTTTAATGCAATATATATATATTGAAGTAAACATCTAGATAATGATCTCTTTTTTATAAAAACAAAAAAAAACAATTTTCACAGCACTGGACTTCTTACAATCACCGATGCTAAAAAAGAAGACAGTGGCCGTTATGTCTGTAAAGCGATGAATAAAATCAGCGAGGATTCTAAATCAGTTATGATTGAAATCATTGGTAAATTCACTTATTTATATGTAATTAATAAATGTGAATAAATAAAGTCTACAATGAGAAAGATCTAAAGTAATTGACATCTTGTTGTTTGTTCAGAAAACCATTTGTTTCAAGGCGAAGCAGCAAATAGTTTTGATAAATATCTGATCTGGATAACGCGATGGCGTTTGAAGAGAAAGGTACTGGGTTCGAGTCCCAGAGTGAACATCAACTCTGAGATGCAGGTACATCCAGCTGACGAGTCTGAAACAGGGCGAAACGCGCGTCAAACTGGATTCCACTGCTAGCCACTACCCATCTATGCTTACCATGCTTGTGAATTAATGCAATATCGAGGCAATACGCACAGTATGCACATATGCCAATAAGAGACTGATCAATTCCAGTCCTAAACATCAATGGGAAGATTCAAATAAACAATACTGAATGAATTTATCTGATCTAATGTTTGATATTAGTCCCTAAATCTTCAATGTTAAATATCTATTATAAATCGGTAAAGAGACTTGAACTTGGGTTTTATGCAAGTTGGTGCTTATTAGCCTAAGATAATCTTGAGGCAGCTTGCTTCAATATCGGGGCTATCTGTCCCTCCCTATCATATAGATATTTCAACTAGTTATCTCTTTTCTTGTTTGTTTTAACACATCATTATGCCTATTAGTCTCACAACCTATTCAGGTACGTTTATTAAAGGTTTACTACATTTTACTGCACAACTTACAAAAGAGCCTAATCAGAGACATCGTGGTTGCTGGTAGTATATATCGAAAAGAATATACACTATTCAGATGTCCATCCCTGAACTGTTGACATCTAACTGGCGATCACTCAATCTTTATCGCCAGCATCGATCAAGAATTAAGAGAAGGAAACTTGTTGAAATAACTTGTGCTGAGAATTCTTTGTTGTATCAGAAATATAATATTGAATAAAGCTATTCATAATAATAAGAATAGTAATGTATTGTTATCTCTTATTAAGTGCTAAGCTTGAGTCCTTTAGTTTGTGGAAGTGAAGCTAAGTATAACTAATAATTTTAACAGGAATTTAGATGAAATAGAATTTAATTCACAAGGAACCTAGACTATAAAAAGTGAAGAATTCTCCATGTTCAAAGCAAGTAATTACTGGGGAAATATAAAGCAATATACACATCATATTGAATATCTTTCCATACTTAGTTCATTCTCTATGTGTTTCGTATCACTATAACTTGTTGTTCATATTTTCTATTCAATCTGTTTAGCTGATTAGCGTTCTTTTTAGCGGGTTAGTTTTTCTACGGAATGGGGTCGATAAACCCATGCCCAACCCTCCTCCTTTACCTGGGCTTGGAGCCGGGATTAACTCTAGAAAAGCTACAGGCGGAGTTAATCAGTTTATCTACTTCTGGGGAATTATTTATGGGATTAAAATTAAAAATAATTGTCTCAGACAATGAAAAGTGCCTATTTGGTTATTTTTCGTATGTCTATCAATCGTTGTAGTATTCACTGGCTTAGGTGCCAGATGTCGTCTGTCTAAGCTTCGTTAATGTTACCTGGCCTGTGGCGCCGAAGAGATAACCGTTTATCATAATTACAGTTTTCTTAATAAAGAACTAAGACCAAAATATTTATTATTATTATTTAAACACATAAATATTGCTACAAGGAAGCACCAGATACATATGAGCCGCACGAATCAAATGAGATTTGTGTGAGGGTTGTGACACTTCCCAGGTGATCAAACTCAAGCAGGTGGTCTTCTTAGGGGGCCACACCCCAAGCCTTTGACCTACAGATCTGATCTACAAGGCAGTGGAGAATCGTGAGGAGATGCAGTCCAATGGTAGCCGGTCACCAACGATTGATTCATACGCCATTTGTTACCTTAGGATACTGGAGCCCATGTGAACTATTGGTTTGTAATCAGGGTTTTCCAACTCCATTAGATGGACTTTCATGTCCACCAGCCCGGTTGAAGCGCCGGACATTCGCTTTTCGTCCTCTCAATTTCGTAAATAATAGTAATGCCACGAAAAGGTAGTGAGTAGGATCACCCTGGCAGAGGCTATATACGCGTGGTCATGTGAGAGCATTTGGAGAGGGAGAGTGAACTCTCCCCACTCTTGGGCGTACCAGGGCATTTGGGGACCCTGGTACGGTAAGATAACTAAATGATCCAATGGCAAAAGCTTATTTCAACCACATAGCAAGATGAATTGAAATCTGGATTACAAATTTTGCCACTTCACTAAGCAATAATCTTAATTTTCTTCAGCTAGTTTTATTATTCCGTCATTCTATAGTAGATACCGTCTTTTATTTATCACTTAATTTCTTAAGTAACATGTTTGAATGGTTTATTAGTTATTTGACATTTGAAGACTCACCTTGGATGAAAGTAGCTGAATCATTCAATGTTTTCCTACCTTTTAATGGTTGTAACTATCTATCGAATAGATCGTATATTCTCATACTGTTTCAATGAGTAATTCACGATTGATTGTTTAAACTGTTCTTCTTTTCATATTAACTTGATCAAACAATATATATAGGCACAAGACTGGTAGGTCCTGGGTTCGAATCTCGTGAGTACAGGATCGTGGATGCGCACTACTAAGGAGTCCCATAATAGGACGAAACGGTCGTCCAATGCTTCCAGGTTCTTCATGGTGGTCTAGCTTCAATTGACTCATGATTTCAACTATGGAAATATAGAAACAGTCTGAAATTAGAATAGCTCTGAGATTATTTAATTTACGTATTTTTTTTCTTTACTTATTAAGAACGACCTACAATACATACATCAATGAAACCAATATTGGCTAGAGAAAATGAACAAATTTTATTACCATGTAGAACAAGTGGTACACAACCAATACGTATTCAATGGCTTTTACCATCTGGTCAATTAATTACAGCTGATCAACCTGGTGTATTTCGATTACTACCAGAACAAGTATGTCATCTTTTCGTGACTATAATCCTCCATATTACTAATAATAATAATGTTTTTAATTAGAGATGGAGTTATGTTTATCCACTAAATGGGCTACAAAATTTATTCACAATAATAGATCATCACTGAAGACTGAGTAAAATAATATTGGTTGTTATTTGATGATCAGACAGTGAATTCCTTGCAAATTAATAGAGGGTTATCAATGGCATAGAGAGTTAAGTAATAACCTATTTGATGTGAGCAGAGAAACAAGAAGCCTTGACAAACTACGGAAGCTATTTTGGGGGACGTTATTTCATTTAAATTTAAGCTTGTATAACAATAACATTTACTTTTGCCCCTAGTCTATTCTACAGATCATGAGCTTTCGTTTGATGTATGATTCACTGCCATAGCCTTTTCTGTTCCAAAGCTATCGTAATTTAGACGTAAACTTTTGTACTCTATTTTCTACTGTAATCCCCCAGTTTTGGACATAATTGTATTTTCCTAATTATTGTACGTCGTAGTCACGTTAGTCATCTATTTATTCATGCATCTTTTTTTACATTAATCGGAATTCGAGTATCAGATCGGATTTTGGAATAAAGCGAGTAGTGTTCCAGTTGTCTTGTCTTTCTCGCACATGCCTGTCAGCCAATCAGGGATAGGATAGTTTTATTGTTTCTACCCCACTTCGAACTCACGTATACTAGCCTCAAGGTTAAGCCAGTCAGCCTATCGTGTCAAGGTATTAATCCACATTAGACAAGTTATGCTCGGCATGATTGTGGTAGACAGATCAAGGACGTAACACTATTCGATTACATTGTTGTATTAAGAAAGTCAGGATCTTTAAGTGAGCAACGCTTTTCTAAGGGTTGCAGATACATCCAGTTATTAGGTATCTCAGAGATATTTTTAGAAATTTTTAGCTAAATCTTCAACAGCGTATTGTTTATCCTTGTGAAAAGAATGTATTTCAACTGAAGGATTACATTCTGAGGCTGTCAAGTTAATTTTTAAATATTCACACTTTTTGTCAGTCTGAAAAACTGATCCATGGATTCCGATAAGCACTAAGGACTTCACATACATGAAATTGGTTCACTACTCAGTAATCAGTCACTTGTAACTACCTCTCAGTCCTACATTAGGTCAGTTGTGATTCAAATAGCTCAGTAGTGGAGTCTCTGACTGTGAAGCTGGGTGACATAGGATTTAATTCGCTAGTGAGGATCTGTTTCTTCAAGATTTCAAATGTTCAACATCAAGAAACCTAGATCCAGGGATTCCTTTGAAGTACCTTTAACCATCATCTTACACCTGAAAGGATGCATTTACCGTAATTATAGTGATCCACATGGGACCAACCTACTGGAAATCAGATACTGATACTCAGAGTTTATACTAGGAAATCCTTATTTAGTTATTTCCTCTTTACTCCTACTATTTCGAAAAAACATTCCCGTTATCTTATACATTATCATACATTTTACTAGTTTATATATGTTGATTTTTTCGTTGACAATCTGATGAACTAGCACTAAGTTGTATGCCATGATACCGAACTTCTGTAGTACTAAGGGACTAAAACCAACCTCTACACTGAAAATTAATCGAATGAATTCTGTGAACAGTATGGATTAAAGAAATATGACCCTGGTCATTACTCAATGATCATCATTTGTATTAGTCACGGACGAATAACTCTCAACTCTTCAAAGATAGTTATTGAAATCAGTTTCATTTCCAAAAAGCAAATTAGTTTTAGAAGTTTCTGACATTCCCAAGAACCATCATATATTCAATAAAATAATAATTTAATCTCATTGATTACTCATTATTCTTTCAAGGGTCTTTTACTTGAAAAAGTACGTTCAGAGCATGCTGGTCGTTATCGTTGTTCAGCAAATAATGAAGCTGGTTTCCAGAATGCTGTTGTCAGTTTAGAAGTTTTAAGTAAGTTTATTATCAATTTTTTTTACAAAACGACTTAATTTTTGAACAGATTTGTATAGGCTAGATCACTATTATATTATGGATTTGCTACGCCAGATGAAAATCATGGCATGACATTAATTATACTGTCATCTAGCATTGGTAAAGTAGAGGAAGAATTAAGGAACTTTCCATTGTAGACAGACAGAATTTTTCCTGAAGTCTGTGTTGATCATATTGTTTAGAAAGGCTATGAAACCCTCATGATTAAACCACTGACCAGAGAGAGCACAACTTTATCAAAATCATTCTACTGAACTATAAATTCTATCCATCATTAGCTTTCTGTAATTTTGAGTGTTACAGTATTATTATCAGAAGGGGGTTTTGTGGAGATTTAGTATTTTCGTAGTTGAGAGCGTGAGTCAATTGAAGCTAGACCACCGTGGAAAACCTGGAAGCACTGGACGACCATTTCGTCCTATTTTGGGACTCCTCATCAGTGCGCATCCACGACTTCACCTCGCGAGATTCGAACTCAGAACAGTATTGTTGCAGTATTGTTCTATTATAATGATAATGAGTTGTTTTCTACATTTACCCAATGTCCATAAAATTCGAGTTTTCTATTCTTAATTAGTAAACGTCAAATAATAATAATATATTTTTGGTATAATATAGAATTCTCAACACAAGGTATTTTAACAAGTTTCCTTTTCCTATTTCTTGATCGATGCTGACGAGGAATATTGAGTGATCACCAGTTAGATGTTAAAAGTTCAGGAATTGACATTTGAATAATCTATATTATTTTGGATGTATATTGCTAGGAATCAGGATGTTTCTGATTGTACTCTTTCCTAACTTGTACAACGGAAGGTCGTGAACTTGCCATAAACGCATCTGAATAGGTTATGAGACTAATACGCATAATGATGTATTAAAACAAACAAGAAAAGAGATAACTAGTTGAAATGTCTATATGATTGGGAGGGACAGGTATCCCTGTTGTTCAAGCAGGCCGCCACTCTTTTTTCGGAGAAATTCCAATACTTTTCATCACTAATAGCTTATTTAGAAGGATATTCTTCACTCTGAATTAACGATACTATCTCTTATACTTAATCTTTGGTTATGAAACATAAGAAAGATATTTTATCAAATTCGGAATAGTGTTACCATAGCAACTAATCAACGTAATGACACAATTTTTGAACAAGTAATGATTCAGTTGATTCGAAAAATTCAGACTTTTAAGAGATAGATTTTCAAAACTTATGGACTTTAATAATAAGAGTTCATTATACAGAGCTTATTACTTGTTGGTCTATCCTAAAAAGATCAGTAAGTCAATGTGATTATATTTCCTATTATAATGACCCCCAGATATTGAGAAGTGGAATTTCATCCTACTTTAATACTTTATAAGTAGTATAAATGGAAATTAAAAGTTTTGCCAAATATACTTGCTAGTAAAATTAAACTGATGAAAAAATTGCTGACAATATCGAACAAGATCTATTACCTGAATATTTTATTGTTTAATTATTTGTTCACTTCTTCTCTACCTAGTTCCACCAACATTAGTTAAACCAGCTAATTTAGAAGTGTCTGGTCGATTGAATTCTGTGTTACGACTGAATTGTGAAGTTGAAGGTGGTTCTCCAATGCCTACATTAACTTGGGAACGTGATGGTGTGACATTTAGTCGAACTAAAAGCTATTACACTACCACAGAGTCTGGTCTGTTTATCTTTAATTCATTGAAGTAAGTTACTGTGAAGATAATCTTTACTACATTTATATTCTAAATATTGAGGTCCAATGAAAATGTAAATAGCTTGACTTATTTGTGGTGAGTCGACTAATTAGCTTAGCTGATTACTTAAATCACAAACTACAAGCCGACAGGTTAACTATAAATTCAATTATATGAACGAAGAATATTCTTTTCAATGAATTTCTCATCAGGTACTCTACAATTATAAATTAATAATCCATAAAAGAAGATTGGCCAAGTTTAAGGCGGAGTACATCAATTGAAGAAACTGTAATATGTGAATCAAGGAGTGTTGTTTATCATATAAAATAAAATAAGATCGAATCGTTAATGTTTTTGAGATGACTAACATGAAGTGTTAATTTGAATCAGTTTATAGGTAAAATGAAATCGTAAGATAAATGATGATCAGAATATATGCATAGTTGACATGGGGGTGAGAGATAGAACAATGGGATTACAAATCGGAAATTACGTATTATGTAGAATTATATAAATTAGGTCAGATATAGTAGATAGGGGGTGGATGATGAATAAATTTCTTATTCTTCTTATTTTATATAATTCTACATAATACGTAATTTCCGATTTGTAATCCCATTGTTCTATCTCTCACCCCCATGTCAACTATGCATATATTCTGATCATCATTTATCTTACGATTTCATTTTACCTATAAACTGATTCAAATTAACACTTCATGTTAGTCATCTCAAAAACATTAACGATTCGATCTTATTTTATTTTATATGATAAACAACACTCCTTGATTCACATATTACAGTTTCTTCAATTGATGTACTCTGCCTTAAACTTGGCCAATCTTCTTTTATGGATTATTAATTTATAATTATAGAGTACCCGATGAGAAATTATTGAAAAGAATATTCTTCCGTTCATTTAATTGTGTTTTAATATGATGGGAATTTTTCAGCGAGTAACTATAAATTTTCAAAGTATTTTGTACGGATTTCTACTACTTATATAATTACAGTAATACTGTGCAACAAAAGTCAAAAAATATATTGTAAATTACAAATGGATAGTAATTCATCTTAGTTCAGAATATTGATGTTTTAGACAAAAGACTTCTATATGATATACAATACTGGTTAAAAATAGTAGGTAGAAACTGTTTAAGATTATTACAATCTATTCATTAACATTCTATAAGCTTCTTACAATCAAAGAGTTGTATTTGTACTGCCGTGCTTCGCCAATCCTTCACCTCGATAACCATTATAATACAAATCTTAAAGGTGCATAAAATCAGAAAGCAAAGAGAAGTGGCAGCTACAGTCTTATTGACAAATGATGCAGGCCAGAAAGTTTTAAGCATATGAGTAAATATTAGCGAGCAAAACAAAAATGACACGCATCGGAAATGGCATTCTCTGAGCTCAAAAAACAAAACTCCATCAAAATCACTCACCTCAGCTACAAATCTTCTCCACCATCTCAACTTCACTTAGTTCATAAAACCTGTTTCTTTACACTAAAGAGCTAGAATAATACATTTTTTATTAAATTTTGTTCATAGGTAATGATTTATCCATATTTCAACCATCATTTAGTGGACAGAAAAGCAGTTCGTTAGTTAGAGTGTGGTGCGAAAATATGTATCTCAAGTAAAACTTTGATACTCTATCTCCTATTGTATTATGGATTCACAATTTTAGGTACCCTCAATTCATGATGCAGCAGTCATCTGGGAATTCGCATTTTTCCGTGGTTTCCCGACAGAATCAGCCCTTTGTGTAGATCATGATTAAAGTTTATCTTGAATTTTCAAACTTTAAATGTTGAAAATGTTTTGTGACAAATCTTTGACTGGCATAGATTAATTGTCCTTATTATATACCTTCTTTATCTTTGATCAAAGTTTACACATGATTGTGTTTTATTTGGGGTAACAATTTGAAGTGCATACAATGAGATAAGAAAAGAAGTTGTTTCAGTGTTTGACACGACAACTTAACCATGGTTTTAAGTGTAATTAATTGAATAGTTGAATTCATGAGTCGATCTATGATAGACCCATCATTGAAAACCTGGAATCACTGGGTGTTCATTTCACCATAGAATGTGACTCAACAGTGTGCATCTACGATCCCGCACGTGCGACTCGAACTCAGTGCTTTCAGTCTCGCACACGGACGCTTCATCACTACACCACTGAGCCGACTGACATCCAACGGTATTAATGTCTAATTTCAATCGATCCATGACCTTGCTCAATCCTTCATCTATTATCTGAGGTAGATAACTGACTTCAAACGACACGGGTTGGACTCTACAGGTCATGGTTTATCACTGGACTAAAGTTCCTGTGTTTGGGTCCCTCTTGTGAGATTATAGATAACACTGCTGAGGAATCCAGCACTAGAACGAAACGGCTATCCAATCTTTCCAGGTTTTTAATGATTGTCTATCTGAGATCAACTCATGAATTCAACTATTAAAATTACTACAATCTCCAGAAATACTCATTCTGATAATAATTTATTTAATTAAATAGGTGAGTTTTCTAGGAACACAAGCCTCATATATTTACTTGGAATTTCTATGATCTGGTTATTCGTAATGTAAGTATCCTTACTTTATTTTTGAAATTAAGGCCTGAAGATGAAGGAGAACTTACATGTATCGCTAAGAATACAGCTGGTGAAGATCGTATTACTTTTCGTGTATCTGTTCAAGGTGAGCAAAGTTTCTTGTCTAAGAAAATGCACATTTAGCATAAGATAGTTATAGGATTATTATCATGCTTTATGTAAGCGTATATTAATCTATGAATGATTTTATGAATAGTCTTGTGACTTATGTATGAATGGTATAAACCAACAAATCTTCAAGCCATTACATTATGTAATACGTATATACGAACATACACAGCTTATCACAATGTACGCAGATCTCGGATATACCGTACGTTTACTGTGTTTCATCATCTGAATGTAACTGAAAAAAATTTATCATGTCACTAAATACCGGGGAGACTATGAGTTATGGACGACTTTTGAATGAATCTTGAGTGACCCTGAGAAATATTAGCCAATCAAGTAACACTTAGTATAGAGTAAAAATATATTATACAAAACCAACGGATTAGAGTGGATACACTTCTTTTACATGTTTCAAAAACTTTTCAAGGTTGAAAAGAGGATCAAAGGTTCTAAAATCTTAATGCATATGTTAGAGGAACTCATCCATGTGGCTTCATAATAGTCGGCCTCTGGGCTGTGATAAGGTCGTGTAAACTCTTCCAGCTTCGACCACATAGCTTCAATATTGTTTGTGTGCACTGCGGTTGTTGGGTCCACAAAACGCTACTTGTGGATAACGACACGATGCACGTGACCAAGTCTATGTAGGCATCTTTACCCTCTCCAATCATCCGTATATATATTGTAGTACCCAGCTGCAGCCAGTGTTACTGATGCTTTTATTATACATTTCGCGACAATTGTCATAATTTGCCTTGGTCTCAATCTGCAACGAGCGAAAAAATCTTATTCTAGCAGACTTTTTCCTTCAACCCATATTACGGTAGTCTGCACAAGGTTCACAAGTCATTTGATTACTACGATAGCAAATAAAGGAACTTCTTAGCACTCCCATTTGTTGTAGCCGCTCATCTATCAGGTTTTCTCTAAAATCGTCTGTGAACCGATGGTACATGACCATCAGATACTGAAACTGACGCCGTGACCTTGAAATCCCTGAGACGCATTTAATTAGCCCGTCCATTAATTGTAATCCAGCCCAAATACCTTTGAATAGGTGGTGAAAAGTATAAAATCACCTAGTTTTTACCACAGTGTATACAAAAACCTAGTTTTGATCTAAAAAATTTGCTTAGGACATTAATTGATTGGTAAATTTGCAAACATATTTATCCATTATAGTGAAATCAATAAAAGAGAAGGTTAATCGATGTGGTTTACCACTAGGCTAAAGTAACTGTCTATGGTCTTAACAAGATTTCTCACTGAAATTAAGATTCAAATCCACATCGAATGGATCCCGGTTGTTTAAAAAATAAAGATCTCTTCAGAATAATAGAATTTCAAAAATGTTTCTCTTCTGTAGTATCTAATTAAAAAAACTAGTTATCCCAATTAGAGACTGACCAGTTACAGTCCTAAAAACATCAATGGGAAGATCCAAACAAACAATACTAGTTGAATTTAAACTTCACCCCATTGCACAACCAAGTGGCTATCAGGACTCAGTGGCCGAGTGGATAACGCGATGGCGTTTGAAGCGAAAGCTACCGGGTTCTAGTCCCAGAGTAAACATCAACTTTGAGATGCAGGTACATCCAGCTGACGAGTCCCAAATAGGACGAAACGCTCGTCAAACTGGATTCCACTGCTTGTCACTATCCGTCTTTGCTTACCATGCTTGTGAATTTAGGCTATATCGAGGCAATACTCATAGTGTGCACATATGCCAATTAGAAACTGACCAGTTGCAATCCTAAAAACATCAATGGTAAGATTCAACCAAACAATACTAAGTGAATATAATTATCCCATTGTTTAATTCACTGAAAGTACTTTATTGTAGATATCTAATGTAAGTAAAAATCGTAAACTATATATCAATATTTTTATTATTATAGTTCCACCACGTGTCTCATTGCCAATATCTACAATTGGTTATGAGGGTAAATCAGTTACAATGAATTGTGAAGCTGATGGTCGTCCAAAACCTGAAATTATATGGGAATTTAAAGGACAACCAATGACAAGTCATTTAGGTGATCGTGTACGATTTGAAACACCAACAAAAGTTACTATTCATGATTTGATTGTAAGTGTAATAAAAATAATTTTTATTCATGAGTTTGATTCATCTCATAGTGGCTTAGTTAAATTCTCTTAGCATAATCTATTACTTATGCTGTTTTACCTACAAGATATAAGCAAATTCAATTTACATTCAGAATATAAAAGAATGTTATTGAGATGGTAGAGAAGATTTGTAGCTCAGGTGGGTGATTTTGATATAGGTTTGTTCTCTGAGCTGGATGGTTTAGTCGTGGAGCTTTCATCGTCCTTCTGAAGGACATCATCAACACAAACTTCGGGTAGAAGTGAAGTGTTTGAATTTCTATACATGTGTTTAACAGCTTGTCCTGTTCACCTTAATGACTTATTGTTCGAAAAAACAAACAGGACAATCGAATTCGAAATATTTTATGGAACTCTCTCTTTGTACTGTACACTTTACAATGATTAGTGGATAGGTATTGTATAGTTCTATATTCACGTATCTCACTGTTGTCCACTTTCTGAGTCTTCAACGCATAACTATCATTAGTTTGAAGTAATGTATACTGTTATTGTGGTGTTGGCTACGTGTATTCACATAAGTAGTATATTTTATAGGTGAGATCATGAATCAATTGAAGCTAGACTACCATGGAAAACTTGGAAGCACTGAACGGCCGTTTCGCTCTATTATGGGACTCCTGAGCAATGCGCATCCATGATCCCGCCTCGCGAGATTTGAGCCCAGGACCTATCTGTTTCTCGCGCCAACGCTAAACCTCTTGACCATAGATCTGGCCGACATCCAACGGTGTTAATGTCTAACCTCAATCACTGCTGAGGAGTCCCACAATAGGACGAAACGGCCGTTCAGTGCTTCCAGGTTTTCCATGGTAGTCTAGCCTTCAATTGATTCATGATCTCAACTATAAAATTACTAAAATCTTCACAAACCCCCATTCTGATAATAAGTAGTATATGACGATGGTCGGGCATTCAGTGTATTTCAGTAGAAGATCGATAAGGAAAGAATGGGAGCGGAACGCAAATGGTATGAAAATGCATGAATAATGAAATCAGAGACGATGGACAGATATTTGCAGAAAGAACAGTCAGGATTAAGACTATTGATTGATATTATCAGAAGGGGTTTTGTGGAGATTAGTAGGTCCTGGGTTCGAATCTCGAAAGGCGAGGTCGTGGATGCGCACTGCTGAGGAGTCCCACAATAGGACAAAACTGCCGTCCAGTGCTTCCAAGTTTTCCATGGTGATCTAGCTTCAATTGACTAACACTTTCAAAATTGATTGATATTTTGCAAATTAACTGCTCACTGTATGGTTGTCAGTTTTTCGTGAGACATTCTATAATTTCGTGCCTAAATACATTCATGCTCTTGTCCACTACATTCTGAATAGCAATTGCTTTGCTTATACAAGTTTAGTTTCAACAAAGACGTATCTTGTTATATCCCCTGGTGAATTATGAATGATAACTCTAAGGACTATTTATCGACCAATGCATTATGCCTATTTCCCATTGTACAATTGTTACGTAACTAAACTATTCATATTCATGTTTCTCTTATCATTAGCTTTATTTTGATCTTTGATTATCATACGATTCTTGAGTGATAACAAACAATACTAGTTGAATTTAAACTTCACCCCATTGCACAACCAAGTGGCTATCAGGACTCAGTGGCCGAGTGGATAACGCGATGGCGTTTGAAGCGAAAGCTACCGGGTTCTAGTCCCAGAGTAAACATCAACTTTGAGATGCAGGTACATCCAGCTGACGAGTCCCAAATAGGACGAAATGCGAGTTAATCTGGATTTCACTGCTAGCCACTAACCATCTTTGCTTAAAGGGATATGGTTTTTGTTCACACGTTTTACACTTTATAATGTTGAAAGTGAATGAATTAAATTTACTCATTCTGTTTTGAAACCTTTATTATGCAATCTGAAATCTCCATGGTGATAAATTTATATATTTCATTAAACTATTAATATTCAATAACTTCAAATGTTATTTTGATATTTTTAAAATAGCCTTCAGATGGAGGAACATATTCGTGTATTGCTCGTTCTCCTGGTCAAGAAATGGCTATGGATTCTACTTTCCTGACAATTTTCAGTAAGTAGTTTTATAATTAAATACATATATTAACAAGATTAACAATAAGTATTTCAATGATCATAAGAAGTTATGGATCAGATCCTGGAAGCCATGAATATTATTCATCATTTATATGAGGTTTAAGTCCAATGTTTTAAAAAATTGAAAGTAGTTACTATGTGAAATCAACATAGGTTGTTAAACGGTGAAGTTATTTTAGGAAATTTATGGCTAGATTTATGCACTTGACGATATGCATACCCCTATTTGCTGTAGTACAACTCTTCTATCTTCTTTTCACCTTTTCAAAAAATCTCTGGAAGTTCTCAGGAGTCAAACTCACTGGGTATGATGGATTACTGTCTTGATGCATGCTAGAGTCCATCCTATATAATGATTTTGCATTTCTGTAAGCAAACACAATCATTCACAATTGATTGATCACTTAATGGTAATGTCTCTGACTGTGAAGCTGAGTGACATGGGATCAAATCCGTCAGGGAGCACCAGTTCCCTCAAGATTACAGGTACACCTTGCTGAAGAGTGCCAAGTATCACGAAACTTGGGTCCAGAGTTTCCTGTTGACCACCTCCAACCACCATCTTATCTAAACACAATCATTAAACGGCAACTTCTGATAATCTAATAATAAGCGAAAAAAAACTTAGTCAAAAATCATTTTTTAAAAGTAAAGTCAAATTGATGTAATGAATCAATCATAAATCAGTATCTTTAAAGTTTCGTCATAAGTGATTCTACCAACACTTAACAAGGTCCACATAGAAAGGGGAAATTCATTGTTTATTCATCAAGAAGAAACTATTGGTGTATACTATGAAAAGTACAGATATTTTAAAGATCAGTAAAATACTTGTTAACAAGGAATTAGATTAATCTGATGGAAAAAAGATGGTGTTTTGATCAAAACTTTAGCAATCCAAGGAAAACAAGGTAACCTTTAAATCATAACATTCATTACTTACGCCTATTAGTCATCATGTAGGAGCATAGACCGCACACCAGTACTCTCCATCCAACCCTATCCTGACAAATCCTTTCTAGTTCCTTCCAGTTGTTATTCATCCTTTACATATCTGCTTCTATTTCTCGAAGAAATGTGTTCTTTAGACTTTCTCTTTTCCGCTTCCCTTTCGGATTTCAAGTTAGGGCTTGCCTCGTGATGTAGTCTGATGATTTCCACAATGTATATTCTATTCAATTCCAACATCTTTTCCTAATTTTCTCTTCAACTGGAAGCTGTTTGTCCTTAAATCTTAAACAAAGCAGAATAGTTCATAACAATCCTATCATTAAAATATTTATATAATCATGTGAGTAATTTGCTTTTAGTAAGACATTTATAAACCATTTTCAATGAATGAATTCTATTCAATATTTTTAAAGCTAAACCGGAATTTGAAAGAACACCTAATCAAACAACTGAAGCATATGAAGCAAGATGGATACAATTTCGTTGTATTGCAAATGGACATCCAAAACCAGAAATTCGTTGGATGCATAATGGAAATATTATTCCAAGTATGTATAAATCTTATGAAATATTATATATTTGCATAGTTGAAAGCATGAATCAATTGAAGTTAGATCACCAAGGAATACCTGGAAGCACTGGTCTAGGCTTCAATTGACTCATGCTTTCAACTATGCAAATACTAAATCTCCACAAAATCCCCTTCTGATCATACTATATATGTCATAAAAACTTGCGGCTTTTAAATATATATGTCATATTATTATGAAAAACAGGTTACCTATCAAGTAGTTTCGATAAAGACTAACAAAAGTGTTATGACTTTTAAAAGAAGGCCGTTACCGATTCGTTATGGTTTTATATCCGTCTTTTACCACGTGATTTATTCGCCAATCGAAATACGACTTTTCCAACCCTAACAATGTGCCAAATCAATGACGTTCGACTAGTATGAGTAGTCTAGCGTACTTATTGGTCCCTTGTTCGCCTCTAGCCCTTCCAATGGAGTCCAGAACATAATATCTAGCTTCTGCTATACCAATCATTTTTTTTCAAGCATACTTGGTTTATATACCAGACAGACAGACCCCATCACACCATAAAATAGAAAATAACATACAAGATCAAGCCAAAATCTGGCTGTGAATGTGGGAGACAATAATCAATAAACTGAATATAATTTAAAAACAGTAATTCGTATAATAATAATCCATAGGTCAAAATGAAGCTTATAATAAGATGAATATAGATATACACAATCTCCTGCTTCAGTCTGGGCACCTGGGCAGTATCACAGCCCTCACACAAATCGAATGAGATTTGTGAGGCGCATATTTATCTGGTGCTTCCTTGTACCAATATTTATGTGTTTAAATAAATAAATAAATAAAATACACAATCTAGTTACTCAATAGTTAGACAATAAGAATATATATAGAATAATCGTCCATTAATAGGTCCTGGGAGTTACCTTTACTTATGTCATCACCAGGATATAACAAAATGATATACAGAAAGGTACAAATTCAATTCGAAGACGGATAATTTTACGTTTGATGACTTATCTACGTCTAAATTCCGATGATAACAAAACTGAACAGAATTCAATATAATATATGATAGTAAACTGTTAACATCCTTTTCAGTATACAATTCATAGTTTATGTTATGGTTCTATTATCAGTACTGTTTACTATTTGAGTTTGTTCTTAATTATTTAGTGACCAATTTTAACACTTTCTAACCGGCTTGACCGAAAAGGAATCTCCAATAAGTTTTAGAAGTTTTCTACGGGATGAGGTCGCTAATCCCATACCCAACCCTCCTTCTTTGTGTGGGCTTGGGACCAGCAGTAGCCCCCGGAGGGGATACAGGCAGAGTTATTGTGAATATTAGTACTAAGATATAATGACTCAAATTCGTTTGAATCAGTCAGTCATTATTATTATTTTATTCGCTAATTTTAATTCAAATGACCTACATAATTTGATCTAAAAAATGATGATTATCCAAACATTTGAAATAATTTTTCTTGTCATTGAACTATTATCAGTTATGTTAAGAAGAACACATGATTTAACTGCAACGGATAATCCAATATATTTTAACAGTAGAATTCACGAGTCGATCACCACAATTGAAAACCTGAAAGCATCAATAATCATTATGTGCTCACTAATGACTAGTTACAAGATGTAACTTATGGAGTTCTAATGAGAAGCCGTCACCGGTGAAGTCCAATCCGTGTCGGGTGTGGGATAGTTATCCACCTCAGATAATAGATGAAGGGTTGATCAAGATCATGGATCGATTGAAGTTAGACATTAACACCGTTGGATGCCGGGTCAGTGGTCTAGAGGTAAAGCGTCTGCGTGCAAAACTTCAGGTCCTGAGTTCGAGTCGCACGTGCGGAATCGTGGATGCTCACTTTTGAGGAGTCCCGTACTATGATGAAACGGTCGTCCAGTGCTTTCAGGTTTTCAATGATTGTCTATCTTAGATCGACGAGTGAATTCAGCTGTTGAAAATATTAAAGCTCCACAAACCCCATTACTGATAATTCAATATATATTTTTTCATACACATGATATTATATTATACACCAAATTTACTAAGTAAATTAATTCTATCTTATTTATAATTCTTTCTATTCTCATTTTCATGTAGGTAATCCAAGTAAAAATGGGGTTGGTTCACTGGTACTTGGCCCATTAAGAACTGATCAAGCTGGTCAGTATACATGTGTAGCAAAGAATGATGCCGGAAATGTTGAGTACGACTTTGAACTGAAAGTCAAAAGTAAGTCTTAAAGGGGAAAGCATTTCAATTTTTTTTGCAGAATTCATCTATCCATATGACTACAAAGAACTTTTCTTAATAGTTGATACATGTCCGTGATGAAAACCTTAACGCTAAACTCCTAATATTACCTAATTTTAAGTAGGGGCAGTAGAAAGCGTGTTGTTTTTTGTGAAATGTTAATCTTAGTGTGGCTAGAGATTGTAATCGATATCACCGCAGTGGTACCAATGACTTATATCATGAATTTTCATACTAATTAATGAATACCAACCACGGTCTCAATGCTTATTGGTTCTCGAGCCTCTTCTAACCAAAAAGTCAATCAGAAGACAAATAACAAGTAGCTGCCTAATTCTCCATTGTATCTGATTCAATTATCACTCAAAATGAATGCAATAACGTATACTTAAAATACCGAACTATCTCACACAACAAATAAGAAATCATATGTTTAAAGAACAACCAAACTATGAGTAGTAAAGAGGGAGGGGAACAAAGAGTACATAATTAACTAACAATAACCAGCGAACGGTAAAACATATAAAAACAGTCAATAGCTCCAGTAAAAGCTTAAAATAAGGGGGATATAGAAAGGCAACTGCATCATATCACATAGTTTAACAGGTTTACTTCAATGATAAATATTTCCTAGAATTTTAATATTTAATGTATATGACGTATATATATATTTTATATAGCTCGTCCTAAAGTGCATGTATATCAGTCAGATGAACCGCCTAGAGAAAGTGATACAACACGTCTTCGTTGTGAAGTTAGTGGTGATGCTGATTCAGTTGTATGGTTAAAAGATGGAAATATAATTTCCAATTCAAGTCGTTTTCGTATTCTAGATAGAGGTTCAAGTCTTGTAATAAAAATGGCAAAGGTAAGTAATATATTTTTAAAATAATAAGATAAGAAGGTGGTTTTATGTAGATTTTTAGTAATTTTATAGTTGAAATCATGAGTCAATTGAAGCTAGACCAACATGGAAAACTTGAAAGCACTGGACGGCCGTTTCGTCCTATTATGGGACTCTTCAACAGTGCCCATCCACGATCCCGCCCCGCGAGATTCGAATCCAGAACCTACCACTCTCGCGCGCTAGTGCTTAACCGATAGACCACTGAGCCGGCATCCCATGCTGTTTATATCTAACTCCAACCAATCCATGAAGTTGAGCAGCCGTTCACCAATTGTCTTCAGTGAGTGGAATCGCACTGCTGAGGAGTCCCACAATAGGACGAAACGGCCGTCCAGTGCTTCCAGGTTTTCCCTGGTGGTTTAGCTTCAATTGACCCACGCTTTCAACTATGAAAATACTAAATATCCACAAAAAAACCGCTTCTGATAATAACATTTTAATGACAAGTGTAATGCACTGAACTGATGTATGTTCTCAGTAAGGAAATCCAGTAGCGCACATTCATTTCCTCATCACGGATAGAACTCAGGATCGTTATGAATTCCTATGAACAATTAACCTTTATGTAATTATTTTTGGCATCCATTGTCCTAACTTTTTAAACTTGATCCATGATAATGAAAGAAAAACAACAATAAATTCAGTAATCTGTATGTCATCCTGTACCAGTAGACATAATATCAAGTTCTTGCTGGTCTGATTAGAATGTGTTACCATCAGTTGTGATAATTTACTTTTAAATAATTAGTGTTCTCTCTTTTAATTAGGCTAAAGATACAGGGACATATCAATGTATAGCTGCAAATCCAGTTGGTGAAGATCTTGGTGAACTTCGTTTAGTTGTAGAAAGTAAGTTATTTCATAATTCATATTATTAGACAAATATTTACTTTTTTAAAGCTTTTCACTGAAGACTTAACTGATTTGTAAGCAAAGATGGATAGTGGCTAGCAGTGGAATCCAGATTAACGCGCGTTTCGTTCTATTTGAGACTCGTCAGCTGGGTGTACCTGCTTCTCAGAGTTGATGTTCACTCTGGGACTCGAACCCAGTACCTTTCGCTTCAAACGCCATTGCGTTATCCACTGAGTCCTGATAGCCATTTGCTTGTGCAATGAGGTGAAGTTTAAATTCACTTAGTATCATTCGTTTGGACCATCCCATTGATGTTTAGGACTGCAAATTGTCGGTCTCTTATGTAACTGTTTTGTTTTAAAGCAATTAGTCACTTTGATAAATTTCGATAGTGTAATAAGAAGACGAAGATTATCAGAACTATGTGATGTATTAGCGCAATACATTTCGAACAATCTGACCACATATAATATACTTGTTAAGAACATTTATAGATAAAAGTACAAGGTCAACTAGACTGGAAATGGGGGGTACGAATAGACAAGGATAATAATAATAAAAATAATTTGACACCTAATCACTCTGGATGATAAGCATATATTACCAGGGTAGGTTTAAAGAGAGAACAAACTGTTTTTGAATATACAAAGGGGGGTTGAATTTTCGTATGGCTAAAGCTTCAATAAACCTTAGTATACGCCCTTTTACACTTTTGTACAACACAACAAAAGCCGAGTTAAGATCAATCTTATGACCTGTTTCAATTATATGTTTGGCAATTGAGGATGATGGCTGTTTATCCTCTACTCTTATTGGATTATTTGACTCTATTTGTTTCTGCAGCCATTTTTGTACATGTTCACAAACCCTAACTTTCAGATCACGATTGCTCCTCCTATGTATGTGTGACCACACACACTTATTTTGGTAAACGCAGTGGGATGTGACACAATCGTTTTCATATCGTCTAGGTTTTGAATGAAGCATGGACCTCGTTCTTTCTTTGATAATGACCTTCGCTACACAATGTTTTGTTTCATTTGTTCTTTAATAGTGTATAGATTTATTTATGTATACAGAGGTTTACTAAACCGTACACATACACACACTTTTGAAAATAGTATGTACACATAAATCTCCGAAATTAAAGGAAATAAGATTTTTATGAGAAGGGGGTTTTGTGGAGATTTTAGTAATTTTATATAGTTGAAAGGATGAGTCAATTGAAGCTAGACCACCATGGAAAACCTGAAAGCACTGCACGGAGTTCTGATGAGAAGCAGTAACCAGTGAAGTTCAACCAGGTCTGTTGGGAGATACCAACTCACTGAAGACATTGGTGAAATGGTTGCTCATTTTCGTAGATTGGTTGAAGTTATACATTAACACCGTTGGATGCCAGCCGGCTCAGTGGTCTGAGGGTTAAGCGATCGCACGCGAGACTGATAGTTCGTGGGTTTGAATCTAGCGAGACGGAATGGTGGATGCGCACTGCTGAGGAGTATCACAATAGAATGAGGTGGCCGTCCAGTGATTCCAGGTTTTCCATGTTGGTCTAACTTCAATTGACTAATGATTATGTGAATAATCCAGGTTCACTTGACATCAAAACCAGGAAGGTCGAATTAACTTGAATGATTTTTTTTATTTTCAAACACAGTATAAATGTTTATCCATGTACTGGTTGGTTTATTCAAGTTCAATAGAACGGTAACTGTCTGATAAAATGACATCGCTTCTCTCGAGTCAGTAGGAATTAGTCTGCAGCAATGTGTTACCGACTACTGTGATTATGGTTAGCATTCATTGTGGATAGACTTGTTTTATTTGGATTGCCATTGGAAACTAGAGGTCATTAGATAGATGTTTCGTTTTAGTTTGAGACCTTTAAAACTGCCCATCCACAAATTCACTAGTATTCGAAACTAGGACTTGAGGAAACCTCTTAACAATTAGAATCACTGGGTCGGGATCTGAAGACATTATTCCAACTTTATTCAACTTGATGATCATCTGATACTACTGGTGACTGACGTTTTGTTCTCAGGAAGCCAAGAAAACAAGAACAAACTATGAAACAGTTATTACATCCAGGTAATTAGGATGTGCTTTAATATACTTCTTATGTGTGTCTTCTCTTCACTCTCTGGCTTCACCAACCAGTTTTTCTAGAAGGGGTCCTATCGACATGTCAACTTCAATGACCACTTTTCACTTGAATTTTCGGAACAACTTGAAGTAAGTCATTAGAGGGCTGACTATTATGGCCTATTTGAACAGGTTTTGGAAGAAAGAATGTATACTCAGTAAATAAATGTCAAACTGAATACTACACAAATCTTCATAACCTCATATCTCCTAGATAAAATAGAAATTTTGCGCACATCTTGGCCTATCTGACATTTCTTGAAATTCGATTCATCAGGGTTTTTTGGTTACCATAACAGCAACATAATTTATAAAAACAATGATTATAAGAATTTATATGCTCAAAAATGCGAAACAAATGTGGTTTTGAGATGGTGAAGATTTGTAGCTCAGGTGGGTGATTTTGATGGAGTTTTGTTCTCTGAGCTGGATGGTTTGGTCGTGAAGCTTTCATCGTCCTTCTGAACGACATCATCAACACAAACTTGAAGTGAAGTGTTTAAATTTCTCCACATGTGATTCACAGCTTGTCCTGTTCACCTCGATGTTGATTGGTTCTTATTGACCTTAAATCTGTCATTGTTTATTTCTTTGTTTTGCTTGTACTGATGTGCTGATGATGTCGTTCAGAAAGATGACGAAAGCTCCACGACCAAACTATCCAGCTTATAGAACAAACCTATATCAGAAACAAATGTGGTTTGTTCAACATGGTGTAATGAACACAAACACCAGGGGGGACAACCGAATGTATTTGGACATAAACTTACAGAACGTCGTAGTAAAATCTGAGAATCATACTTCATTTGCAAAATATCAATCAACTGTCTCAAACATGACTGTTCCTTATGCAAATATCAGTCAGCCGTGTCGGATTTCATTTTTTCTGCATTTTCCTACCAATTAATCCCTTCCGATCTTGGTTATCCTTGTAAACTACTTATGAGGATATAAGTAACCCACACTACAATAGAAATTCTTCAATTATCAAGAACAAAATCAGAAATTCAATTCACTTAAAGTTATGATTATTTAACGACTATTAATTTTCTTCCTTTATTTTCTTTTTTAGGTAAACCATATCTTGTTAATCATCCAAATAATATGACAGCTCAAATTGGAAGTGTAGTCGTAATGGAATGTCTTGCAGAAGGTCAACCTAAACCAACTATTACATGGTATAAAGATAAACAACAAATAATTCTTCATGGACATCGTTCACTTGTTAATAATGGATCTTTAAGGTAACCTAATGATCAAATGTATTCAATATGGTTTGAAATCAATTATTTATTGGGTTTGATTATATTTAATTAAAAAAAGTTTCATGTTAGTAAGTAGTATCATTCAATCACTTGTTCGTATTCGAAGAAATTGGATAATTTAGTTATCTCAATGTTGTCATTAACTGTTTCAATGTATAGTTTCATTCAACAAATTAATGTTTATTTGAGGATGCGTTTCCCTCCTTCAAAGTGCAAAATGTTACTTCACGATTGGGTTGCATCGGCACCCGAACTAATGATAGGGAGTGAAGTAGTTGAGCGTGTAGACCACTTCACTTATCTTGGGAGTCTCATCAGCCCTTGTGGTCTGGTGTGTGATGAAATCTCAGCACGGATACAGAAGGCTCGTCTAGCTTTCACCAACTTGCGTCATTTATGGCGTAAGCGAGATATCCGTCTAGCAACAAAAGGACGGGTTTACTGTGCAACAGTTCGTTCCGTCCTACTTTATGGCAATGAAACATAGCCAATAAGAGTAGAGGATATTCGTAGACTACTAGTATTAGATAATCAGTGTCTTCGAAGCATTGCTCGTATATCCTGGGACCAACGGGTAAGTAATGCAGTTGTTAGGAAACGAGTATTAGGTAAGGATAGCAAATCGACTGATGAAGTAGTGAAACTTAATCAGTTGAGATGGCTGGGACACGTGTTACGTATGCCGAACCACCGACTGCCCCGACGTGCAATGTTTTATGATGTAAGAGTAGGTTGGAAGAAAGCTAGGGGCGGCCAGACCAAAACGTGGCATAAGTCCATGAAGTCACTGACAAGTGGACTGAGCCATGTTGGTAGGTGTAGACTACCTAGTTGGGATTCGCGAGATGACAGCAACCGATGGTTAGAGACCTTGAATGACATGGCTCAAAATCGTTTGCAATAGCGAAGGTGAATCCACTCTTTGTGTTCTTCCAAATTCTAATCCTCTAAATTATTCATGTCCCTTTCCTTTTTCTCTTTTCAAATTTATTTCACTGTATTATACTCTTTCAATAACATCTTCAAACCCTAATCTTTTGGATTACTGCTTATACTCTTACTATTTCTACCACTATGGGATTTGAATCGACAATTGTATCTCTGTGATAAAGTGGTATGGCAACTCGAACTGATGTATGTACGTACGAAGTTCTACGTTGTGACTGACTGACTTTCGTCACAGAACGATATGAGTTGATGAATGTTTGAAAACCAGAATGATCTGGGTAGTTGTGTAATTCTTATTTCGGACCTGTTGGTTTTTCTAGTTTCATCTCACATAAAGCTGTAATTGTGTACTGTGGAAAAAGTAGATTACGACAAAATTTGTGTTCAATTAGTGATCTTTCAAAGAAACAAGTCAGTGACTTACTTACTTTTCTCTATGATCTATTGGATCGATTGTAAAATTACCAGTTTCTAAGATGTGAATGTCTTTTGTTAAGTACCATGTTATTTTGTTTACCACTGATTTATTTAATACCATGATATTTTAGGATTGTTGGAGTTTCATCAGATGATGACGGTCTATATCATTGTGTTGCTTCTTCAAGTTTGGGTGAAGATTTTTCACCACCTGCCTTTTTACAAGTTCAGTTAGATGGTAGATGGTCGGATTGGTCACAATGGTCAGAATGTAGTCAAACATGTGGACATGGAACTCAATCAAGGTATGTTATTATGGATAAGATAAGTTGCCCTTGTTGTTTGAATCTATAAGCTAAATGACTAATTTCTTTTCAAATATTTTTTACATCTTTATACAGGACTCGAACATGTACTAATCCAGCTCCAAAATATGGAGGTGCTCATTGTACGGAAGAAAATACTGAAATTCGTCCATGTTTGGTAAAATTCTGTCCTACTGATGGTGAATGGGGTAGTTGGACACCTTGGTCTGCTTGTACAGCCACATGTGGTGTAGGTTTATCTCAGAGACGAAGACGTTGTGATAGTCCACCCCCAAGCAATGGTGGCAGGGTAGGTTCTATGTTGCTATAATATTTGTGATGTGTTCAAGTACTGTATAATCAGTGTAAAAAAATGTTAAGCGTTATCATTATCACCTTATACTTTTATTACTGACGGTCAGAATAAAATATGAAATAGGATATTACAATACCATTTGTTTGGGCTTCTAAATAGTACAATGAATTTGGAAACGCAAACCATTTCATGTTGATTCATTAGTCTAAAGGTTAAGGTCTCTGAGCGACACCTGAAGGTCTCATAGTTGATCTCCGGTCAGGCTGTGGATGAACACTTCTGAGACGTCTAACTCGAGGACGAAACAAGAGTCCAGTAATTTCTAGTTTCCAATATTTGTTTGACTGATATCAGTTCCGAATGCAAACTGGGAAGTAAATTAAATGAACTGAAACAGCAAGATAGTTTGGTTCACTTTACTTTTACCCATTTAAACATACCGTGTTAAGGTAATAAGGAGGGTTGAGTGTTCATTGCATATCGTGCAGTTACACGATTTGGTGGTAATTCACAAGTTCACCGAGTGGCTTATAGTCGTTTTCGATTTCAACAAAATCAAATCGAATCATAACCTACTTTTTCCCTATTTATGAATGATTCATAGTTTAGTTTCGAATCGTTCACCAATATATCTCTTGATGTCTGCAATTCTGTATTTCAACGCTTATGAAGTCATGAATCTGTACCTAAGTACATGAAAATAATTTATTCCTTAAATTTTATTTGTTTTTTATTAAGCCATGTGTTGGTGAAGCTGTTGAAGATGTGATGTGTGAAGGTCTTCCACCATGTCCAGTATCTGGTAGTTGGTCACCATGGTCTCCTTGGTCTGATTGTTCATCAACCTGCGGAACAGGAGGAACTCAAAATCGTAAACGAACATGTGATAATCCAACACCGTCAAATGGTGGCAAATCATGTCCAGGACAAGACCTGATGGTAGGTTTAATAGAAACAACAACTAATTATAAGAGATTATTGATCCAGTTTTTAGTATACAAAATATTTAACATATTCATTATTAATTATAAATGAGTATATTTTGTAAATGAGTTTCAGGCAATGAATTAACCATTCTGTTATTTATATATAAAAATTACTAAAAATCTCCACAAACAACCCCCTTATCATATGCTCACTAGTGACTGGCTCCATGAGGTATTTCTTAGAGTTCTAGTGAGAAGCAGTAACCAGTGAAGTTAAACCAGGTCTGTTGCGAGATAGTAACTCACTGAAGACATTGGTGAATGGTTGCTCAACTTCGTGGATTGGTTGAAGTTATACATTAACACCGTTGGATGCCGGCCGGTTTAGTGGTCTGATGGTTAAGTGCTCACGCGCGAGACTGGTAGGTCCTGAGTTTGAGTCTCGCGAGGCAGGATCGTAGATGCGCACTGCTAAGGAGTCCCACAATGGGACGAAACGGCCGTCCAGTGCTTCCAGGTAGTTTCCATGGTGATCTAGCTTCAATTGACTCATGATTTCAACTATATATAAAAGTTACTAAAAATCTCTACAAACAACCCCATTCTGTTATTTGTTTGAATGATGTTATAAGCATTTCATTTATCATCACATATGCTTATTCCGTTATAACTCTGATAATTCTTAAAAGCACTCTTAAATAATCCAAAGCATTCTATCCTTACAAACATCATTGCCTAAATAGTTTAGTTCCATAATGAGAAGTTACTTTCAACTACCAACGCCTGTCAAAATATAAAGCAACCATTGTTAAATCATTTAGACCAGTTATCACATTGCAACATTATCGATAGAATTCGATCACCACATTATTTATTATGAAATGCTTGATCAGTGTTAAGTTTAATCATATAATTAGTATTATGATTGAGATTGTGAGTCGATCAATGTTAAACAACCATTGAAAACCTGGAAACACCGGACAGCTGTTTCGTTCCATTATGGGACTCCTCCAGCAATGCGCAGGTTTTCAATGGTGGTCTAACATTGAAGGAATGGTGATCTCAATCAAAAACTCAACAATCTCCACAATTCTATATTGATAATTAGTATTATTCAAACAGTTTTATGTTTTTTTATAGGCTATGACAAAGATATAAATAAATGAAGTAGCCCATTGTGTCACTGAATAAAGAGTAAAGGGAATTCAATAGAGGCAATTTTCTTTACGACAAAATCATTTACATACGAGGGGTAAGAGGCGTAAGTAAGTAAGTAACAACTGGTTACTAAAACAAAGAAGGGAACAACAATAATAAGAAAAAAGGGAGAAAAGAATACTGTAAGAGGAGTTATGGCCATAGGAAGATTAGAGGTTGCACGTATCGCTTTAGTATATCGAGTTCAGATTTGAATTGGCGAATTTCCAACAACACAGAAGTTTGACTTACCTTTGATCTCATTCTTTTGACCATGTTAATCAATTTGAAAGACGATTCCTTTGGGTCAGTGTAATCACAGTTACTAAGATGTTCCTGTATTAAGCCACTGATTATGTTGAGTTTCTCTTATTAAAAGGAATAACAGGAAATGTTTTGAAATGGGTTCAGAGAGTATTTGCTTTGTGCAGCCAATGCAACAACAAGTTAACTTAGAAATGCACATCTAGATTATCTTTGAAAATAAGAAATCCAAAACATATAATTATTTAACTTGAAAGTTGTTAGAATGAACAAAAGCTCACTGTTTCAATTTTTTTCCGAATGTAGGTACGTGCTTGTAACCGTGGCCCTTGTCCAATAAATGGAGGATGGGGAACATGGAGCCCTTGGTCTCATTGTTCACATAGCTGTGGTGGCGGTCAACGTCGTCGTACTCGTATATGCGATAATCCGGTTCCAGCATATGGTGGTGAAGATTGTCCACCAACAGGAAGTACAGAAACTTCTGAGTGTCAGTCAGAACCATGTCCAAGTATGTTCCAAAGAGTTCAATTTTGTTCATATCTAAAACTCAATAAAACAGAAACATTCACATAATCACTGATTGTCTTAAATACATGTTTGGTCTCCATTGTCTCTTCAACAGAATCTTTTTATCTATGCAAAACTGGAGGAAATATGAAATGTATTTTTTGCTCGATATATTTTTCCTTAATTGTCAAGCATTGAAAAGAGACAACGGTTACATATTTCTCAATCGTTATAGTAATCTACTCCTGATCAAGGTGTAGACGTTTGTGCGGGTGATTTCTGCATTTATGTCCAGAACTAACCTGTAATCTGTGATGAAAAAAGTTATAGAGATTGGAAACCAGCTATATTGTGACAGTCACGTGCCAAAAAGTTCGTTTTTTGAACTATTCGAGGAAGACATTTTACTTAATAATTCCTTTGGTTATTTGTGAATGCATTTCATTATTAGCTGTTCGAGATTTCTGAAAACACAATACTTTCCTCTTTAGTTCATGGTGATTGGTCGAACTGGTCATCATGGTCAGCTTGTTCGCGTACCTGTGGTGTTGGACTACAGACTAGGGAACGTGAATGTACTCAACCACAACCTCAGTTTGGTGGACGTTTATGCCGAGGATCAGCGAAAGAAATAAGAACATGTGAAACACAAAAACGTGGTAGTTCACAATTTTGTCCAAACAATGAACCTGGACTAATTTCTGCTTGGTCAGAATGGTCTTCTTGGTCGGAATGTGAACCTGATTGCTCGTTAGTTGGTCAAGTAACAGAAAAAAGTGGAATAAAACGTCGTGAACGAACATGTACAGTTTTATCTCCTGAAAATGAGTCAACTCATGGATGTCCAGGTCCAGCTGAAGAAATTCAAGATTGTACACTTGAATACAAACTAGATAAATGTCAAGGTAAGATTGAGTTGTGTGATGGAAACATGTTTTATACCTATAAATGTCTTAGTTTATTATCAAACGCACTTATGAATGTTAGTCATTGTTAACAGACTGTTTTAATTTAGTTACGTTGAGACTATAATTTACGGATGAACCAATCAGATTGAAGATAACAAGTCTTAGGTTTCGGCACGAAATTCATTCATCCATTTGGTTAAAGAGCGTTTTGAAGTCCTAGTTGGTGTCAGTTCGTGATGAAAACCTTAAATCTAATTATTAACTTCAACCATCAACTGTAAATCACAATCCTTATTCTTCACACAGGTTTATAACTCTTATTTAGCCCTAGTAGGTAAGTGAACATTTTCAAGACCACTTTAAGGTCGCTTAAAGGTTAAACATTTACAGTAGTTATGTACATCAATTTACTTAACTACTTAAACAGCGAATGCTTCTGATAAAAAAAATAACTGAAACAAGCTGTGGACTAATATGTAGCAATAGTTTAGGTACTCTGCTTGTAGTCCGTGGGTTGAGAGTTTGATAGTCTACCACCTAATACATTCTGGCTGGCTCATACAAATATTTGTTCCATAGTCACATCAAATGAAGGTAAGTGATGATTTTGAAGTCTAGAACGATAATGTAAACTCCGTAATTAAGGAGTCCTGCATACAGTATGCATTGCCAAAAGATGAATATATGTTACTTGGAGCCTACTACCGGAGTTTTATTTTGTCGTTCAATGATATTCGCTGTTCGTGTTCCTGTAACCAGGAGTATTTTTTTGGTTCTAACATAATTTTATTTACTGTTTAAAATCTTTCATTTAATTAACAGATACTCTACGTAGTGTGAATAAAGGATTGTTAACTGGAACTATTCGAGGTCAGCTAAATAATCAAGACATTGGTACTATTTATCTTAATGCAAATTGGTCTACCTCTGCTTCAAATCTTTCTACTAATTATGAATTCCATTTAACTAATGTACCAATAGAACGTAGTCAATGTTTACAAGCTTTAACTGAAATTTATCTTCCTGGCATCTGGTATGCAGCAAAAGAGGTGAGTTATTTCATTCGAATAGAAAGATTCATAAATGTGGAAGTGGTGTTAATATCTCTTGATTTTAATAATGGTTTGTATTATCCTGTTGTTAATATTCAGGACTTAATTTTGATCGATGTTTACCAGCGTAAGTATATCTTGACTAAATGATCATGATATGGACATTTTTCTAATGTTTCAAAATATATAAATTGTGGTTACGAGTGGAAAGCACAACACGGACATAAGCCAGCAAGGACTGATCGAAATTCTGTCTTGAATATCAACAACGGAACTATACAAACAGTACACGTGTGATGTGGGTTACCTATATCCATATTAGTAGTATATGGTGATGGTCAGTCATAGAAGGTATTTTGGCAGAAGATCGGTAAGGAAAGAAAAGGAACGAAGCGCAATCGATATAAAAATGCATGTACAATAATAATCAAAGACTATGGACTGATATTTGCAGAAAGAGCAGCCAAGACTGAGACAATTGATTGTTATTTTGAAAATTAACTGTTTACTGTATGGTTATCAGATTTTACTGCTTAAATGCATTCGATTGTCCCCACCCTTGTTATGTTCACTACGCACCCATTGAACAAGCCAGTAGCTATATAAATTCATAATTTTAGCGCACAATTACGTCCCAGGTTTAGCAAAAAGTATTAGCTATGAGTCTCAATGTCTTCAAAAGGGATATCATTTAGGACGTTTCCAGTGTTGTTAGTCGTATAAGAATAATAATAATAATACCATGATTATCAAAATTACAGAACATCTTGGTAAAATTAGAGAACCACACAGTAAATACTTCATTTGCAAAATGTCAATCAATTGTTTCAAACTTCACTATTTCTTTTGCAAATATCAGTCAATCGTCTAAGACTTTATTGTTGCTTTGCTGTCACACCAAGCATTTACTGTCTTCGATCTCTTTTCTTTGATCTTATTAACCTTCTTCCCCCAGGCATTTTAATTTCAACTGATGGTACATAGTACTTATATCTGTCGACATCAGTAGTACACACCATAATAATAATAATAATAATAATAATAATAATAATAATAGGATATGTATTCTCAGTAAAAGTTCAGTGAGGTTAATAAACAATACTTACCAGATAAATGAAAGTTACATCATGAACAAGAAATAAGAAGACTACAAATATGTTATAATGGTCCGTTTTCCTTGTATATACGAATGGGACGTCAATTTACCTTAGACGAATATCTACACTAGATTCCCACTCAGTGTCTATTCTACAGGACTTCAACACAACTCAGATCAAGAACACGTGATTAACCTGACTGGAACGTCACTATATTTCCACACCGAAATCCGACACAATCTAACAACAATGAACAATCAATCAATAATAAATAATAAGGATAGGGGAATATATAACTCATTTGACATTTGTCAGACTATTTAAAAAATGTTTAACTAAGCAGACAACTAATAATTCTCGCCCATACATCAAAATATAGTCTATTCCAAATTGAAATTTTGAATTAGTGCCAAATATGCAGCAAAACATTCAGATAAACTGGTTTAAACATTTTGTTAGGTATTAGAAATGGGTTTTATGGAGATTTTAGTAATTTTATATAGTTGAGATCATGAGTCAATCGAAGCTAGATCACCATGAAAAACTTGAAAGCACTGGACGGCCATTTCGTTCTAATATGGGACTCCTCAGCATGATGTGCACTGTTGAGGAGTCCCACAATAGGACAAAACGGCAGTTCAGTGCTTTCAGGTTTTCCATGGTGATTTAGCTTCAATTGACTCATGATCTCAACTATATAAAATTTTGTTAGGTGTCTGAAATATAAGGAAATTTTTAAAAGGGAAAGTTCATTATTATGTTTATGAATTCATGAACTAAGTATCTAGTTGCTTTTTCTAGTTATTTTATCATAACTTATACCAGAAACGAAAGAGATACTATCGTTTGTGTAGTAGATATGATCAGATTTTATACACCATCTGGGATTTGGTTTATACCAGCGATACGTATTTATAAGTCCAATGCATAGAAGAAAGACGGTTTGTTGTTAAAATATTCTGTAATGACATATTGAAACCTTTCGACACACAATAACAGTTAAGTAAAGTATCCAGACTTTTAGTATGTACATTTTCTATGAAATGTTTAGGTATCTGGTGCATCTAATGGTCATACAATTATGGGTTCATTAAATGGAATCACATGGGAATCAATTGGTCAATTTGCTGATGGTAATACAATACAAATGAGCCAACGTGTATTACGATCAAATGATTCAATTGTATCACCTTCAAGTGAATCCATTGTTCATTTGACAACGGATATTTATTTATCTGGATCTTGTACATTGTCTTTAATCGATTCTAAGACAACTACTACAAGTCCTGAAGTTGAATTACATGATTTTCATGAAAATTTGGTACAATTAAGTCCTCAAAAAGGTAAGTACATGAAAAATGTAAAAAAAAAATGTAAACTGACTGATGTCGTATCTTAATGCTAAGCTTAGGTATCATAGTTGTAATTCACTGATGAAAGCTCAATTCCCTTGAGACATAACAAAATCACTGAAATAATGAGCACTAAAAGACACAAAAATAGCTAAGGTCCCCATCAACTTCATTCATGAAATATATATTAAAAAGTGTGCATTACAGTTGTCTAACTAAATAACGAAGAGTAGTCAATCAGATTAATTCAGTAGTGAGTACTAGACGGTATCTATTCCATGTTACTGAGAAATGTATTTGACAGTAAAAATTTACTGTTAATGCATTTCGAATCAACCGTTTGTAGTTGAATTCATAAGTCAATTGAAGCTAGACCACTATGGAAAACTTGGAAGCACTGGATGGCCGTTTCATCCTGTTTCGGGACTTCTCAGCAGTGCTCATCCGCGATCCCGCTTAAAACAGTTATGGTAGGACTTAGTCAATATTACAATGTGTTCATATGTCTTGTATCCAACGAAAATCAAGTTAACAGTGTAGTATATGAAGAAAGTTTCTACACAAGTGAATCATGTCCATAACATGAAATACCATGATACCTTTTGTAGACTTGTGTAGATCAAAGAGTATTAGTGTGAAAATAAAATAAAATTTAAAATACAATGTAATGAATAACAAACGGTAAAATCTAGATTATAGATCAGAAGGGGTTTTGTGGAGAATTGAATATTTTCATAGTTGAAATCATGAGTCAATTGAAGCTAGACCACCATGGAAAACCTGGAAGCACTGGACTGCCGTTTCATCCTATTATGGTACTCCTCAGCAGTGTGCATCCATGACATTAACACCGTTGGATGGCGGATCAGTGGTCTATTGGTTAAGTGCTCCGGAGCGAGACTGCTAGGTCCTTGGTTCGAACCTCGCGAGGTGAGATCGTGGATGTACGCTGCTGTGGAGTCCCATACTGGGACGAAACGGCCGTCCAGTGCTTCCAGGTTTTCTCCGGTGGTCTAACTTCAATTGACTTTTGATTTCAACTATGAAAATCTAGATTGACAATCCTTATTTTTAAAGTGTTCTTCTAGAAGATTATGTTCTCATCTCTTAAATTATTCTTTCTCATTAGGTAGCCTACATAGTCATTCATCAAGAGCATTCACAGTATATAATTTAGAAAGAGAAAAATCACAAATGGAACCTTATTCATGGATTTCTACAATTCAAATTAGTCCAGAGAGAAGACAAACTTATTTAACACAAGAACTTCATGTTAATGGAATAGAAAATAAAGCAAATTTACAAACTGGACAAATTGAGTTTCAAGCTGAAAGTATCATGAAAAAACCTATTGGTCCAGATGTTTGTCCATCTGGTTTTGAATTGAATCAAGCTAGAATTACTGGGACAAATATTAGATTACAAAGAAGACGAGATTATTGTAAAGGTAAACGTCATATTTAACATGGTTTGATTTGATTTTTATTTTTGCAAACCGTGGTTATGAAAGTATCATATAATCTGAGCGTTAAGTGTCCCATAGTGAACATCAACTCTGAGATGCAGGTGCATCCAGCTGACGACTCCCAAATAGGACGAAACGCGCGTCCTGGATTCCACTGCTAACCACTATCCATCTCTGCTTACCATTAAGTGTTCATTGTTTATTTTTAGTGACATATAGGTTTATTCAGATCTAAACTGATTACCGGATATTACTGTTATGCCCCGATAACGGTAATGAATGGTAACTTTGGGATCTGTTATGAGCTTCATTTTGAAGTACAAACTATTGTTATATGATTTAATATTTCTGAATCATGCCCTGTCTATTATTCACTATCTCCCCTGTTCATAGCCACATTTGGCTGAATCTTGTACTAATGTTGTTTCTTATTTTATGGTACGATGTGGTCTGTTTGATTGGTATATAAACTCAGTATGTTTGAAATATAAGGATTCGTACCACAGTAGCTATTATTGGTGCTCTGGACTTCACTGACTGGACTAGACAGAAAACAAGAACGACAAGTACTCTCGACTGCTCGTACGGGTTTCGTGTGTCATTGGTTCGATCGATAATTCACAGCTCTCTAATTGGCGGTATTATCACTTTTCATATATTAACAGGGCATCCAGGCGGCCAAAAGTTATAACAATTATAAAATGACTTCATATGAAAATAACTGACTGATTGTGAAATAATCACATTTCCACTGACTTTTATCTATTATATTTTTATCTAACGTTAAATAAGTTACCAAAATGAATAAATATCAATATAGGGTTGTAGAGATTGTGGAATCTTAATTGATATCAGGAAGCGACCAATGTTAGACTACCAAACCTGGAAGCACTCGATAGCTGTTTTGTCCTAGTATGAGACTCCTCAGAAGTGTCCATCCACGATTGCGCACACAGCAGTTCAGTGCTTTCAGGCTTTCAATGATAGTCTAACTTTGATCAGTTCATGATCTCAATTAAGATTAATAAAGTTGTAGAACATCAACGTCGGGCTCACTAGTGTAGACCGTCAACGTTGATGATCTATGTCAAATGATTGGTGGCCTACTCGAGTTAGACGGGAACGGTGTAACGAACAAGCTAACTTCAAAGTCACACCTCGCGATCAGCATCTTACGTTGATTGCCCCATCGACTCATCAAGGAACTATGGATGCTCTGAAGACTGTACAACACGAAGGACGTCATTAGGAATATATTGGTTAAAGTAGATACAAGCGAAGTAGAACCACTGCCGCATGGGCCAGTCCATGGCGTATGATTATCTGATGCGCGTTGATTGTCCTTGACCTTGACGGGAATCGATGACCTGTTCGATATTTAGTGACCCAACTGGCGAATGGTTTGGCTAGGATTCAGTGACATTTCACTGGCCCTACAAAGTGTTTCTTTTATCGTAAGTTATTTGTAGTTGAAATAACGAATACCTTGTATTTTGTTCTCCTATTTCTTCATTTTTCAGATGTAGACGAATGTGCTTTTCCAAATTTGAATAAATGTGATCATGTATGTAAAAACACTGTACCATACTATACATGTGCGTGTCATAAAGGTTATCGCTTATCAGTTGATGGACATTCTTGTATTGATATTGATGAATGCGCTATAGGTGGAAATAATGAAACTATTTGTTCATATGGACAAAGATGTATTAATACTCATGGAAGTTATGAATGTAAACATGTTTGTGGACCAGGTTTAAAAGAAAATCCTATAACGAATCGTTGTGAAGGTAATCATATGCTATTGGTTAATGTGATATCTAACTATCAGTTAGATCTCAACTTATCATATTTTCATATGAGTTTGTTTTAGAATTTCATATGGCTACTTTACTAAATTAGCTAAATGAGTATGGAAACAATCAGAATGATGATCACTTAGGCAGTACTTCTGTGGTGTGGTCTACTTATATCTATATAAGTAGTATATGGTGTGGGTCAGACATAGAATATATTTTGGCAGAAGACCGATGAGGAAAGAACTGAAGTGAAGCGCAATCGTCTGGAAAATGCATGAGCAATGGAATAAGAGAAGAAACAGTGAAGATTGAAACAATTGGTTGTTAATTTGCAAATTGACTGTTCATTGTTTGGTTATCGGAATTTACTGAGATAGTCTGTAACTTTTGCTTAAATACATTCGATTGTCGTGTTCTGTTAATTACACTTCTAACAACCAAATGAATACCATGTTATACAATATTGAATGTGGCATAGATCTACTGGATTAGATGGAAAGAAGCTAGTTCTCACATTTCTTATTGCGATTCAATGATGAATGATACTTTAAGATCAATTAGAAGAAATTATAATGTACTGACGACATTGAGGAACATTCAAAATAGTATTAACCTTTTCATTCCCTATATTAAGTAGTTAGAAATTAGAACCATAAAATCAAGAACCTATGAATAAAAGTGCTACGAAATTAGAGTATAGATAATTAGTATTATTTGTTTGAATCTTCCCATTGATGTTTAAAACTTTAACTGGTCAGTCTCTAATTGGCATATGTGCATATTGTGCGTATCGCCTCAATATAGCTTAAATTCACAAGCATTGTAAGCAAAGATGGAGTGAATAACGCGATGGCGTTTGAAGCGAAAGGTACTGAGTTCAAGTCCTAGAGTGAACATCGACTCTGAGATGCAGGTACACCCAGCTGACGAGTCCTAAATAGGACGAAACGCGCTTCCTGGATTCCACTGCTAACCACTATCCATCTTTGCTTAGAATATACATGGTTGTTATGGTTAGCTTTCTGATTTTTTGAGATTCATAACCACTGTTTTCTACCTCAAATAAAGTTATTAACGCATTTAATGAAGAAGGGGTTAATTCATGTTTAGAATCTTAGTTCTCTAGTAATTGCATTTGAAATTGTATACTGAAAAATTCAAGAATTAAATTCATAATATTTTTTAGAACTTTATATCACTGGAGTCACCGGGTAAATAATAGTGAAGTTAGACACAGGGTATTAGGGAATGATGGTAAATCATTTAATGACGTTGTAAATCTTCATCGACTGAGATGTTTGGGCCACGTGTTACGATGCCTGAACACTGATTACCACGACGCGCTATGCTGGCTAGTAGTGGGGATCGTTGGAAGAGAGTTAGGAGCGGCCAAACCAGAACGTGGTATCAGCCCTTGAAGTCACTAACTTCTAGTCTGAGCCATGTTGGCAGATGCAGACTACTTGGTTGAGGTCTGTATGACTATCGTAACTAATGGTTTGAGACTCTGTGTGACATGGCACAGAATCGATCACAATCGCGTAGGTGTAAACATTCTTTATCTTCTCTTAAACCATGAGATTAGAATTGCTTCATATCTGTTTTCCTTTCTGTGCTGTATATGAATTTTTTAATGATAAAACATATGATGCATGTTCCCCCCCCCCAAATGTCCTCTCATCTGTTACTAATTCTGTGTTTTTTTACAATCAAATTATGTTGAAAATAATAACAAGATATTGATGAATGCCAAACTGCACCAGGTATTTGTGGACTACATACATGTGTGAATACCTTTGGAGGTTATCAATGTATTTGTTTACCTGGTTACAAACGGATAGGTGAAATATGTCAAGGTAAGATGGTTTTTTATTTATCTATGAATGTTTAAAACTGATTGTTCAAATAAGAATCATTTGTCAAACGAACTAGACTTTCGGTTTACACTTCATGTGTCCAGACTGCTTTTCGAGTTAGATGTATGCTACAGAAATTGATTATATACCAAGTCCCACAACCCTCACCTTATTTTACTGAAAAATATGACTCGTAAACTTTATGCATTCTTACATTTACAAATGCTAATTACTTACTTACTTACGCCTGTTACTCCTAATGGAGCATAGGCCGATGACCAGCATTCTCAAACCCACTCTGTCCTAGGCTTTTCTTTCTAGTTCTGTCCACCTTTTGTTCATTCTTCTCATGTCTATCTCTATTTCTCGGCGTAATGTGTCCTTTGGTCTTCCTCTTCTCCTTTGGCCTTCAGGATTCCATGTGATGGCTTGTCTTGCGACGCAGTTGAGTGATTTTATCAATGTGTGTCCTATCCATTTCTAGCACTTCTTCCTGATTTCTTCCTCTGCTGGATGGAATCTGGTTTGTCTTCTCCCGAAGTAGAATGTTGCTGATAGTGTCTGGCCAACGGATCCGGAGTATCTTGCGTAAACAACTGTTGATAAACACCTGTATCTTCTGGATGATGGCTTTCGTAGTTCTTCACGTCCCCGCCCTATACAGTAGAACTGTCTTGACATTTGTATTGAAAATTCTGATCTTGGTGTTGGTTGACAATTGTTTAGAGTTCCAGATGTTCTTCAGTTGTAAATGTGCTGCTCTCGCTTTGTCTATCCGCGTCCTCATATCTGCGTCAGATCCACTGTGTTCATCGGTGATGGTGCCCAGATATGTAAAGGTTTTCACATCCTCCAAAGCTGCTAATTGGTGTAGCTTTTATGATGCAGAAGTTGGATAAATAGTTTATCTTCCAAAATTTCGATTCATTTGGTCTAGAATCCATAGGATTTTTCCACATTTGTGATTATCTTGTCAGATTGTCTAATTCAAGATTTCATTGGAACAGTGTTAGGTAGTTCCAACGTATTCCTCGGAAAAGTCTATAAGGTTCCAGAAAACCCTTAAAAACACTTTATACAATCAGCATTGAATAGATGAGTCTCAGAAACATCTAAGAAATGATGACTAACGTATCACGTTTCGGACTGGACATTTACCCATACTACTGTTATTTTTAGTATGGTCCAAGAAACTTCCAGAAACTAATGCTCGTGTGTGTAATTCTATAAATACCTTCCTATTCTGTACACAAACTAACCTTAGAGTACAGCGTTCTTTTCGTAATTCACGCCTTTTGTCTTTTGTTCAAGTTGCCATATAGACTTCGTCTGAGGTTTTTATTAACAGACATATCAAATACTTCCAGATTTCATTGTCAAAAGTAGGATTCGTGTACCATATAAGTGACTAGACATAAATATCACTTTCAAGTCCGTTCAAATTTGTTCACAACTTGTAGCTCATTTCAGTAATAGTCTTTCGGATAATCTGGAGACTTGTTAGATATTTTATGCCGGCGCAAACAATACGGGTAGGTTTAAGGCTATTCTATTATACCATATTATACTTTATGAATTCAATGGATTCATATGTAAAATATTAATGACAAATTTTTAAATTCAGATATTGATGAATGTCTATCTGGAGCTTACCAATGTGGTGAAAATGAACGATGCGTAAATATACCCGGCAGTTTTCGTTGCCAACCTGCATGTCCACAAGGATACCGTGCGATTGGTACACCTGAGTCTAATATTATTGAATGCGTTGATATTGATGAATGTGCTATCGGAATTTCTCAGTGTCCGATTGGATCAAAATGTATTAATGAACCTGGAACATACAGTTGTCGTTGTTTAAATGGTCATGAAGCTGGAACTCAAGGATGTGATAGTAAGTTACAAGACATTTGTGATTAGTTTTAATGAACTTTATTATTCGAAAAATCTAGTCAGGTTGAAAACGGATTAACAATTACTGAAACAGTTGGCATTCTAAAATAAATAACAGGCATGAAGTCATCTATTGGTTACATTACTTGCAATGCCGCATACTACGTATAACAAACTAAAACAGTAACGTTTATTTCACATGCCTTCGTGTTATCCACTTAACTATTAAGTCCTGAAGACAGTACTACGTTCGAGTCCCAGAGTGAACATCAACTCTAAGATCCAGGTACATCCAGCTGAAGAGTCCCAAATAGGACTAAAAGCGCGTCCTGGATTCCACTGCTAGCCATAAACCATCTTTGCTTGAAATACTTGTGAATTCAGGCAATTTCGGGGCAATCCTCACTGGATGCACATATGTTAACGAGAAACTGATCAATTTCAGTCCCAAACATCAATGGGAACGTTCAAACAAACAATATCAAGTGAATTTAAATCGTATTCTGTAAAACGGAGATTGCTACGACGTCGTCATGTAAAATTACAATATTTAAGTTTGTAGGTAGGAAAACGAGAAACAAATAGAACAGATGAGTACAATTAGCGCCTTACAAGTTCACTATTTTCCTTTAAATATTATTGAACCATGTACTAACCATGATCTATTATTGAGTAACAATACGTAAAATCAAATATCATCGGTTGGTACTGTAGTTCCATTATGCCCTCATGATACAACGAAAGAACAACAATGAATCTTCGAATCATACAGAACAAAAGAATTCTATAAAACAACGAACACTTTTCGAAGTGCTTTAGTTCAAATATAAGATAAAATTCCTATCACTTCGATACATAGTTTTGTTTACAGACAAGGATGTGTAGATCATGATATATTCTGTATTGGAGAGTCTTCTTGTGAAATCGAGACACTCACCAAAGAACATCTACGCTACCCGAAAAGATCGAATAATTGTAGAGCCACAAAATCTATAAATTAAATAGCAGTACATGCTTTCTTTAACAATCGTAAACGTCGATATGAATAATATTACAATGATCCCAAAAAGGTTTTGACTACTTTGCTAAATCCTACCACGCTTTGCAGAAAGAAAGGCCATCCAATATGAGACATTTATCCAAATATTCACAAATTTAATTCTGTTAAACTGTCATACGGTAGTGAACAAGAACACAAGTGGGGACAATCGAATGTGATCAGTCCTACAGGAGGTCGGTCGCGGCCCGAGTAGCTTAGTGGTAACGTCTCTGACTGTGAAGCTGAGTGACGCGGGATCGAATCTGTCAGGGAGCACCAGTTCCCTTAAGATTAAAGGTACACTTTGCTGACGAGTGCCAAGTAGCACGAAACCCGGGTATAGGGTTTCCTGTTGACCACCACTAATCACCATGTTACAATCGAATGTATCTGAATACCAAAATTACAGAATATCTCAGTGAAATTGGAGAACCATACAGTAAATACTTAGTTTGCAAAATATCAATCAATCGTCTCAGACTTTATTGTTCCTTCGTTTCCACACTAATCATTCTTTGTTCTCATTCTCTTTTCCTTGATCTTCTTAACCTTCTGCCTCCAGGCATTTTACTTTCGATTGATAATACAAACTACCTATATCTGTCGACATCAGTAGTACACATCATAATAACATTTACAAATACACACATATTCCTAACCTTACTCTTCCATAAGTATCACATTTATCACATCCACTAACATAAACACATACAATTACACTCAACTAAGCCTCACTCGAAACGTAATCTTGGCAGTAATAGCATAATATTAATATGATCAGACTTATAAAGCATAATTTTTGAAGCGAAAGGTACTGGGTTCGAGTCCTAGAGTGAACATCAACTCTGAGATGCAGGTACATCCAGCTGACGAGTCGCAAATAGGACTAAACGCGCTTCCTGGATTCCACTGCTAGTCAATATCAATCTTTGCTTACAATAATTATTTTGTTTAATGATAAGGTATTATTTAATATACAAATTTCTTAATTTTAGATCGACGTGATTTGTTATGTAATGAAGGATTTCAATGGAATCGAGAAAAAGGCTGTATAGGTAAATGTTAAGGGTAAAAATTACATATTCATTCATAACTTACATAATTGTAATAAGTCATCAAACCTGGAAACAATATTTTGTATGGTTTGTAATCCGTTTTAATTACTAATTCATGTTTCTATGTTTAAGCAACCATCTTTATGACAGGTAAAGACTAAGACTAATATAGAAGCGCTTTTGTATAAAGCTGAGTAGTCGTGTTCAAAGCTCACGCTTATTTGAAAGAACAACAGGATGGTGACTTTGGTTAGAGGAATAAGCTAAACTACTGGAAGCACTGAAAGACCGTTTCGTCCTACTATGGGAAACCTCAGCAGTGCTCATTCACAGTCCCGCATGTAGGACATGAATCCAGGACCCTCGGTCTCGCGCGCGAATGCTTAACCTCTAAACCAATGAACTATCCAACAGTGTTACTCTCTAACTTCAACCAATCCACAATATTGTGCGACCGTCCACCATCGTCTTCAGTGAGTAACGGCCTAACAACAGACACGGTTGAACTACATTAGTCAAGGCTTCTTACTAGAACTCTAAGAAATCTATCTTAAGGCTTTAGATTATTAGTCTATCACTAGATATAAACATCATCAAACATTCATAATATACATATGCATTGACTTATTTTTTTCATTTATAAATTGAATAGATATTGATGAATGTAATCCATCATTTGGTTCAAGTCCATGTCAGTATAATTGTGTAAATACATATGGTGCTTATCGTTGTGAATGCCCAATAGGCTATGAAATAGATCGTAAAACAAATTTATGCAGAGGTAAGTACACTTATAGCTGAGTATTAAATTAAATAGATTAAAGCTGAACATTCTTTTATATGATAGTTTTCATCTTAATATTAAAATATTTCAAAAGATCAATTATCAGAAGGGGTTTTGTGGAGATTTAGTATTTTCATAGTTGAAAGCATGAGTCAATTGAAGCTAGACCACTATGGAAAACCTGGAAGCACTAGACGGCTGTTTCGTTCTATTATGGGCGCGGGATCGTGGATGCGCACTGCTGCGGAGTCCCATAATAGGACGAAACGGCCGTCCAGTGCTTCCAAGTTTTCCATGGTGGTCTAGCTTCAACTGACTTATGCTTTCAACGATTCCAAAAGATGTTAATTATTGATTTTAGGAGGTTTTCCTTTCTCTTCTCCATTAAATTGTTTTCACTACTACGCAGAAGAACATTTATTATATGATCTCTTTAGTGAAGTTTGCTGTGTTTGATTAACTGATTGAGTCAGTAACAGTTTAAGCTATAAGTAATTTGATCAGATTAATTTTAAGTCAATTAATTGGAAAATCATAACTACAATGCATTTTAAATTCACTAGGTATTGTTTGTTTGAAACTTCACATTAATGTTTAGGACTGCAACTGGCCAGTCTCTTATTGGCATGTGTATACTGTGCGTATTGCCTCGATATAGCCTTAATTCACAATCATGTTAAGCAGAGATGGGTAGTGGCTAGCAGTGGAATCCAGGACGCGCGTTTCGCTCTGTTTCAGACTAGTCAGCTGGATGTACCTGCTTCTCAGAGTTCATGTTCACTCTGGGACTCGAACCCAGTTCTTGTTCGCTTCAAACGCCATCGCGTCATCTACTTAACTACTGAGTCCTGGTAGCCACTTGCTTGTGCCATGGGTAAAGTTTAAATTCACTTGGTGTTGTTTGTTTTATTCTTCCTATTGATGTTTTGGATTGCATCGATTTTAGTTTACTTAGTTCACCTTCTCGCGGATAATTCAGTTACATTCTTTTTTTTCTCGCTCTCTGATTCCCTATCTTTGTGTTCTTTCTTTCTTTTTTTCAGATATAGATGAGTGCAATTTAAGCAATCCTTGTAGATCAGATGAAGTTTGTTTAAATCTTCCAGGTAATTACACATGCGTACAACAAAGATGTCCGAAAAATTATGTTTACGATAAAAAGTCTAGGTAAGTTCAACCTTTAATTAAACGAATGAGGTTAGTTACTTACCAACCCATAGGCACAAAACCATTTTAATTGTAACCAGTTATTACGATATATTGCTTAAAGAAAAGAGATGGCGCATTCTAAATACTTGTTGTGATTGAGAGTAACTGCCACCAGCTAGTACTATTCCATATCAAAGACCGATGAATTCTAACTCAGTAGTTCAAATGTTTCTTTGTTCCAGAATAGTATGAATGTCTTGTGTTAAATTTTGAGTGGATTCATTTACCTGAAATACTTATAAGTTTAAAACGAGAATGAAATTGTTCAGGAGCCCCACGTTAGACCCCTCGTTGGGGTGGTTGAAGATGAATATCAACTAGTCCCATACTAAAAAGAAAAAGCCACTTAATGCATCCTTTCTTGAAACACAAATATAAGGACAAAGAGGCACTAAATCTATGTGCGCCACACTTTATTATTGGACTTGTGTGAGGGCTGGGGTACTGCCAGAACACCCGAATCGAAACAGGTGGTTTTATTAGTAAGCTACACCCCGAGCCCCTGATCTAGAAGTCTAATCCATATGTCACTGGGGCAACGTTAAGAGATGCAGCCCCGTGGTAACCGGTGACTACCATTAGGTTCATGCGCCATTTGCTCCCTCAGAATCCTAGGGCTCGTGTGTGCCATTGTTTCGAAATTGGGGTTTTTCAACTCCGTGTCTATCAACCCGGTTAAATCCATTCACATTCGCTTTTCGCCCTCCCAATGCCGCGAGAAGGCATTGAGTAAGACTTCCCTGTTAGTGGTTGTATACGTGTGTCCGTGTGGGAGTATTTCGAGAGAGAGAGAGAGAGAGAGAGGACGGACTCTCCCCACTCTCAGTCGTACCAAGGAATTTGAGGACTCTAAAGTATCCTAGTTTTAAACAGGTCTATAACTAAGATTAACTCATGTTGCTAACTATGAAATGTTTGTTACTCTTTATTAGTTATGTTGCCTTATGTAACTAGTTAAACGATGACCAGAAGGTTAATCTATTTCTAGTTAGTTTAAAACTTTTAAATTCAAATTAACTTTGATTTTAACTGTACTTAAAATTCATCGAAAGGATGGTTCATTTATTATTATCATTTCATAATCTAGATCTTGTCGAATAAGATGTATTGATTCTAAATTAAATTGTCCATATGGTGCTATGTTCGCTGATACTGTGGAATATTTAGTTGTTAGTCTTCCATCGCCTGAATCATACCGTGTGACGGGGTCAAGGATAATGCTTCGTGTTGTTGACTGGCATCAAGTAAGTGAGACTGGTTTTACGGATACAGTTAATTCAAATAAATGATTATATATATATTTTATTGTCAGTAAGGGGTTGTAAAGATTGTTGGATTTCATTGAAATCATGAACCAAAATAAGTTAGACGATCACTGAAAACCTAGAAGCACTGGATGATCCATTTATGATACTAAAAAATGGCCATCCAATGCTTTCAGGTTTTCAATAATAGTCTAACGTATATCGATTCATGATTTTAATGATATATTTCATAATTAAAATTAAAATACAAGTATATTCCGTACAATGAAATTAGTCGGCATATTGCTGCAATATTGCCTGAAGTGAACTAGTTGGTTTAGTTACGAAGCCTTTATTATGTTTTCGGACAACTATTTTAGGAAGCTCACTTTTCTTAGAATCCAGAATAGATGGATCTTGATCACAGCTGTAATTGTAAGATTGATAGGTAAATCATTCAGCTCAGTAAACGTAACTGTGATAAAAGCATTCTTCTGAACTGCAAACGTTCACGATCACTTTTAAATGAATACATTCTCGAGTGTAATGTCTTCATGACGTTTGTTGAAGTAGTAAAAACTATAGAGAACTGAACATCTTTTGTTGTTCCATTTCTCAACTCTTCAGAAGTGTACACCCACTGCACGACATATGACTTCCAATAATTATTGCAAGCACAGCACATTGATTAACTGAAGTGAAATTCAATAATATGCACTTTTGACTTTAGTAGTACTGTAGTGAACGAACACTTAAGTCAGGACAACCAATTTATTATCTAACGCAACATTCCAGAGTGATTTACTAAGACCTGAAAACTGTACATTAAATACTTCATTTGATCATCTTCGATAAATTTTCTCTCACAAACTTCACCGTTCCTTCGTTCTTGTTATTATTACAACTACTCTCTTGTTACATTCCTGTTCTCATCAATTTGATCTTTTCAACCTCGTGCTTCCGACATTCTACTACTGATTGGTGTTGCATAATACTTATGTATGCATGAGTAAATTAAAGCTAGACCACCATTGAAAACCTGGAAACATTAGGCGGCAATTTTGTCCTAGTATAAGACTCCTCAGCAGTGCGCATGTACGATCCCGCCTCGCGAGATTCGAACCCAGGACCTATCGGTCTCGCTGACGAACGCCTAACCTTTAGACCACTGAACCGTCATCCAACGGTTTTAATGTGTAACTTCTACTAATCCATGAAATTGAGCGACACATCTATCATTGTCTTCGGTGAGTTACTATCTCACAACAGACGTGGTTGAACTCCATTGGTCACTGCTTCTTACTAGAACTTCAGAAAATACCTCTTGAAGCCAGTCACTAGTGAACATATGTTGACTAATATCAGAAAGAGGTTTATGTAGATATTATGGTAATTTTAATAATTAACATCATTAGTCAATTGAAGCTAGACCACTACGGTAAACCTAGAAACACTGGAAGGCCGTTTCGTCCTAGTGTGGGATCCCTCAGCAGTGTACATCCACGATCTTGTACGTGAAACACGAACTCACGACCTGTAGTCTCATACACAAACGCTTAACCTCCAGACCACTAGATTAGTATCCAACGCGGTATCATGGACACACAATGCTGAGAAATCTCACATTAGAGCAATACAGCCTTCCAATGCTTCCAGGTTTTCAATGGTGATCATCAACAATTCCATCGTTATTCATCTTTAATCCATAATTGATATTTACAATTATCAACATAAATAATAGTTAAGATCAGTGAATTATTTAATAATTCTAATTCTGAAAATGACAAGTTTTAAAGAAAACTCAAAAAAAACACAAAGAGAACACCACTGATCACATAGATATAATTTCTGGTATGATGTTGTTAGGGAGATTTTTTTAGAAAATTCAAATCAAATATTGATGTTTTTGTTTTTTCCTCCTCCTCCTCCTCCTCCTCCTCCTCCTTCTTCTTCTTCTTCTTCTTCTTTATTTTTATTGACTTAATAGAGATTTGTTCACGTTTTTCGATGTGGAAGTTTACTTCAAGGGGTTTATTTAAAATGACAATCGTTTTTTTGTTTTATGCAAGTGTGGTATGGCAATGACATATATTCAGGTTATTATTCTCTAAAATATTTCTATGACAATTAAGAAAGCGATAAATGATCTAGTTTTATTCGAAAATTTTCTGAGAATAGACCGACCACCAGAATTCTCCATCCAACTTTGTTGTCGACAATCTTTTCCAGTTGTTTCCAGTTGCTTACTATTCATCCTTTTCATATCTGTTTCCGATTCCCGACGTGGAGTGTTCTTCGACCTTCAATTTTTCAGATTCACTTCACGATTCCAGGTTAGGGTTTGCCTCGTGATGCAGTCCCATGATTTCCACAATATGTGTCCTATCCACCATTACCATCGTCTCTCTTCCTAATTGCCTCCTCATTTGGAACCTGCTGGTTTGTTCTCTTCCACAGTAGGAGTTCCATACTAGGACACAACGGCGGTCCATTGCTTTCAGATTTTAAATGGTGGTCAAGCTTCAATTGACTCATGAATTCAACTATTAAATCTATAAAAGGAATTCTGGAACGAAACTGAATTAACAGTCTAATCGCATTGATAACCGCAAGTATATTTTCCTCCTGGAAGAAGAAGACTTAGTTTATTGAATAACAGTGAAATTTAGTCGTAACTTTAATTAATTAAATGACATGAACCTGAAAAAATACATAAATGAAAACTTGGCAGAAACTGAATAAATGTTATCACTTGATATCACTACTGCTACTGTAATGGATGAGAACTCAGGCAGGAGACTAGCGATTGTATTTAAATGTATAATTATAGAGTCTCTTGGTAAAATATGAGAATCAGACATTGAATATTTCATTTGCGATGTTCCATTTCAATTCCCCTCTATTTTCAGTTTTGTTTCCTTCAAGTTGACCCATTTAGCCTTCTGCTGCCATACATTCCTCATCTGATTGTTGTCACAAACTAGTTATGTCGACAGATATATGTAGCGTACATCACACTAATACTATCACTAATGTAGTGAACGGAAACCCAGGTACGGTAAAACGGTTTATTGTTTTATACAAAATCAAATGGTAGCTTTGCAAAATATGAAAATCATACATTAAATACATCATTTGCATATCTTCCTTTAGTCGTCCTTTACATACTTCATCATTCTTTCCATGCTATTGTTATTTCGATCGCTCTTCGTTTCCCTTCTTCTTCTACTTATTTCACTTTACTGCTGATAAGCATTCTACTTTCGATTCTAGCTACATACTATTCGTGTCTATCCGCATAATAAGTGCACACCACTCTAATACTAGTAGGACGATTGTCTACTTATGCACAAAGATACTAACACAGAACAATCTTTAACAATTGACGAAGTACCAAAATGTAGTTATCAAATCTTATTGTTTAGTTATACCATTTAGTCTTATTCCTTTTACTTAATTGTATTCCGTTTTACAATTCAGGTTCAACAATCGAATTGTTACTATCAACTATTAGATAAAGCACCAAATACACCAGTTCAACATCGTACAGAAGATGGAGTTGTTTATTTAACACCAAATTGGGCTAGAAATAATAATAATAATACAAATCAAACTCGTGAACGTACATTATTAAGTGCACATATTGAAGCAGCAACTAATCCAACATATCAACAAATAAAATATGATGAACCTGGTCAATTGTATTATTTGTTCTTCCGTGTATCATGTTATGAAAATGATTCATCCACATCATCATCATCATCATCATCCGCATCATCATCCTCATTGTCAACAATGGAATCTTTACAAACGACTATATCATCAGGGCATAAATCAACGGTTATGACATCAGTTCCTTCATCATCGATAACTTCATCAATGATTAATAATGAATATAGTATTGATAATCAAGCATGGTCTAATAATACATCATGGGATATGAATAGTCATAATCAAACAAATAAAAAATATAAATTAGTATTTCAACATTCATTTTATGTTTACATTTCAATATCCAAATATCCATTTTAGGTATAATTTGTCATTTTGAAACAGTATCTATGCAAGGATATTGTCCTAAAACAGTACCAGTTTCTAAGGGAACTTCATTGATTGATCTACATTCATCTTTATTGTTTCTCTTTTTATGTTTATTCGGTATGGAAATTTAAAAAAGAAAAGAAAAAAAGAGACAATACACCTTTGCTTTTTCTAGTCACTTTTATTATTACTTACTTACGTCTGTTACCCCTCGTGGTGGAGCATAGACCGCCCACCAGTTCTGGTTAACGTTTCTTCAGCGAGTTAGTTTTCTACATGATGAGGTCGTTAACCTCATGCACAACTCTCCTTCTTTACCCGGGCTTGGGACCGGCAGTAAATCTATAAGAACTACTGGCGGAGTTTCTTTATTATTATTTACTTTTAATTGAAATGAACTAGACAATTCAATAATGTTTATAGGTATCATTATCAAGTTTTGATTTGATCATTTTGAATACATTGAGCATTGGATGGTAGATTGTTATAAATAAATGAATTAATATATATTTGTAATGTTTCAATAAGTAGAAAAATTAGATTTTCTGACGTTTCGTCACTCAATGTAAGCCACTTCTTTAGAGAATAAACAATCTGAAGAAGCGGCTTACACTGAGTGACGAAACGTTAGAAAATCTAATTTTTCTACTCATTAGGATAATACAAATATATATTATATATATTTATAAACGATTCCAATGTTGTTTTAAGTGATAGATCATTTTACATATGTATTCGGTGTTTCTATGTTGTTTTGTTTAAATGTAACCCTTTTTTTTAATATTTCACTTCTTTATTCATGTTATCTAAACTTACAGCTTGACTATAGTAACCTTTTCGAAGAAAAGATACAGGATAAGCATAGAACACGTTCTTCCCTTTTTTTTTTGTTGTTATTGTTGTCAAAATTCATAATTAGGACATGGCAACTAATGTTTTTTTTTCTTTTTTTTGTTCTTCTTCTTCTTCTCCTTCTTCAAAGAATGCAAGTTTTCCAATGTATTGTAATAGGTAAAAAATTAAATCAATTTTATAATGATTCTAATAACCGGTTCTATATGTGTTTAAGTAAAAAGAAGTGTATTTTATCAATGTATGTTATCAGTATTATAATAATATATGCTACATTATAATAAAAAAAGATCTATGTATTATAAGTAAAGATAAATAGTGGGTAACAGGGGAATATGGGATGAGCGTTTTGTTCTATTTGGAACTTGTCAATTGTATGTACTTGGATCTTAATGAAAACATTGAAGTTAATCCTATTCAATGTAACCATATTTGATAAATTGCATCATATCTACTGAATTATGATCATATATACTATGGAATAAGAATATGTGAGTGGTTTGATTCTGAATGAAAGCAAAAAGTAAACATTAGATAAACTGAGGATCAATCGTAATAACTAAGCTACTCATTTATATTTTCCTCCGAGTTAAATCTAGTGAACTACTTTCGATCACGGTACCCATAGAATAGAATGACAAGTGTTTGGAAGATGTTATAAGTTAACAGATTTTAATATGTTGACGAAATCTTGAATTGGAAGATGGTAGATCATTCAACAAAAGTAAAGCAAGTGAATAAGAAAGAACAATTTCGGCATAGAATATCCTCTATCCTTTCATGAAGTAAGAGCATAATTGTGAATGTCACAAGCTCCCTGTGTTTATGTAAAGAAACATTGAACCCTGACAGTAGTCAGATCCATTAGATTAAGGCTTCATAGTAGTCACTTAGAGCTTTTGCACTGACATGTGAAACCGCACGTAACATCTTCATTTTACTAGGAAAATAGTCGACACTTTGGTTAAAAAGAAATACCAGATATTTATTAAGGTTAATAAGATCAATCTGTAATCACTTTAAGTATCATCATAGGTCTAACCTGTTAATCTATAATAGCACCATTATAAATCAGAAGGGGTTTTGTGGAGATTTCAGTATTTTCATAGCTGAAATCATGAGTCAATTGAAGTTAGACCACCAAGGAAAACCTGGAAACACTGGACGGCCACCTCTACATATTATGGGGCTACTCAGCAGTGCGCGCTCACGATCCCGCACTCGCGAGATTCAAATCCAGGACCTACCAGTCTCGCGCCGGAGCACTTAACCGATAGACCACTGAGTTGGCATCCGATGGTGTTAATGTCTAACTTCAAGCAATCCACGTTTTTGAGCAACCGTTCACCAATTGTCTTCAGTGAGTTGATATCTCTAAAAAAGACTTGGTTGAACTCCACTGGTTACTGCCTCCCAATAGAACTCAAGGAAATATCACTTGAAGTCAGTCACTGCTTCCAGGTCTTCCATGGTTGTCTAGCTTCAATTGACTCATGATTTCAACTATGAGAAAAGCCCCATTAATCAATGTAATGGTCAAAGAACAAATTAAAGAAAAACTGTGAACAAAAACAGTAAAGGATAATGAAGTTACGAAAAAAAACAAATTCATTAGAATGGACTGATTTAACATATCAAGATACTCAATATAATGTGTTAATATCAGTATCTAATTACAACATAGTGTTCATTAAGATGTTTGGCTAATCAAACGTATTCGCTGATCATTGATGAACCAATTAAAAATTGAAATTAGAAATGTAAACAATGGGATACCAACTCAATGGTCCAAAAAGTTAAGCTAGATGTGAAAGTTCTATGGTGTCCTGCATATACTATGATGACAGACCCAATACTAAAACGAAATAGTTGTACAACCCTTCCTGATTTCTTACGATTGATTAATCGAAATTAATCCGTGATGTGAAATTTAACAATCTCTACAAATTTCGACTGAATAACGAGAAGTGGGAGTTGATATGAAAAAAGTAATGTATTCACGTTGTACATTACGAACAATCTAGTGGAGAAAATGTGTAGATCAGGTGGGTGATTTTGATGAAGTTTTATTCTCTGAGACGGATGGTTTGGTCGTGGAGACTTCTGCCCGAAGTTTGTACTGATGATGTCGTTCAGAAGAACGATGAAAGCTCCACGACTAAATCATCCAGCTCAGAGAACAAAACTCCATCAAGAGTAATCTAGTCGTACATATACTTGTTAAAGCATCATATATGAAAATTAATAAAAATTAATTAAATGAAGGTTCAGGTAAACAAAATAATAATTGTAAATGAAAGCCTTGGCTATTCGTTAATTTAAACCCCTGTCATATGTACAGAAACAAGTTGTTGTAAACTTAAATTTGCCCTGGTAATCCCTTGGTCATATACCTATTCTTTGCAGACGATATTAATTTCCTCCTTTATTTAAAATTATCAATTTTTATCAGAAAAGGGGTTTTGCGGAGATAGTAGTAAGTTAATAGATGAATTCATAAGTCGATCGAAGCTAGACCACCATAAAAAACCTGGAAGAACTAGACGACTGTTTTGTCTTAGTGACTGGCTTCAAGAAGTATTTCATGGAGTTCTACTGAGAAGCCATGACCAGTAAAGTTCAACCGTGTTTGTTAAGAGGCTGTTACTCACTCAATACAATGGTGGACAGTTGCACCATTTAATGAATTGGTTAAAGTTAGACATTGACACCGTTGGATGCCGGTTCAGTGGTCTAGAGGTTAGGCGTTCATGCACGAGACTAGAAGTCCTAGCTTTGAGTCCTGATAGCGGGATCGTGGATACATAATACTGAGGAGTCCCACAATAGGACGACACGGCCGTTTAATGCTTCCAGGTTTTCTATGGTGTTCTAGTTTTAAATGACTCATGATTTCAACTATGAAAATATTGACATCTCCACAAAACCCCTTCTAATTATATAACCTCTTTAAACAATCATATTTGGATGTTGAATTAAATAGGATAACATAAGTGAGTTAAATGAGAAACATGTGAAAAGTTCACAATGTGAAATAAATGACTGTAATAAATAGTGTGTATGTATGTGTAAGAATGAGTTAATAATGAATGATATTCAGTGTTGATATGTTTCTATGTGAATGAAAAATAAGAATAAATGTGCAAATTGAAGGTTGATAAAAATTGTTTCTGAATCATTGAATTGCAAGTAAAAATGAGAATTGGTTGAAGTTAGACATAAACACCATCGGATGCCGGCTCAGTGGTCTATCGGTAAAGTGCTCTGGCGCGAGACTGGTAGGTCCTGGGTTCGATAATCGCGAAGCGGGATCGTGGATGCGCACTGCTGAGGAGTCCCACAATAGGACGAAACTGCCATCTAGTGCTTCCAAATTTTCCATAATGGTCTAGGTTTAATCGACTCATGAACTCAACTGTGAAATTATCAGTTCGTTTACGTAAACCTTCATTTAATTATTTTTTTATTAATTTTCTTATAAAATACCTTTACAAGTGTATGTATGACCAGATTATTCGAAATGTATAACGAAAATAGACATTAAATAGGAATAATATATTTGTAAAATCTCATCAAATGAATTTGAAGTAAATCCAACATTTCGCTTAGCAATCTCGTCCAAGCTTTTTCAAGGAAATATAAACAAACATCAAAATTATCGAATATAAATAGGTACATGGTTCTCCGAGTTCATTATACACTGAATAGGTCATCCAATCAGCGTTGAAAATGTCTAATTTATTAAGTTATTTATTTCAACACATAAATATTGGTACAAGGAAGAACCAGATAAATATGCGCCTCACAAATCGAATGAGATTTGTGTGGGGGCTGTGATACTGCCCAGGTGCCCAAACTCAAGCAGGTGGTTTTCTTAAGGGGCCACACCCAGAGCCTTTCACCTAAAGATCTGATCCACAATGAAGTGGAGCACTCTAAAGAGATGCAGTCCCATGGAAGCCAGTGACCAACAGTTGGTTCATACGCCATTCGTTACTTCAGGATACTGGAGCCCATGTGCACCGTTGGTTTGGAATCAGGGTTTTCCAACTCCCCTAAGTGGACTTTCGGTGTCCACCAACCGGGTTAAAGCGCCGAACATTCGTTTTTCGTCCTCTCAATCTCGTAAACAACAGTAATGTCACGAGAAGGCAGTGAGTAGGACTTCCTTGTCATAGGCTACATACACGTGGCCATGTGAGAGCATTTGGAGAGGGAGAGCGGACTTTCCCCACTTTCGGCCACACCAGGGCATTTGGGGGCAAAAATGTCTAAACTAAACATCAACTCGGCGCCCAATTACTGTGAAACTATTCTCTCTAATTTAGACGAAAGTCCTTATATATATATATATACATTACATTTTTCATATCAACTCCTACTTCTTATTATTCTATCAATATTGATAAAAGATACAAGTTACTTTAAATTTTCACATATTCCCCCCTCACGTATTCATCCATTTCAATTAAAAGACTAATATTTGAACGAAGAATATTCTTTTCTATAAATTCTCTCTTCAGGTTCTACAATTCATATATCCAAATTAATAATCCGAAAAAATGGCCAGGTTATAGGCAAAGTACATCATTTAATAGATGTAAATTTAGGATTATCAAACCAAATAGAATAAAATTGTTAATGTTGATGTGACTCATATAGAATGTTAACGCTGGAATCTGTATATATGTTAAGTGAAAATTTAAGATCTGTGATCAGAATAGGTCAGATAGGGTGAGAGATATAATAGTGCAATTACAATTCGATCAAGTGGAATAATAATACAAAAATTTGTGAATAAAGAAAAGAGAGACAATTACATTTGACTACGAAAGGTCGTAAGTACAATAGTCAAATTAGGTCATCCAATAGCTAAGATTACTATTGATTAATTGGCCTTGTGGTTGACCAAGGGAGGAACAGGAGTTGAAGATATTTCTTCTGTACACATAACTCCGGTTTCTTCATCCTGATGCCTCCGCCGTTTGAAGGACTTTAAGCCTTACAAGCTTTGGCAAAAAAATATTGACCCTATAAATAATTGAAAAAGATTGGTTTATACTGTCACTATGACCAGTTTGTACTAAATCAGCCAATATCGAACTGTTTACTTTCTTCATCAGACCTTTGCTTAACCACTCTGGGAGGTGTTCACGAGCAAGTATTTCGATAGCTGCATCCCCTCTGAATTTCAATTAATTTAACCATGAAAAATTATTCATATACAATTTTCTTAAGATTATAAAAACAACCAATCAAACAACAATCATATGTGCGTGCGTGTATGTATGGGTGAGTGGGTGTTACATTTTCAAATTTAAATTACTCCTCTCCCCAAAAAAAACAACATTTAAAAAACACAAATTAAATTCATTCAAGGTTAAATGAATTTTCTATATAAAAACGAATGAAAAATCCTTGGAAAAAATAAAAACAAAAAAAACCCAACAAAAAGCAAAAAAAAAAAACAAACACCAACCAACCTATTGTCCATCCAAATGCCTAGCAACTATTTACTAATATTTATTCTATTACATATATTATTTATACAATATTATAATTGTATCATTCATGAATATACCTTATTATTAAATCAAAATGATCATTATAAGTTACAATGGTCTGTAGATGATGACAATAAGATGAAATGGTTAAATTTTAATGTTTGTTATCAATTAAGTAGTAATAATGAACAATTCAAAATAAAAAATTTAAAATTTTTTGGTATTGGATTTGGTAATTATGATGAACCAATTAATTTAGATATGTATTTATTATATTTTTCATTATATAATAAAGAAATTGAAAATAATTATAAAGATAATTATTTATTTATGGTAAGTGATTGTTTTTTGTTTTGTTTTCGATTTGATATGAAATGATCTTATGTTTCATATATATTATAAGTTAAGAGTTTGCATACGAGACCTAAGGTTTTGAGTTCGAGTCCTGTGCACAGGATTGTGGTTGTAAACTTCTGAGGACTCCTGGGTTTGAATCTCGTGAGGCGAGATGAGATCGTGGATGCGCACTGCTAAGGGGTTCTATAATAATAGGACGAAACGGCTGTTCAGTGCTTCCATGTTTTCCATGGTGGTCTAGCTTCAAATAACTCATGATCTCAACTATGAAAATACTAGATTTCCACAAAACCCCTTGTGATATATACATATATATATTGGATATTAGACGTCAAATGTTTCCTTACGAGATCGAAGATTTTGGGTTTGAGTCCTGCGAACGGGATTGTGGTTGTAAACTTCTGAGGAATTTCATACTAGAATGAAATCTCAGTCTAGTGCTTCCAGGTTTTCAATAGTGGTCTAGCTTTAATCGACTCATGAATTCAACTGTTAAATTTATATTATATATGTTAGTAATATTTTAAACGATGTATGAAATGTAAAGCTAAACCACTATGGAAAATATGGAAGCACTGGATAGCTGTTTCGTCTTAGTATTTATGTGAAGTGATGTTTTTGTTTTTTCACTGTGATGTGAAATGATCTTATTTTTCAAGTATATTAAATATATATATATATATACATCAGAAGGGGTTTTGTGAAAATTTAGTATTTTCATAGTTGAAAGCATGAGTCATATACACACTAGTGACTGAATTCAAGAGGTAATTCCTGGAGTTCTAGTGAGAAGTAGTAACCAGTGAAGTTCAAACCATGTCTGTTGTGAGATAGGAACTCACTGAAGACAGTTGGTGAATTTATACTAGCAAATATACTAAGAATAAGAAAGATCGATTCGGCAAAGAATTCTTTTGTTCGGTGAACAGCTTTGGAAATGAGGTCGCTGAACCGATCTTTCTTATTCTACGTCCAAATGGGTATATTCCAAGTAATTAAAGATCTAATTAGGTTTGGTTAGTTGGGTCATTCGAAAGTTTAGATCATTTGATGAAGCTTCTTGACCTCTTTACCGGATGAATTTATTCGACCTACACTTCATACACAATCGAGGATGTTTATGTGATACCTATTAACAGATACATCATGGTCCAAAACGTTAGAAATCATAAGTCTATACTGTTTTTTTTGACATGAACACTAGTTCAGTGGAACGGACTATCGATTGACCAATCAAATCCATGACTTTTACGAACACTGTATGAGAAAAACACTCTCTACAACATATATACAGGTACGTCCAGCTGATGAGTCCCAAATAGGATGAATAATATTTTAAACTATGTATGAAATGTGAAGCTGGACCATCATGGAAAATCTGGAAGCACTGGAAAGCCGTTTCGTCTTAGTATAGAACTTCTCAGTAATGTCCATTCACGATCCCGCTATCAGGACTCGAAGCCAGGACCTCCGGTCTCGCGCACGAACGTGTAACCTCTAGACCACTGAACTGGCATTCAGTGGTGTTAATGTCTAACTTTAACCAATCCACTAAATGGTGCGACTGTCCACCATTGTATTGAGTGAGTAACTGCTTCTTAACAGATACAGTTGAACTTCACTGGTCATCGTTTCTCGCTAGAACTCTATGAAATGCCTCCTGGAGACCGATAGGTCCTGGATTTGAATCCTGAGAGCGGGATTGTGGATGTACACTTCTGAGGAGTAACATACTAGAATTAAAAAGCCGTCCAGTGCTTACAGGTTTTCAATGGTGGTCTACCTTTAATCGATATGTTATTAATATTTTAAACTTTGTAATAAATGTAAAGGTATGAGTTTATCGAATGTTGATGTTTAACCTTAATTGAAATAAATTCATCTTCTACAGACTAACTTAATATAGTAATTTTGCCATAAATTTTATAGAATGTATGCCTTATAGTTAACAGTAGAATATATAGTCATTATTTCCATACACGAGTCTTGTATGAATTACTTTGATACAGCCATTGTATTACAAAAATCAGTTAATGTGGCGTATAGAATACATAAAGTTCGTTACTACTGAGCGAGAAATCAGTGTTAAAATCGAACACCTGTAGGAAGTTAATCACTGTTAGAATAGTTTGATGATAAAGTCTCTGGCTATGACATTTAACGACCGCATTAATTCGCCTTTGACTGCTGTTGGGCACTGGTGATGGGTGTCACCTATGATGATTACCATGACATCATGTCTCTCTTATATATATGATATTCACGCGAGATTATTATCATTATTATTATATTGATTATAACTTGACACGTTACAACGAATTATAAGCAAAAATGGATAGTGACTAGCAGTGGAATCCAGGATGCGCGTTTCATCCTATTTGGGACTCGTCAGGTGGATGTACATGCATCTCAGAGTTGATGTTCACTCTGGGATTCGAACCCAGTACTTTTCGCTTCAAACGCCATCTCGTTATCCACTCAGCTATTGAGTCCTGATAGCCATTTGTTTGTGTAATGGGGTGAAGTTTACATTCTCCTGGTATTGTTTGTTTGAATCTTCCGATTGATGTTTAGGACTGCATCGTTTTTAGTTTACTTACTTCAGCTCTTCGTGGATAACTCAGTCACTCAAATATTTTTTTGTTTTCAAATATTTCAAATTTCTCTATTTACTACACGACGTAGTTATTATGTATTGCATTTCTTAATGATTATCTCATCTTATCTGTTATCATGTTATCTGTTAGACAAGACTAATTATTTACATTGTAATGGCTTTGCTTCGTTAATAAATCACCTCGATAACTGTTATAATATAAATCAAAAGTCAATAAGAAGCGGCAACTACAGTTTATGGGCGGATAGTACAGACTACAAAGTTATAAGCATCGAGTGAATATGATGCAGAGAAGCGAATAAGTAAATACGAGCAATTACATAGGCAAATTTATAGTGAAATCGCATAAGGGCATAACAAGATAAAGCAAAAGCTAATAATATTATTAGAGTACATACATACATAGGAGGGAGACGGATGAATCATCGAACGATATTTAAGCAATCAACATTTTAGCTAGAGTCTTTCATGTGATCTAGTGATCATAACAGTACAAATAAGTATGAGAATTGTTACTATTCGAATAACATTGTCTGTTATGTAAGTTAGTAAAGGAGCTTAATCAAAATTAACCATCAATGAAATTGATTTTAGGATAGTTACTATAACTTCGTGAATATTTGTTACCAGTTAACCAGTTATCCAGAAGATATAGGTGTTTATTAACAGTTATCTACGCAAGATACTTCGGATCCGTTGGTAGACACTATCAACGACAAGTTACTGTGGGAGACAACAAACCAGATTCCATCCAGTGGAGGAAGAAATCAGGAAGAAGCGCGGGAAGTGGATAGGGCACACTTTGAGGAAATCACCCAATTGCGTCACAAGATAAGCCCTCATATTGGAATCCTGAGGCCCAAAGGAGAATAGGAAGACCAAAGAACACATTACGTCAAGAAATAGAGACAAACATGAGAAGAATGAACAAAAACTGGATAGAACTAGAAAGGAAGGTTCAGTACAGAGTGTGTTGGAGAATGCTGGTCAGCGGCCTATACTCCATTGGAGGTAACAAGCGTAAGTAATTAAGTAAGTTAACGCGATAAAACATACCCTTTGAATGTTTTATTGGAATCATTAAATTTTTTAAATTAACATCAATCTGATTCTTTTTTTCAATACAGGAGGCATATACTGATGAAAATTCAAAATTACATATAAGAGATTCTATAGAAAGTCAATTATATACAGTACAATTTCCAAATATGAGAAATATAAATAATAATGATCAACAATTCATTTGTTTTAATTTTGGAAGAATGGCAACTTCATGTCGTGAAAATGGTTATAGTATTAATGTGAGTTTTACTTCATCTAATGGACTAATTAATTGGTATTATCAGAAAGGGATTTTGTGGAGATTTAGTATTTTCATAGTTGAAAGTGTGAGTCAATTGGAGGTAGACTACCATGGAAAACCTGGAAGCACTGAATGGTCGTTAACATCATAGATGCCAGCTCAGTGATCTTTCGGTTAAGTGCTCTGGCGTGAGACTGGTAGTTCCTAGGTTCGAATCTCGCGAGGCGAGTTCGTGGATGCGCACTGTTGAGGAGTCCCATAATAGAAGGAAACAGCCCCCCCAATGCTTCTAGGTTTTCCATGGTGGTCTAGCTTCCATTGACTCAGGCTTTTAACTAATTAATTGGTGTAAATTGGTCAACATTATTAACAGTTCTGATGTTGCAAGTTATTATTATTATTATTATTATTATTATTAGTAGTAGTAGTAGTAGTAGTAGTATAAATAACTTTACTCAACATTATATTTTTGGTACAATATAGAATTCCTAACACATAGTATTTCAGTGACATTCTGTTTCTTATTTCTTGATCGACATTGATAATAAATATTGAGTGATCGTCAGTTAGATATTAACATTTCAGTAGTCAACATCTGAATAATATTCATTATTTACGAGGCTTATGGATAGCTATCATTATGTCTTCGATTATAAATTTTTTGAAGTTTGTACAGAGAAAGGTCGTAAATTTTCACGGTAGCAACTGAATAGTTTATGCAATTATTCGACATAATGATCTGTTCAGACAAACAAGGAAATAGAAAACCTTTTGAAAAATACAGATGGCAGGAAAAAGTGACCCAGATATTGAAGCAAGCTGACCAGGTATGTTTCTCCTATTTGAGGCTAAAAAGGTTAGGAATAAATAAACGAGATGATTGTCCGAGATCGTTCACATGAAGATATAGCCGAATATGCATGTAGGGTGATACATTATCACATAAATCACATACATTCAAAACTATTCAAAATTATGGATAAATGTTTGTTTTATTTCGGAAGTGAATTCAGCCACAATGCAACAATACTACAATACCGAAAATGTATGTATTGTTTGAAGGAAATCAACATGTTGTAGAGAATGGGATTGAGAATAGTCAGGAAGTTATGTAATATGTATGGAAGAAGTAGAAAGAGAGACTGTGGATGTGGTGGAGTGGTAATCATGTTGGATTGCACGATTACGTTGTCTATTCGAATGCCAAAATATCTATTTATCAGAATAATGCTTTTCACAATCGATCAACATACAATTACAATGCGACCGATACACATGTAAAGTACAAGTGCGTCTCATGTTAACAACAACAAATCAGTGATGCTTCTACATTGATAAGGCTACTACTACTACTACTACTTAATTCTATCAGACTTCAGCTCGATGTGATTATTTTGAGTGAGAATGAATGATAAATATTTGTGCTATTTCGGAAGTGAATTCAGCCACAATACAACAATACTACAATACCGAAAATGTATGCATGTATTGTTTGGAGGAAATCAACATGTTTTAGAGAATGGGAATGAGAATAGTCAGGAAATGATGCAATATGTGTGTTGAAGAAGAAGAAGAAAGAGAGACTGGAAATCATGTTGGATTGCACGATTACGTTGTCTATTCGAATGCCAAAATATCTATTTATCAGAATAATGCTTTTCACAGATAGAGAGACAAAAAGTAATTCACAATCGATCAACATACATTTACAATGCGACTGGTACACATGTAAAGTGTGAATTCAGCCACAATACAACAATACTACAATACCGAAAATGTATGCATGTATTGTTTGGAGGAAATCAACATGTTTTAGAGAATGGGAATGAGAATAGTCAGGAAATGATGCAATATGTGTGTTGAAGAAGAAGAAGAAAGAGAGACTGGAAATCATGTTGGATTGCACGATTACGTTGTCTATTCGAATGCCAAAATATCTATTTATCAGAATAATGCTTTTCACAGATAGAGAGACAAAAAGTAATTCACAATCGATCAACATACATTTACAATGCGACTGGTACACATGTAAAGTACAAGTTCGCCTCATGTTAACAACAACAAATCAGTGATGCTTCTACATTGATAAGGCTACTACTACTACTACTACTTAATTCTATCAGACTTCAGCTCGATGTGATTATTTTGAGTGAGAATGAATGATAAATATTTGTGCTATTTCGGAAGTGAATTCAGCCACAATACAACAATACTACAATACCGAAAATGTATGCATGTATTGTTTGGAGGAAATCAACATGTTGTAGAGAATGGGAATGAGAATAGTCAGGAAGTTATGTAATACGTTTGAAAGAAGAAGAAGGAACAGAGACTGGAGATGTGTGGTGGAGTGGAAATGATGTTGGATTTGCGCGAATTTTTTGTGACTCGAAACGTTATTTTTCGCCTGTTTATAGCGGTGTTATTTTTGTGTTTTTCAAAATTATGTTGGAAATTGTTAGTACTGATGGTGATGTATGTTTTGTTTGTCGTACGGAATTCTGGAATCTAATTCACCTGTGGATTTTCCCGTGCTATTTATAGTATTTCGTAGTGGGTGATGACTAGAAGTTTTTTTCTGATGATGGGAGACATGTTGTCTTCTTAAGGATGATTGTTTTGTAACAGCCGTTTTGTATTTGTGAGTGAATTGGTCAATGTCAACTTATAAAAACATGAAATGTTATCTTGGAATAATGAGTGTATAACAACTGTTTAATTACTGTGTAAATTATTACTGGACTACATGTCTTCAGTGAATATGACAATTTGGTCAGTAGGAAGATGTGAGCCCATCTTCGAGTTTAGGAATTCATTGTCAATAGAATGTGTTGTAAAACGGTTCTTCCTTTAGCTTGTGATGATAACTGTGATGATTCAATATTTAACTTGTCCATATTCTATGGTGTCATCAGACTTTAATACATAGTGATGAGGATTTATATTTCAACATTTTGTCAAGATATTAAAATCTGTTTACTTGTTATATCTTACAAACACCTGGTCTTCTATTCTATTGGTGCCGTGATCGAGAGTAGTTCACAAGATTTTACTCTGGAGGACGATCACTTACGCCTGTTACCCCTTGTCGAGGAACATAGGTCGCACACCACCATTCTCCATCCAACTCTTTCCCAAACAATCATTTCCAGTTCTTTAGAGTTAACATTCATCCTCTTAATATCTGCTTATATTTCCCGACGTAATGTGTCCTTTAACCTTCCCCTTTTCCGCTTCCCTTCATCATTTAAAGTTAGGGATTGCCTATTGATGCAGTTTGGTGATTTCCTCAATGTGTGTCCTATCCACTTCAAAAATCTTTTTCTAAATTCCTCTTCAACTGGAACCTACTGGTTTGTTCTCTACCATAAAACGCTGACGCTGATAGTATCCGGCCAATGGATGTTGAGTATTTTGCGTAGACAACTGTTTATAAGTACCTGAACCTTCTTGACGATGGATGTAGTAGTTCTCTACATTTCATCTCAGTACAGTATAACTGACTATCTTGACGTTCGTGTTGAATATTCTCACTTTGAAATTAGTTGACAGTTGTTTTGAGTTTCATATGTTCTTCAGTTGTGGGAATGCTGTCCTTCCATTGCCAATCCTCCGATCCTCCTTGTTTATCAATGATGCTTCCCAGTTATGTGAATGCTTCCACCTTTTCCAGAGTTTCGCTATCAAGTGTGATGGGCTTGGCGTTCTCTGTGTAGTATTTGAGAATCTTGCTTTTTCCTTTGTGTATGTTTAAGCCTATTGATGTCGAGACTGCTGCTATATTTTCTCTCTTCGTCTATATTCGTTAGTGTGTATGAGAGAGGAGGACTAGATCATTTGCGAAGTCCAAATCATCTAATTAATTCTGAGATATCCATTGTATTCTGATTTTACTCGTAGTAAAGTATAAATTCTCAATATAAATACAATTGATCCTCAATTTATCTAATGTTTACTTTTTTTACTTTCATTCAGAATCAAACCACTCATCTGTTCCTATTCCATAGTATATATGATCATATTAGTAAACATGATGCCATCTATCAAATGTGGTTACATCGTATTGGATTAACTCCAATGATTTCATTGAATAATTTAGAAATGAAACAAATTCCATATAAGAAGATTTTATTACAATTAATTAAGAGTTCTTCATATACTGATTTAAAAATGACTGAAGATATTAAAATCTTTTCATTACATGTCCATAAAGTGAGTAGTATCAATTTGTGATCTGACTTTATCAAGTATACCATTTATTTGTTTGTTTTTTTAGTTTGTATACACTGTCTACTTAATTCACTACATTTCAGTAATATCAATTACTACTTCTAAGCAAAGATGGATAATGGCTAGCAGTGGAATCCGGTTTGGGACTCGTCAGGTGGATGTAAATGCATCTCAGAGTTCATGTTCACTCTGGGACTCGAACCCAGTACCTTTCGCTTCAAACGCAATCGTGTTATTCACTTAACCACTGATTCCTGATAGCCGCTAGAGACTGACCATTTGCTGTCCTAAACATCAATGGGAAGATTCAAACAAACAATACTAAGTGGATCATATTCGTTTAATTTGTGATGAATGATAATCGTGTACATGCTAAGTCATCAGTTTTAATGATTTCATAGATCTTTTCATGTTAGTATAACACCATCGTGTTATCCACTCAACTACTGAATCCTAATATCCACTTGCTTAAGCTAATTAGAGACTGACCAGCTGTAGTCCTAAACAACAATTGGAAGATTCAAACATACAATACAAAGTGAATTTAATTACTACTTATGTTTATTTAATTAAGAATTTTTTTGATAATTCTTATGTAAGATTGTTTAACTGATAGTGGCATTGATGAAATGTATATTGAATTGATTAATAAACTTCAGAAAATCATTGAAAAGTGTCATTTGATGAGTTGAAATAATTTTTTTGGAATATCAAAGTAAACCCGAGCTATGCATACAGAAGAAATATCTTCAACCCCTTCTCTTCTCTTGGCCAACTACAAGGCTAATTAATCAATAGTAATCTTAGCTATTGAATGACCTAATTTGACTATTGTACTTACGACCTTTAGTAGTCAAATGTAATTGTATCTGTTATCTTTATCAAAAGGGTTTTTTGTGTGGAGATTTATTATTTTCATAGTTGAAAGCGTCAGTCCATTGAAGCTAGACCACCATGGAAAACCTGAAAGCAATGGACGGCCGTTTCGTCATATTATGGGACTTCTCAGCAGTGCGCATCCACGACCTCGCCTAACGAGCTTGAAACCCAAAACTTTGTATTATTATTGTTATTGTTATTATCATTGGTTGAACATCATTATTAGTCTCCTCTAGACATGATTCATTCACTTCGCATTGATCCCTCCTTATTACGTTTTACTAATTTTTCACACAGTTTAATCTTCCACTTGATCGAATTGTAATTGCACTATCATATCTCTCTCTCACCCTATCTGACCCATATCATTTCTGATCACAGATCTTAAATTTTCACAGATTCAAGTTAACATTCTATATGAGTCATATCATCATCAACGATTTTATTCTGTTTGATTTGATATTCCTAAATGTACATACTTTTACACGATGTACTTTGCCATTAACCTGGCCATTTTTTCGGATTATTAATTTGGATATATGAATTGTAGAACCTGAAGAGAGAATTTATAGAAAAGAATATTCTTCGTTCAAATATTATTAGTCTTTGAATATGATGGAAGATCTTTAAACATTTATTATCAGTTAATGAATAAAGTAACTTCCATATTGTTTTTCAGTCTTCTTTGAATGATTTATCAAATAAAGTTAATATGTTACTGAAAACATTGATTGATTTTATTTATAACCTTGAAAATGAAATTGTTTACCTTCCGAAATATGACGGTGGAGTTTCAATGCATTCAGAAGTATAAGTAATATGACAATACATACAGCTGATTTCAAAAATCTAATACATGTATCATCCTTATTGATTAGTTTAGTGGATAATGTGTCTGAGTGGTTTAGTACGAACCGTTTATGAATATCTACACTGGAATACAGGGTATTGGGATTAATGTATTATAAATAAGACAAGATAGGGCTTCTAGATTCTACTGATAGATGTTAGGTATTATTTTACTTAGAATGCTTTTTTCTGAATTTAGTTTTGATTTAAACCTTTTAATTTAGGTTCAAGTACCTGCAGTTGAAACAACGTACTGGTGTAAAACTATTGAACTACCTTATTTCTCAGAACCACATCATATAGTCAGGGTAAATTTATTTTAAAAGCAATTGTTAAGATCATTTAAATATTATATCTTATCTGTCTTCCCATACTATATTCTTATATACAACCTTTCTTATATATATATTACCACCACTAAACTAACTACTTCTATGAATTCGGTATTCATCATGTTGTGCTAACGAGGTATGGCAACTTGGACCGATGCATATTTATGTGCCTGGTTCTACGTTGTAGCTGACTAACTGACTTTAAATACCCTATATTTTACAACCACAAAATACATTTGGATTGATAAAAAGCTATTCGGACGCTTATCCTGTTTATAGTTAATCTGGCTAATATATTCACCTTACATTACACATGTACATTTTATGTAGTGGTCATTTTTATTGTTTGGTTGAAACAGATAGATCAAAGATCAATTTGTAAGCATTGTAACTTAAATTCGAAACATTAACCCTCAAGATTATAGGTATACCTTGTTGACGAGTGCCAAGTAGCACGAAAGCCGGGTCCAGGGTTTCCTGTTGACCACCTCCAACCATCATCTTATCTGAAATCTTAACTAATTAGCCGCCAGTTGAGAGTATATTAAATGGATTACAAAAGAAATATTATCGTATTCCGAAAGCAATAAGTAGCATTCAGAGAACACTACTATTTTAGTGTGATTTTAAGATTTATATTGGTGTCCACATTGAAAATTATCTGCGAAATATAATGAAAGGCAAACAGATCTCTTAGTGAATAGGTTCCGGGAAGAAATTTGTTTTTTTCTGAATAACAAGAGGTTACTCATTGTTCCAAAAACGGCTACTAGGTTCACAAAACATCAGAGCCTAGTTAAGGGATGAGAGTAAACAATAAGACTTATCTTCAAGTTGGTTGAGTTCAAAAACCTAATGGATATCTATCAAAGTCGACAAAAGCGGAGCAAAATATTGAGAAATCCATATCAATTGGACATACATTAGAGAAATTAGTTTAACTAGGCTAACACAATAAGTAATGACGTCATAAATAGTCATTTAGATGAACATTAATCAATCATTTTTAAAAAATCATGTACCGATCAATGTTAGACCACCAGAGAAACCTGGAGCATTGGGTTCCCATTTCGTTCTAGTATGGGGCTCCTGAACTGTGCTCATTTATGGTCCCACACGCTGGATTCCAACCCATGACCTTCAGTCTCATGCGAACGCTTAAGCTCTAAACCATATAGTCGAGAACAAACGGTGTTAATGTCTTACTCTTACCAATTCACGATATTGCGCGACCATCTTCCGTTGCCTCAAGCAAGATGTAGTTTCACTCCACTGGTCATAGCTTCTCACTAGATTTCCGATACTCGACTCTTAAAACTAGCAACTAGTTAACTTATGTTGATGTTCACTTTGACGTTGTGTAGATTGTTGAATTTCATTGAAATCATGAGCCCATCAATGTTAAACTGCCATTAAAGAGTGAAATACTAGGACTAAACGGTCATTCAATGCTATAAAGTTTTCAGTACTAGTTTAGCACTGATCAGCTCATGATTTCACTGAAATTCAACAATCCCCACAACACCGAAATAAACGTTGCATTTTCTCCTCCCATAACTATCGATAATCTTTACTTTTAATGGTAAAACCTCATTTTTCTTTCATAAATCAAGTATGAAAATGATATACAAGAAAGAAGTCAAGGATTTATTCATCATATGGAAGTTTTTCGTTGTCCTGGACATAATAAACGTTACTATGATGCACCATGTAATTCAGAAACAAAACCAGAAGATTTAATTGATTGTAGAGAAGTAATAGCAGCATGGGCTATGGGTTCAACAGTAAGTTAACTTTAATGGAATATGAATGCAGTCTAATGATACGTAAATAAGTAATATTTTCATAGTTGAAATCATGAATTTACTGAAGCTAGACCACCATGGAAAACCTGGAAGCACTGAACGGCCATTTCTTCCTATTGTGGGACTCCTCAGCAGTGCGCATCCATGATTCCGCCTAATTTTGTTTGTTTTAATACATCATTATGGCCATTATTCGCACAACTTATTCAGGTGCGTTTCTGAAAAGTGTACAACCTTTCGCTGTAAAGATTAAAAAAGGCTTAATCAGAGATATTGTGGTTGCTGACAATACACAGCGAAAAGAATGTGTATTATTCAGATGTCAATTGACTGGTCTTCTAACTTGTAACTGGGGATCATTCAATATTCATCGTTAGGATCGACGAAGAAGTACGAAATAGAAACTTGTTGGAATACTTTATGCTGAGAATTCTATATTGTATCAAAAATATAATATTGAATAAAGCTAATAATAATTATTACTATTACAAAACATTACTAGGGATTAACTTTTCCAGAAGAAGCTGGATATCCTATTGGAGGATTACGTGGTAAAGAATATGCAGTGATTGAAATACATTATTATAATCCAAATAATATATCAGGTAAGTTCAATCACTTGATAGTCTGATTTTTAATTTGCCTAAAATTGACTGAGTAATATAGGTAAGTTAGGTAATAGATTTTGACTATTTATTCCCTCTTTAATATCAATGATGTCATTCCGAAGGACGATGAAAGCTCCACAACCAAACCATCCAGCTTAGAGAACAAAACTCCATCAAAATTAATTTAGGTCAGAATGTTAACGATGAAATAAAGTAATGAACAATATTAGAGGTGGACAAAATAATGACTAGCGGACCTTAGTCTGTCCAGAAGCAAGATAAATATGAATTATTATAGAGAAACATGGTAAAACATATTTCAATAAATATGTTGTATAGTGGCTAGACTTGATTTGAGTTGGTTGGATTATACTCTGTTTAATGTGATAACTGTGATATCAATATAAGGTTGTGGAGATTACTAAGTTTTTGGTTGAGATAGTGAATAGATTGATGATAGACCACCACTTAAAACCTGGAAGCACTGGACGACCGTTTAGTCATATTAAAAGACTCCTAGGTAGTGCGCACTCACGATCCCGCTCGTGGAATTCGAACCCAGTAACTTCGATCTCGCGCGTGAACACTTAACCTCTAGACCACTGAATCAGCATTCAACGGTGTTATTGTCTAACTGCGTTATTTATGTCCCTGGAATAAAACATATGTGAAGCACACAATATGATTAATCTAGCAAAATGCAGCTTATTTTGTATAAATTATATTCTAACCTTCTATCTCTCAATTTTTATTAATCTGTAATTCAGTCAAAATCAATCTGAACCATTCAAATAACACTAACAATAGTTAAGTTTCCCTTCACTTTCTATAATTCTAACCATCACTCCAAAATTTTGACTTGGCCCTTGAGGTTGACAGTTCTTGTCTAAAGTTGAAGTGGAATATTAAATTGCATTTGTGTATTTTGAAATCACTGCTAAACTAGTTGTATATTATCATCATTGAACCGTTTCCCAACCATCATGCGAGGTGTACATTAACTAGTTAGCATACTTATCAGATTGTTCGACTGATATATGTTCCCCAGCATGAGCAGCTGAAATCCTAAATACACATGATTGTGGCAAATCCAGGTAACTTATCATCTAGTTGAGGAACCACTGCAAGTCTCCCGAAATATTTTAGACAGATAGTAGCTACATAAAAATCCCTATTCACTGCTCTAGTCAATCTATCCCATAGTGCATCGTTATTCAGTGAGTACAAGAATGATTAGAATTACTAAGTTCTAATTCTATTTGATTTTTCTAAATGTTAATTTAAGAACCGGTTAAAATTGTCCCTACATTTCTTAGTTTTGCCATATTCATCAACAGTAAATGTTCTAAGAACTAAGTATTGGAAAGTTCTATTAACTCTGAATAATGCATAAGCTATTACCTACTTACTTACATGCTTGCTTCACCCAACTGCGCCACAAGGCAAGCCGTCACATGGAATTCTAAAGGACAAAAGAGAAGAGGAAGACCAAAGACTACATTACGCCGAGAAATGGAGATAGACATAAGAAAAATAGACGAAAATTGGATAAAACTAGAAAGGAAAGCCCAGTACAGAATGAGTTGGAGAATGCTGGTCGGCGACCTATACTCCATTGCAAGTAACAGGCGAAAGTAAGTAAGTAAAGTACATGCTTACTTACTTACCTACTTACTCACCCACTTACCTACATACTTGCTTACTTACTTACATCTGTTACCCCTCGTTAAGGTTCATTAACCTCTTATACATCATCATATTTCGAATTTTCAGCAGAAATCCAAGTCTCTATGTAAAATCTGATTGGTAATTAACTGTCATTTAGCATATAGATAACAGTTTTATATTGTCTCTTTACTTTTTAGGTATCATAGATAATAGTGGATTTCGTTTCTATATTACTAATCAATTAAGAAAGTATGATATTGGTATAATGGAACTTGGTTTAGTCTATACACCGAATAATTTTATTCCATTTAAACAGTCAAAATTTCTTCTTTCTGGATATTGTGATTCTCAGTGTACTGATATAGTAAGATGTATATAGTTTTTTTTTCTTATTTATAGTTTTATTTACTGAGTGTTATAACTTGTGGTCGAGTGGATGCCTTGCTAACGTATGACGTGATAAGACCGGCAATCAGAGATTAACGAATTGTCGATTGGAACAGTGACACACGAAAACCGTACGAGCAATCTAAAGCACTTGTCGGTCCTGCTATCTACTTAGCCCAGCCAGTTAAATCCAGAACACCAATAACAGCCTCAGTGGTATGAATCATTATATTTCAAACATACTGGGTTTATATACCAAACAAACTGACCACATCGTACCATAATATAGAAAATAACATTTGTACAAGATTTAGCCAAATGTGGCTGTGAATGTGGGAGGCAGCAATTAATAGACTAGGGATAACTCAAGAATGATAAATTGTATGATAATAGTCTATAGGTCAAAATAAAGCTTATAATAAGAGGGACACGAATATGAATAGTTTAGTTATTTAGCAATTATACGATAAAATATATATATGCATAATACTGGTCCACAAATGGATCGCAAAATTACCATTCACTATTGTTATCGGGACATAACATTGAATTATATCTTACTTCTAGGATATGAATTCGATTTTTATTTCTATTAAATAGTACCTAGCTATAGCTGATCATTACAGGGTACTTTTCTATTTATGGTTCCATGCAAAGATCTACTACATATATAGAAATGATCATAATACAAATTTTCATAAATGTGTATATGTATTATAATATTACATTATCTATGTAATCAAAATGGATTTTGTGGAGTTTTCAGTATTTTCATAGTTGAAATCATGAGTCAATCGAAGTCAGAACATCATGGAAAATCTGGAAATTGAGGAGTTCCACAATAGGACGGAATGGCTGTCCATTGATTCCAGATTTTCCATGGTGGTCTAGCTTCAATTGACTCATGATTTCAAATATGAAAATACTGAAATCTCCACAAAACCCCTTCTGATTATATAATTTTAATTTATTTACTTCCTTACTTCCTTACGCCTGTTACCCTCAATGGAACATAGGCCGCCAACCGAAAATTTCAGTTTATTTATTGATTAATTGAAGATGTGATAATTAAAAAAAACATGGATTCGAACTAATGATTATATTATATTATATTTTAGACTTTACCAAAACCGAATGGTATATTTGTATTTGCATCACAATTACATACACATTTAACAGGAATCAAAGTTGTTACATATCATATAAGAAATGGTACACGATTACCAGATCTTAATAGAGATAATTATTATTCACCACATTTTCAAGAAATACGTCAACTTGATCAACAAATACAAATAAAACCAGTAAGTAGTATATAACGAATATATGATGATAAAGTTTTTGTTGTTGATGATGATTCGTTTTACTTATAGATGATCTTCGTCATGTACGAATATCATTTGGGACATCGATATAAACTGTAAAGGATTCAACGATTCATTCGTCTCAATATAGGATTTCTCAATAGTATGCACTAATGAGCATGCCAGTGATCGAAACAGAGTCCATAAATACTAGTGAGAGGAAACAACTGTTCAACATTTCCTTCTTTTCTATGTTTATATAACTAATGTGAAGATGTGACGTAACTGAATGCAAACGATTTGCTTGATTAACAAATGCCCTGATACGGCTGAGAGTGGAGAGAGTCTGCTCTCCCTCTCCAAATGCTCTCACATGGCCACGCGTATATAGCCTCTGCCACAGAAGTCCTACTCACTGCATTCTCGTGGCATTACTGTTGTTTACCAAATTGAAAGGACGAAGAGCGAATGTCCGGAGCTTTAATCGGGTTGGTGGACACGGAAAGTCCATCTAGGGGTGTTGGAAAACCCTGATTCCAAACCAATGGTGCACACGGGCTCCAGTATCCTGATGGAACAAATGGCGTATGAATCAATCGTTGGTGACCGGTTACCATGGGACTGCATCTCCTTAAGATGCTCCACTGCCTTGTGGATCAGATCTTTAGGTCAAAGGCTCAAGGTGTGGCCTCCTAAGAAAACCACCTGCTACAGTTTGGGCACCTAAGCAGTATCACAGCCCTCACACAAATCAAATAACATTTGTGTGGCTCATATGTATCTAGTGCTCCCTTGTACCAATATTTCTGTGTTTAAATAATAATAATAAATAATTAGTATAAAATTAACCAGAATTCATAGTAAGTATTCATGAAACAAGCATGATATCGACAATTATGACTAAATTCAGTGTGATATATATTGGCCAATAAATTTGGTTATGGTTTGATTAGTTAGAAGTTAGGACAGATTTCTATCAACCACAAACTTCAATTATTAGGCTTAAATAAATGTCCTCACATTGGAAACACCATCAAGATGAAATAAACAGATCAGTATGTTGAAATCACTAAAGTAACATCAAACTTCTTTAAGATTTTTGTGAATTATTGCTACCTTAGAAGAGTGATAAAGAAGTAACAAAGCATTAAATTTATTTGCTATTTGCTGACCAATTTCATGCGCTTGTCCTTTAGGAGATTTATGATTGTCAGTAGTTGAACTTTTCATTAGGCGATTTCTGATTAGCCCACTGCATCACTTCAGATTACAGACTAATCTTGATCAGATAACCATTGGAAGGATCAACTAAACATATATCAACCAGTACCTTTCGCTTCGAACTCCATAGCGTTATCCACTCAGCTACTAAGTCCTGATAGCTACTTGCTTATGCAATGAGGTGGATTTTAAATTCACTTAACTGCCCAGTCTCCAGGTTCCAGTCGCATAGTGAACATCAACTCTGAGATCCAGGTACATCCAACTGACGAATCCCAAATAGGACAAACTGGATTCCACTGCTAGCTATTATCCATCTTTGCTTACAATGCCTGTGAAATAAGGCTATATCGAAGTAATACGCACAGTATGCACACATGCCAATAAGAGATTGATTAATCGCAGTACTAAACATCAATGAGAAGATTCAAACAAGTAATACTTAGTGAATATTCAATGAAAATCAAACAGTATTATATTGTTTTAAATTAAGATTCCTTAACAGTTTATATTCATCATCATACTAGCAACAAAACTCTGAATATTTAAGTTACCATATGATTATTGAATTACCGCATATTAGTCAATAGTTTAAACTTAAATCAATTTGAAATAAATGTGAAATTCACATAGAACCTCTTTAACCTTAATATTATAATACACTATTTCTTAAATAGGGTGATACTTTAATTACAAGGTGTACTTATGATACAAGTCAAAAGAATCAAATAACTTTTGGTGGAATAGGAATCAATGATGAAATGTGTTTAAATTATATATTTTATTATCCTAAAATTGATTTGGAATTATGTAAATCAGATATATCTATTGAATCATTAAATATATTCTTGAATACATTGGATGAAAAGTAAGAATAAAGTTGTTTGTTATTTTTCATTTTATGTATTGATATTATGAAATCAGTTGAATAATAACTAATCGTTGAAATCATGAGTCAATTGAAGCTAGATCACCATGGAAAACCTGGATGGCCGTTTCATCCTATTGTGGGACTCCTCAGTGGCAATGCGAATCCACGACATCGCCTTGCGAGATTCGAATCCAGGACCTACCAGTAGAGTTCTAACCATGTCTGTTGTGAGATAGAAACTCACTGAAGACAATTAGTGAGCGGTTGCTCAACTTTGTGGATTGGTCGAAGTTAGGCATAAATACCATCGAATGCCGACTCAGTGATCTATCGGTTAAGGGCTCTGGCGCGAGACTGGTAAGTCCTGGGTTCGAATCCCCCGACGTGAGATCGTGGATGCGCACTGTTGAGGAGTCCCACAATAGAACAAAACGGCTGTCCAGTGCTTCCAGGTTTTCCATGGTGGTCTAGCTTCAATTGATTCATGCTTTCAACTATGAAAATACTTAATCTCCACAAAACCCCTTCTGAATAGTAACTGTCCAGTGCTTCTTAGTTTTCAATGATATCCAAAAGAAAGTCTGTGGCAAATGTAAGTTATGTATTTAAATACTTGCGTAATAGTATACTATACTGACTAACCAATTAGATATGAAATAGAAATAATTGGATTTATGTGCGAATTTAAAACTCAATGATGAATAACCTGTATCTTGTTAAAAGCCAAGTAAACAATCGATCAGTCAGCTACAACGTAGGACCAGGCACATATATGCATCGGTTCAAGTTGTCATACCTCGTTAGCACAACAAAATGAACACCGAATTCATAGAAGTAGTTAATTTAGTGGTGTTAATATATAAAAAAATATTGTATATAAGGATATAGTACAGGAAGAGAGACAGATATGAAGCAATTTTAATCTCAAGGTTTCAGGAAAGATTAAGAGTGTATACACTTACGCCATTGTGATCGATTCTGAGCCATATCACCTAGTCTCCAACCATTGGTTAAGATAGTCGAGCGGACCACCAGGGAAAACCTGAAAGCACTGAACGGCCGTTTCGTCCTATTGTGGCACTCCTCAGCAGAAGAGGGTTTTGTTATAATGATCACATGCTCACTAGTGACTGGCTTCAAGTGGTATTTTTTTGAGTTCTAGTGAGAAGCAGTGAGCAATGGAGTTCAAACAGGTCTGTTATAAGATAGTAACTCACTGAAGACAATGGTGGACGGTTGATCAATTTCGTGGATTGGTTGAAGTTAGAAATTAACACCGTCGGATACCGGCTCAGTGGTTCTGGAGGTTAAGCGCTCGTGCGCGAGACTAATGGGTCCTGGTTTCGGATCTCTTAAGGTGGGATCGTGGATGTGCCCTGCTGAGGAGTCCCACAATAGGACGAAACGACCGTCCAGTGTTTTTAATTTTTCCTTGGTGGTCTAGTTACAAATGACTCATGATTTCAACTATAAAATATTAATAACTATTTATTCCCTTTCATTTATCTTCTAGATGAACTTCTTTTTGAAGTTATATATTCTTTTATTGTTAACTGTTAATAGATAATAGTACATCAACATCCCCCTCCCACTTTAGGCTATGATGACTCTCTTTAATTATTCATTGTATTTGTATTTTCTCATTGTTTATATTCAAAAGTGAATTGTTAATCTATTAGAAGGATGCTTTAATATTAAATTTATTTATGAGTTAATTGTACTCTGTTAAAAACTAGAGGAAAACTCTTAATCACTTTTCCTATTCTGTTAGAGTCTCTAATCACAATTGATTGATCACTAGGTGGTGATCAATGTCATGTATGTCAGGTCCTTCTTAGGGAAGATTAAATCCTATAGATCAATTGTAAATACATCTCAGTCCTACAGGAGGTCAGTCACCGCCTGGATAGCTCAATGGTAACGTTTATAACTGTGAAGCTGAGTAACACAGAATCTAATCCGTCAGAGAGTCTCTAACTAGTTTTTAATGTCTCAAATGAAATTTATAAAGTATTTCACTAGTAACATATATTGATTTGAATTTATGAAATATTTTTAAATTATGAAACAATCTATTGGTTTCGACTTACGAGTTCCAAAGAAGTAAGTAACTAATCTGGCAAACATGTGAAATAGTTCGTTATTAGAAGATAGATGAATAAGATTTCAAATGAAAAAGATTCATCAAGTAATGAACACGGAAACCATTTACAGTTTAAATTCACTTAGTATTACTTGTTTGAATCTTCCCATTGATGTTTAGGACTGTAATTAATCAATCTCTTATTGACATATGTGCATACTCTGTGGATTGCCTTGATTCAAAAGCATCATAAGCAAAGATGAATAGTGGCTAGCAGTGGAATCCAGGACGCGTGTTGAGTTCAATTTGGGACTCGTCAGTTGGATGTACCTACATCTCAGAGTTGATGTTCACTTTGGGACTCGAACCCAGTACCGTTTGCTTCAGACGCCATCAAGTGATTTACCATCGTAATTTACAGTTTATACGATGTAAAAAAGTGGAACAATAATGAAATTACTACAAGTATATATATTTTACAAATTTCTTATTGAATTTTTAATGTAGCTAACTATACTAATAAAAGATTTCATCAAATAATTACTTATATCAGTAGTATAGTTTACCTTTCTTCTCTTTTGTCATTCAGTGAAAATCAACAGAATTATAATAGTTTAATCAATAGAGTAAATAATATTAAATGGAAACAAAAGAATGTAGAACAACTGAAGAGATTTTACAATAATGCACCTATTGAAATGCATTGTAACAGTTCAAGTGGAACTCGCATCAAGGTAATATATGATCAAGTATGAAATGATATTGAATGATAATGATGATAATATAAATGAAATCATGAGTCAATTGAAGATAGACCACCATGAAAATCCTGAAAGAACTAGACAACCGTTCCGTCCTATTGTGGGACTCCTTAGCAGTGAGCATCCACGATCCCGCCTCGCGAGACTTGAACCCAGGACCTACCAGTATCGGGTTAGACCACTTAACCACCAGACCACTGAGCCGGCATCCAACGGTGTTAGTGTCTGACTTAAATTAATCCACGAAGTTAAGCAACCGTTCGAGGCGCGATCGTAGATGCGCACTGCTCAGGAGTCCTACAATAGGATGAAACGGCCGTCCATTGCTTCCAGGATTTCCATATTGGTCTAGCTTCAATTGATTCATGATTTCAACTATGAAAAATACTGAAATCTCCACAAAAACCCCTTCTGATTATAATAATATAAATTTTGGACTATACCTAACGAATGGAATATGAGACAAGCTTGTAGATTAACAATGGAGGTAATCTGTGCAAATGGTTAGTCTACTCCATTTGCAATGGAATGAATTTGCCTACTTGTTAGCTTGCTAGAATGAATAATCTTACCAAAACGGTTGCATATATAAGTAAAGACAGGTTATGGAAGTACAGAACAAAACCTTTGCAGAATCGGTTTATTCATAAAATGAGATTTATTAGTCTGTATTAATTATCCTTTACCTTGAAGATATAAGGTTAACTACTCAACATTCAGTGATCTCTCGTTTAACGTAAAAACTATTCAGCTTGATGGATGATTTGATTAAAACTCAGTGACCGGCCCTAGAAATTTGTTCTAAGGCGGTTGCTGAGTGATTGAGATACTTAACTTCTAACCACTAGGTTGTAACCCCAAACCCGCTTATATATTCGTTTGTCTGGGTAACCGATTAATAAATATCTAATAATAGAGTCGTAGATACAACCGAAATGATTATCCAATTACATCACGTCTCCTTATCTAAAAAATCACTGTTTATAGATTATAAATTCGATTCTATAACGAAGGATAAACATACAAAATAACTAATAATTTCATTCTTCAGATGTATTTCAATCACAAAGTTGTAGCTTCAACATTTATATTATGATTGATAGATGATGTATTTAACATTTATGTTTAGGTAATTTTAAGTTCATACTACTGACCATAAAGCGACTATTTAAGCTTTGATATTTAAAGTTTTGTGTATATGACTCAGACAGTCCTACTGTACGGAGCTGAAACGTGGAGAAATACTACATCCATCGTTAAGAAGGTACTAGTATTTGTAAACAGTTGTCTACGCAAAATACTTAACATCTACTGGCCGGACACTATCACCAACAGCATTTTATGGGAGAGGACACAACAGCTTCCAGATGAAGAGGAAATTAGGAAAAGACGTTGGAATAGGATAGGACATACACTGAGGAAATCACCGAACTACATCATGAGGCAATTCATAATTTGGAATCCGGAAGGGAAGCGGAAAAGAGGAATGCCAAAGAACACATTACGCCAGGAAATAGAAGCAGATATGAAAAGGATGAATGTTAACTGTAAAGAACTGGAAGGATTGCTTAAGACAGGATTGGATGGAGAATGCTGGTCGGCGGCCTTTGCTCCTCCACGAGGGGTAACAGGCATAATTAAGTACATGACTTACAAATAACTGTAAAATCCCGAATATGGAACGGCTTTTATGAATTGTGACATGTTTATAGGTGGATACAAAAGTCGATTTTTGACAGGAATTCAGTCTGATGAAGGGAGAAGTATTATCCTGAACTTATTGGATAGATCGTCGCAACTATAATCCAAGATGATAACATGAAAGACAGAAAATGATGATAAAAATGAAATTCAAAGGTATTAATTTTAACAGAACAAAAACAAAGCAAAATTAGGTGATTTATGACATTCGAATCCAGGATACGCGTTCCATCATATCTTGGACTCATCAGCTGGATGTACATGAACCCCAATGTCAATGTTCACATCGAGACACGAACCAGATACCTATAGCTTAGAAAGCCCAATTGATTAACCATTAAACTAATGGGTTCAAACAGACACACACTCGTTCAACGAGTATGACATTTATATCGTTATTAGCAAGGCTTTGATTTTTCACGTTGTTGATAATCAGGATTGAACGTTGGTCAGTTTTCGTTGACTTATGTACATCCTAATCAGGTTGCTTCTATGTAGCTACTTCGTCATACAATTTTTAAAAAAATAGATGATTTGTTGATAGCATTGGAATACAGGGCGGGGGGTTTATCCACCTATTCTAGACAAGATATACAAACACTCCAACAAAGACTGAACAAAATGAAGTCAGAATATATCCCCAACGGAATAACTCAAATCCTTATTAAAAATGATTAAAAACAAAAGCCTTTTGTATGTTCATTCAATACTGATACACAAAAATGTTGGGGATGTCAAACCCCCAGAACTTACTTGATAAGTGGCTTAATTTTGTAATTTTACTTTGGAAATCTGAATTTAGCTGTTTTCGCGCCAAACGCGCTCTTTTTACCTTCACGTCATATTTCCCACTTGTAAACTATCTTAAGCGCTATTGGTCCATTGTTTCTTTGTGTGTGCTATTTATTAATGATGCCCAAGAACAATTTGCTGTTGTATATATACGCTTGACTTTTTCCCTTATTTAATTGCTGTGCTTCTGGCTGCTACGGAATATAACTTCCCCGCTTTCAACTCGGACTTCTTACTCTTATTAGATGGGTCTGGATCGCGTCACAATAGCTAGCTTATCGGTCCCTGGTCACAAGTTTTCTTTCCGTTCTCTACTAGTGAATTCGTAACGCTTCAGATATAACAAAAAATGAATACCGTAAATTAACCTATAGAGGGAGTCTACCATACTACATAGTAATAACTTGATCAAATCTTTACAACATAGTTCTAAATGATACATTTTATGTATGATATCTATTTGTCTATTTGTGGCTTATTTTTGTTTTTTATATTTTCAGAATTCTAAAATCTATCGCTTTCCTGAAATAATACCATTAGATGATCAAGATGATTCATATAACGAAGAGTGTTTAATTAATGACGAAAATATTGACTGGTTAACTTGAGAACATTAGTAGTAAAATAAATGGACTTACTTTGAAGATGAAATTGAAACTACTTTCTACATGAAAAAAACCCTGTGATTAATTTAAAATAAATATTCGATTTGATTTGTCTTTTATGCAAGCATATCAGTCAATCACAACGTAGAACTTCGTACGTACGTACATCAGTTCGAGTTGCCATACCACATTAGTACAGAGATGAAGTTGTCGATTCAAATCCCATAGTGGTAGAAGTAGAATGAGTATAAGCAGTAATCCAAAAGATTAAGGTTTGAAGATGTTATTTAAGGACTATAATACAGTGAAATAAATTTGGAGAGAGAAAAAGGATAGAGACATGAAGAATTCAGAAGATTAGAATTTGGTAGAACACAAGCATATCAAGCCATTTTGGAATGTACAATCTGGTGAAGGTGCAACACTGTCTTATAGACTTGACTAATAATCAATAGCTTGTAAGATTAAGTCTTAAAAGATCATAGTACATAGATAGCTTATGATGTAGGATAGAATTGACTAATGATACTGCCGTACTTCTATGCGACATTAACACTAGAGAAACCGGAAGCCAATACCATAAAGTACCTGAAAAAGGGTACATGAAATAAACTTTCCGAATAGACAAGTGGAAAACAAGTCTACAGTACTTGGTTAGTCTACTATATGTGTATCAACTATGTAACGTACTCCAATATAGAAAGTTACTACAGATATCTCAGAAACTATGTTAAGGTGAGAACGTCGAAGAAGTTTAAGTGGCATACGTAGCTTCAGAGAAGTTGTATCACATTTCGTATTCGGCAACATTTATAAAATTAAGAATTCAGAAAATTTATATCATCTAGACAGCACATGACCTTCAACTGAGACGAGATACTGAGTGAATTTAGGAATTAGGGTATGGACAAAATGAGTAAAAAAGGAAGGTATAAGGAAATGTAGCAATGTAAATTGAAGCCGTTTATAAAAAAAATGACCTCAGAACTCGTCTAAATGGGTGGTGAGGCATACCAAATATTTTCCCTATGCCTACTTATTATCAAGTCCTTGTATGGACTGGTATGCTGCTCTAACTGATATGCAAATGTAAGTGGTTTTCTAAGTAGACCAATGCCCGATAATTTGGCCTAAATGTCGAATCCATTAGTCAGAGGAGAGAAATCAGGAGAGAGTACCATGCCAGATGTTGACCAGAATGGATTCGTGCACCATTCTATTGTTCAGGATGCGAGAACATGTACACACTGTTTGCATGATACAAGTACATTGCAACTCCCTCAGGTGAACCTTCCTTATCTGTCACCTCGGTTTCCGCCTTTATTCCTCTCACATTCGTATATAAGTATGAAGAAAAGTATACAGGGACCAAGGTGTTATCACTTGGTACCATTACTCCCTGAGAACTCTAACTAATTAATAATGATTTACCAAAGGTTATGATGCGAATAAACGAAATCAAAATTATAGCACATAGACTGTTTAATGGTAATACATATATTGTTTCCCATACAAAAGCAAATTTAATGATTTTTCATTTTGTAAATGCTATTAGTTTTTTGTGTACTACTGATAACTTTATGATTACTGAATATAATTTCGTCAGAATAAGGTTTTGTGGAGATCATAAAGTTCACACAAATTTTATATCGCCAGATGATCTTAGTCAGATCACTAGTGAAAACCTGAGAACACTGGGCGGCCATTTCGTCCGTGTGTGAAGCTGCCCATGCTGAGGTCGAAACCAGAACCTCCGGTCGCGAGTACGAATCTTTAAACTCTAGACCACTAAGTTGGTATCTAGCAGTGTTATTGTCTAACTTCAATCTATTTTTGTTATAGAGTGGAAAGTGCCACTAATGTTGTACTATGTAGTGATTTCACTCAGACCTGTATATCCCTCTATAACTTTCATTATTTCACACTTCTACCAAACTTTTGTCTAAAATCCTTAGATCTTATTTATTTAAACAAATAAATATTGGTACGAAGAGGCACAAGATATATATGCGCCACACAAATTTCATTTGATTTGTGTGAGGACTGTGATACTGCCCAATTCGAAACAGGTGGTTTTATTAGGAAAACACAACCCGAGTCTTTAACCTAGAGGTCTGATCCACAAGGCAGTGGAGCATCGTAAGGAGATTCAGTCCCATGGGAGACGGTCACCAACGATTGATTCATACGCCATTTGTTTCTTCAGGATACTGGAGCCCATGTGCACTATTGGTTTGGAATCAGGGTTGTCCAACTACTCTAAGTGGACTTTCCGTGTCCACCAACCCGGTTAAAGCGCCGGACATTCGCTTTTTGTCCACTTAATTTTGTAAACAACAGCTATGGCACGAGAAGGCAGTGAGTAGGACGTCCCTGACAGAGGCTATATACGCGTGGCCATGTGAGAGCATTTGGAGAGGGAGAGCGGACTCCCTCCACTTTCGGCCGTACCAGGGCATTTGGACATTTTTTCAAATAATGTACGCTTAAATTGGTTATCATTACCTAGTATTTCGTATCAACATAAATATACGTGCTAAATGGTGTGTGCCTTTTTTTATACTGATTTTCAGAATATCTTATTATTGCAAGCAAAGATAGATGATAGCTAGTAGTACAATACACAACGTTCATTCCATCCTATTTGGGTCTCACCAATTAGATGTCAAAAAAGAAATTCATCAATAATGCAAATTTCAACATCAATGGGAAGATTTAAATAACCAATAAAAAAACTAGTGGTTTTTTTCGGAGAATTTAATATTTGCATGGTTGCGTCAACACCTGAACTAAGAATAGGGAGTGAAGTGGTCGAACGCGTCGACAACTTCACTTATCTTGGAATTCTGATCAGCCCTAATGCGTTGGTGTCTGACGAAATCTCAGCACGGATTCAAAAAGCTCATTTGGCTTTTGCCAACTTACGTCACCTATGGCGAAGACGAGATATCCGTCTGTCAAATAAGGGACGAGTATACTGCGCAGAAGTTCACTCTGTTTCACTTTACGGCTGCGAAACATGGCCATTAAGAGTAGAAGATACTCATAAGTTACTAGTATTTGACCACAGATGCCTTAGAAATATTGCTCGCATCTGCTGGGAACACCGGGTAAGTAATAATGAGGTTAGACACAGGGTATTAGGGAATGATGGTAAATCAGTTGGTGGGATCATGAATCTTCATCGAATGAGATAGTTGGGCCACGTGTTACGTATGCCTGAACACCGTTTACCACGACGCGCTATGCTGACTAGTATTGAGGATGGTTGGAAGAGAGTTAGGGGCGGCCAAACCAACATGCGGCATCAGTGCTTGAAGTCACTAACTTCTAGTCTGAACCATGTTGGAAGATGCAGACTACTTAATTGGGGTCCGCGTGACTATCGTAACCAATGTTTTGAGACTCTATGTGACATGGCTCAGAATCGATTACAATGGCGTAGGTGTATACACTTTTTATCTCCTCTTAAACCTTGAGATTAAAATTGCTTCATAACTTTCTTCCTTCCTATACTATATCCTTATATACAACCTTTCTTTTATATATTACCACCACTAAATTAACTACTTCTATGAATCCGGTGTTCATCTTGTTGTGCTAACGACGTATGGCAACTTGTACCGATGCATATATGTGCCAGGTCCTACGTTGTAGCTGACTGACTGACGATTTGCATAGTTGGATGCGCACTGCTGAGGAGTGCCGCAATAGAACAAAATGGCCGTCCAGTGCTTCCAGGTTCTCTTAGTGGCCTAGCTTCAATTGACTCATGATCTCAACTATGCAAGAAAAATTGAATTATTAATAAAATATTTCTTTTGTTCGAAGATGAGTTCTAATATGAGAACATTATAAAAATCAAATGAATAATAAGAACATGACATGTATATGAAGGGTTACATAATATAATGAATAAAATAGATAATACAGTCATATAGTTGATGTAAAATAGAGAAAGAAAAAAAACAAGGTTAAATCTTTTTTCTTGATGAAATGAAAATATTACTTAAATGTTAATTGAGTATGAGAGATAAAACAGAACAAGATCACAGTAAAAATTTTCTTAAAAAGATCTCTTATTGGTTCCATAGATTTTTTTGGATAGGGTGGATTGAGATATATAATATAATATACACATATTTTATTGTCATGGTAACTAGGTATAATAGTTTCAAATAGAGTCAGTGATCTTGAGTACTGTTAAAGGTATTCAAGATCACTGACTCTATTGAATGAATGAATGAATAATACCTTATTCATGTAGGATGAATTGAATGATGAGATAAATCCGGTAATAGATCATAATCTGTATGAATAATAGTCATATTAGTTGAATGTGATCGATCATTATTGTTTAATGATAGAACTTCATCATTAGTAGTATTTTGAATATTTGATACAGGTCTAATATTACCAGAAGAGTTAAGTAATAAATGATCTGATGATGTTAAAGGGTTAATAATTGATGGATCATTTGAATTTATTATTGAATGAGATTCATTCATATGATTACTACTATCATTTACACTAGTAGATTGAGTTACGACTACTGTAGTAGGAGTTGAAAGTGTTACAATTTCTGGATTATTATTAAGATCTATTGTTGTATTTATGAGTGGATTTGATATTGTTACAAAATTTGCCTCAATAGTATCCTTTGTTGTTTGTGCTGGAGGATAAGGACATTCTAAGTGGACTAAATGAAACACCTATAAATGAAAAAAATAAGAATAAAGTGTTAATATAACCTGAAAATATAATTCAATAGATTTTCGATGATTACTTTATCGAGGTTTTGCATTAGTTTATTGATAAGTCTGCTACTAGAACATTTATTACAAACCTTCTAGCCGCTTCCTATAACCTGAAGCTACTTCTAAAGTAATACATCTTGTTATTGACATGTCTTCCTAGGAGGTCCTGATATCTCCAACTACTTCTAAACGCCAACTGGAACACTAGAAAGAATGCGGGAAGTTTGAATAAAAGCTTTACTCCAAGTTTAATCTATATAGAGAAAAATATGCGTATTTATAGTAATACACATGACCTTGGACTTCAGGATCAATAATAAATACAGTAGAAGTATAGGTAAATATCCAATC